AGAAAAGGAAAAGGAAAAGGAAAAGGAAAGAGATGTGCAGCTGACATGGGCCTCACGCACTTTTTTTAATTTGTTTTGCTGACTAGGATGCCACGTCAGCAAAACCACCCATGTATACTGCTATAGGACCTTGTGTGCACGGTTTACGTAAGTTTAGAGGTACACATTTCTGATTTTATGGATAAAAGACCTTAAAAAATCTCGCTGTTAAGCTGAGGTACCATCGGTGAACTTATTCCTTATCTCTTGTACAGTTTCTACGAAGCAAGCATGACAACTGACAAAGATGCAAAATTGAACTGACCTTCGCTTGTTTGGGCATACAGGCCGTGTTTAGATTCAAATTTTTTTCTTCAAACTTTCAACTTTTCCGTCACATTAAATATTTGGATACATGCATGGAGCATTAAATATGGACGAAAAAAAACCAATTACACAATTTGCATGTAAATCGCGAAACAAATCTTTTGAGCCTAATTACGCTATGATTTGACAATGTGATGCTACAATAAACATTTACTAATGACAGATTAATTGGGCTTAATAGATTCGTCTCGCAGTTTACAGGCGGAATCTATAATTAGTTTTATTATTAGTTTACGTTTAATACTTCAAATGTGTGTCCGTACACTTAAAAAAAAATTGTCACACGAACTAAACACAACCAAAGAATCCAAAAGTATTTCACTAGTTCATGCGCCAAGAGGCAAGAGGACTAGTGTGTTGTACCATGAAAACAATATCATAACTTTCCATCCCAAGAATTTTTTTTAGCAGAACTAGAATCTCACTTCAGATCAAACAACAGCAGCAGCAGCAGAGGCAGCAAGATAGTAGAAATGAAAAGGGAAATGCAGGCTATTTTGTTACTCCTTCGAGCAAAGCTGGTCAAACAACAATGATAAATGCCGACCCTAAACTACATATATAGCCACTCTCACTTGTTAGCAACCTCTCCTAGATTCTACCCCTACCACAGTCCACAGTGCATTCCAACCCCTAAAGCATGTTATAACAAGAGAAAACTTAACATATCAAGCAGAAAACTTGAGATGTTTTTAGCATAGATGAACCAGCTGTTATATATAGTTACCACTTACCAACAAAAAAAGAACATGTTAAAAATCCCAGGAAACTTTTCATGATTCTAGCTGCCCAATGCCCACTATGCCTTTTCGTCTTAGGTTCATATTTTTGTTAGCAACGCTTCTTTAAGTGTTATAGGATGAACAATCTATTAAACGGTACGTCAAAGGCAATAGTATTTCTAGGAAAAAATCGCTTGTACAATAACATTTCATGGAACTCGTACTTGTCGATGATATTTTTTAAATTGGACACTTATAAATGGTATTTCTTGAATTTTCTCTCCACAAAAGCAACTTCGCTGAGATTGATCATGATGCCTAGGTGCTGCCAAACCAATTGAATGGTAGGCAGGAAGACCAAAAGGATATGCTTTATTGGACAAAGATGGTGGAAATGAAACTAACAGACAGACACTTTATTTCTCAATGACCGTGCACCTCTTTTTATTTTTTCTTATGCAAACTATGCACATCAATTAGTAGGATCATCATGGATTATTGTGATCAGAGGCTACATCAGTACAGTACATCACCACCTAATGTTTTGAATCCTTATTGGGAGTAGGTTGCATAGTTGGAATTGTCTGTACCTAGGGACAGGTAAATAGCAAGGTCAGTACTAAAAGACACCTAATTCCTAACCACAACAGAAGGAGAGCACATCCTCACTTTCACTGACAGGTGGCGCTCATGACCACACATCTTTTGACAAAACATGGTCTATATAACTGCCTTTTATTGCTAAAATTATCTCTGTTCACCCTAAAGATTGGCCTACCTTGTCTTATAAACCTGGCACTAGCCTACTAGGTGTAAAGCAGATCAGATAAAAATCGATTACCACTCATGAGTCATTTGCCAAGACCTGAAGACCCTACCTAACTAATTCCACATTATACTCTGTAATCTGCACATGTACTCTTGTAGTAATCGACACATAATCTAAGCCTGCATCTGACACATGTTGCAAATTTCTGACTAAGAAATGCTCTGCATATGCATTTTGCTAGCAAGGTGGATGACCATGAACAACATTCAGACAAACACTAGAGCATTTTCGGGTAAACAGCACTAGCTTATGTCAGTAGGAAAGTTTCCTGTGTGCATCAGCTCACAAGGTCACAAGGATGGTTAGCAGGTCAGGACTTCATACAAATAACTCAACTAGCCAACTAGGCATAAAGGAAATATTAGAAGTAATGAATGATCCATGTGTTCTATAGAGCCAATATCTTACTATCAGATGACAGCACTTTAACTATTGTTAAAACTATCATGCAAGACAAACCGCCAGGAGTTGGTACTTCTACTCAGAAGCAATTGGCCATCATACACCAAAAAATTAACGATAAAGAAATAATGTAATCCAAAAGGTTGACTTTGACTCATCATATACTAAGTCATCCATGCAATCACAATCATTTATATGACAATCCAAACATATCCAAAGTCATCCATGAAAAATCGCGTACATGGTAATGAAACATTCAAGCTTCCTAGCAGTAGTTAATCCAAGCTTAGAATGTTTCTACAAATCTACAGAGTAACTTTAATCTGCCCGCCAGTTCTATTTGCTTGTTTACTTTAAAGAAAGCGTTTTCCAATCATGTAACCAGCATCATAAACCACAAAGAATGCTAGAAAGATTGCATAATACACTATGGATCCACTGAGTAGCTAATAAGTGAATTCGAAGGTAAGCTGCTTAAAGGTATTAAGTACATAAGGGCGACAGTAATTCCTATGCTGATTAACCAGTAAATCAAGGGTAAGCATGTAGATCACATTCAGTAACAGTGTAGTACCAACCTTGAAATATAGCACGTATAGTACCAAATAGAAGCATCACTTGCACATCATAATATCATGCTCCTGCACATTGGCATATACATATACGCAACAAGTCTGCTACTATATGCATATAGTAAACACTTTGACAGAAAAGACAACCATAAACAGGTCCTGATTATGGCTGCCAATATAAACTGAAGAGAAAAAAAGAAAGCAAGAGAGAAACAAGCAAACAGCAAGCACTAAACCTTACAAGATATCCATTGATGAACTTTAAGCCTCAGAAAGTTCTCTAAGCCTACCCATTTGTTTGGAAAATATACAGCACACTAGTACCTTCTGGGCTTGGGAGGCTGTGAGGGCTCTTCCTTGCTAAAGATGCCGCAGAACAAGCAGCGGGAAACTTTGGGTGAAGGTGGATCCATAGCAGGAGGAACATGCCGAGTTCGAAAGGCCTGGTTGCCAGACCTGCTGCGCTCCACGCTATCGCTGCACCTTCGCTGCACCTTTATACTGGATCCAACGCTACGAGAGTGCCTTAGCTCTTTGGATTCTAAGCTACCAGCCTCTGCATCACCAGTTGCCCTTTGATCACTCTGGTTCTGGTCTTCAGACATAAGCCTCCCATCCCAGACCAAACCTGATGAACCAGACCTCCTAAATGTTTGGGAAGATCTCTGGAGCCCTCCAATCTCCATCTCCCCTTTCTATGGCTTCCTATCACTGTGTGTGTGTGTGGGGGGGGGGGGGGGTGAGCACCTAGTAAGTCCTATGGAGCAATAATACGGACTGCAGTAGGAGAGGAAATGGTGCATTCCTCAAACCTAAGAATATGCAAGCATATAAAAGGAAGGGTAACCATAACAAATTTCAGGATGAGTCAGATGATGGTGACAAGGGGTTAAGGAGATTGTAAGGTCTGTCTGCATAATGCATTGATGTGAATCCATGAATTATAAAAATAGGTCCTTTGTTGCTCTGTTTGTTTACACAAGCGGTGCTAGTTGAAACACCGCCATTTTGGTTGTAACATTTTAAGGACTAAGGGACATTAACCAACAGTAAATATTAAATGCAGAAAAGCAACAGTGCAGCAAGTATCATGAGACACAATTTTCTTTGTTTGTACTAAAAATCACAAGGCACAGTTTTGTTTTTAAGTGCCTATGGTCCCACCAAAGATGCCAAGCTGTTGTCAGTGTGAAACTTCGTTAAAATAGATAACAGAAAAATGTCACAAGAGTTTACCCTCCATAGTTCCCAGCATATAATTCAAAGCTGATTTTGAATTTTAAACATGATCATTACCCACTAAAACTCACGGTGTACAAAATAATCCACTATATTTTTCTTGGAAATCATGTTCTGTTTGAGAATGTCCCCACTCCACCAAATTGAAGCAAAATATGCAAGTAAAAAAAGAAACATACTTGTTCAAATAAAAACTCACAACAGTTTTACAAAACTCAAAGGTAAAACCGTGCATCTACAGAGTTTCAACATTAAAACAAAGAAAGGTTAACTTCGATATAGCATCAACTAGCTTTTGCTATGCTTTCTAGAAGATAATGGGGTATGTTCTGTTATTCTATAATAACAGGCTTCTCCTGGTTATTGAAAAACATTACATTTGTATGACATCTAGCTATTGCTTGAGATTCAATCATTTCTATTCACATGGCACAAACTGAATATGTACGGCACTAAGGCAGAATGAAGGTTAGGTTACGTTAGGTAGAAGAAACTAGTAGATGATTCAAAAACCCCTGCGCTACTGTCAGATGGCCAAGAAAGAAGTTACATTCTTACAGCAATGCTCCATTAAACCAAGATTTTAAGTGATGCAAAACTGAACATATGGTCAAGCTGCAACATATTCTGCTAACATTCTTCACAACATAATAGTTGTTCATCTAACTGGTCAAATACTAATACAATATAAGCCCCTGACTTTTGAACCAACACAGGAAGATCATTTGCTAAAAATAATTATAAAACAGAAGGCATCAGTCTTGTCATTAGTCCAGTTGCAAAAATTTCAGCATAACTTGCAGTGAGGAGGTTATTATCTAGAATTATTTTTGACCGTCACAAAAAATATGAAATATGTGAATGTTTAAATGCACGCAAAGTCAATGTAGCATCACCTTACTGTTATAAAAAGTACAAGTTGAGAAAATTATCATAAATAATAGCAGAACAGCAGGAGGCACTTAGGCAGGTATTGTTAATCCTAGCTTTTAAAGCAGCAGAGGGCATAACCTAAGCAGCCCCATGCAAATAAGGCCGATGCTTGTTCCTAAAAGTTCATAGATAGTACTATCATTTTACCACTAAATTAAAGTCAAGATCTTAGCAACATGAAGTAACTAGTGGATTAACATCATTTACCACTTACAAAGCAAAATTCCTTAATATGGATCCCTTCTTCATCCGCACATTCACTGGCAGGTTAACTCATAAGAATTTGTTCAAAGAAAGTTGTCACTAGACCTTCTGTGACCTTTTGACTGAATTGCTTTCATCCTCAAAAAAAAAAAAAAAACTGTTGGCATCATCCTAACCAAGTAAAGCAGAAATCTCACTGAGCTGCACTTTTACATAAACACTTGCTAGGATATGGTCACTTGCCAACAGAACTCCTACTCTTAGTCATGAGAAGCTCGGTCAGAGATTTGGGCCCCTCAAAATCATCTGAGAAGGATCTCACATTAGGCGTGCAAGCAGTGGAGTGGCTAAAACTTGAGTTGGATTTACATTTCTCTTCTTTTATCTGAGCAAGGGTCTTCGGCCCAGTAAAATCTGCAGTAGGATGTTCAGAAGATTTAGCAGAAAGAACATGCTGTTGCTTTCCTCTATTTTTCTTCCTCCGTCCCCTGAAAGTAGCATGGTTAGCAGGTTGAGGACACTCTCCCATCAAATAATCTTTCCTTTGACGAGTTGGCATTGATTCAATCTGTTGAGTACTATTCTTGGGTTCAAGGCAACGGCTTCTCTTAATGCAATCCTTCTTTCCCTTTGCACCTTTTCTATTCTCAGGTCTTCTTTTTGAGATGTGTCTAATCTGGGTGTGCTGATGAACAAAGTTAGTATCTGCCACTGAGCTGGTGAAGTTTCTGGGATTGAAGAACCTTCTGTCATATTCATCAGAAGTGACCTCAGTATTTTGTGGTAGTAAATGCCCCAAAGTGATCTCACTTTCATGCTCATGAGCTCCGTTAGGCTGGCAAAGATAAAGGTAACCTTGCCGATCATCAAGACCACAAAATTCTGGTTCATAGTTATAGTACTCTGGATCATGGTAATACATATCATAAAGAACTGGATCTCTAATACCATATTCTGCATGAAGCACCTTATTATCACTCTCTGTAGTCAATTGATGTTCAAGATCACTCTTGTTAGAGAGGCAATCATCCACAAGCACATCAAATCCAGGAGAGGAATCACGCTCATCTTGTTCTGTGTGGTCCATAGTTGAATCTCCTGAATTAAGATCTGAGACTGCGGAACATTTCATGTATTCATCTATATCAGTTGATGTTTCAAGTGCACCGGAAACAGCTTCAGCTTCACCAAATTCAGGATTGATTGACACAGGAACTTCTTTTATATGGCAAGAGGTATCTTGACAGGGATTTGTGATAGTGTCTTTCGATTCTTCAACCATCTCATCTCCAACATAACTTTTACTTACAGCAGGATTGGAAGTGGTAGCTTTACAAGAAGTTCCCACAGCATCATTAGAAGTTAGAGGCTCATGGAGGTAGGGGCAATTGTCACCTTTTGAACAGTGCGAGTTATAGTAGAAATAACAAGGGTTAGCTGCCTTGACAGAAGTAGAACACAATGAGAGTGGGTCTGCTAAAGATTTGGTTTTGTTTAAGTTTTCCAGTGGCTGCACCGAAAGGAGCTAATCAGATAACACGCAGCAACAGATGAGCAATGATAACAAAAATAGCAACGGTGTCATTCAAAATCACATAGCTGGAAGATCTAATAAGAAGATAGGGTTCCAATAATCAGTCAAATCATTTCAATGCATAACATTAGAGCATAAAACTGTGGACAAGAAAATTCAATCAATACTTCTGAGTTACTTAACAAAGAAACGGACCATGACCAACCACTCATGGTTGTAGTACTGAAATACCAAAACTTGATCTCTTATTTGTCCATTTGGCTCACTAACATAAACAGAGACAAAAAAAAAGAAAAAGAAAGTTGGGTCAATTGGCCCTTTGTTCCTGAATTTTCCTCATTAGATGAGAGCAGTGGCCTCCAAACCGTCGGGGGCACAACACAAAATAAAACTACACTGCGACTCATGTGAAACAAAAAATTTCATAACATCATCGCTATGGCTAAACTGGCAGACAGGCCCTCATGCAAGATGGACTCAAGGGTTGGAGCTGTACATGGTGGCATCAGGAAATGTACAATTGTTAGTATCAAGCAATTGCTCACAGGCAGACATGTTATCCCAGAACCAAGTCATCTTATCCCAACATTTTCCTCAAGTTTCGTGGTTCTTCCCCCATCCAAGTTAACACGATAAATGTACAACAATGGCATCAATCACCACTAATAACTAGCAAAGCAAAGTATGAATCCTTGGCATCCGATACGAAGCGAAGGGTATCGAACCGAGTGACCGCGGATTACTCACGGGGTGACGAAATGTGCAGCTCGGGTTGACGCAGTTGCCCTTGAACCAGTACCAGCAATTCCGGCGGTTGAACCGGGCGCCATCGGCATGGCGGTACTCGCACTTGGACCCCTGCAACCAAAAACCCACGCGCTCAATACGCGGCGCGCTCCGGACGGATGATCAACCAGCGGCGGCATCCACCGCCATGCCGGAAACGCGGAATCCGTGAGAAGAAAAAAAGTGAGCTAGGGTTTTGGGGAAGTTGGGTGGACTAGTACCTTGGTGCAGGTGAAGGGGGAGGCGAGGAAGTAGACGCAGTCGGTGTTGCACCTCCTCCAGCGCGGGTCCTCATCGCCCTCCGCCGCGGCCGCCATTGCTCCACTTCCTCTCTCGGCTCTCCTCTCCTCTCCGCGGGAGGAGGGATGAGGAGGAGGCGGCGGCGGAGGAAAAGCGGAGCGCGACGGCCGGGGAGGAATGGAGTGGTGGGTCCCTCTCGGTTTTTGAACTTGTCGATGCGTGGAGTGGAGCCGTGGAGCAGTTGAACCGGCAGTCTCTCTGTGCTTAGAATGCCGGTGGGTCACGCTCCTAAATTTTTCACCTTTTCTCACAGAAAACTTATTTTAGGCCCTATTTAGTCCCCACACAAAAATTTTATACCCTATCACATCGAATGTTTGAACACCTACATTGAGTATTAAATATAGGCTAAAAAATAACTAATTATACATATTGCGACTAATTTGCGAGATGAATCTTTTAAGCCTAATTTCTCCATCATTTGACAATGTGGTGCTAGAGTAAACAGTTGCTAATGACGGATTAATTAGGCTTAATAAATCCATATCACGGTTTTACTAACGGATTCTGTAATTAATCTTTTTATTAGTGCCCGAACACCCCATGCGACACTCTATATAATACCCGATATGACACGCCAAAACTTTACATCCCTGGATCTAAACACCCCCTTACAAATAAATCAATAAAAAGTAATTCTATAAGTGGATACTATTCACAGTTTTCACGGCGTTAGCGTCATTAACGCCGTCTGTTCCCTCACGCCTCCCCTCCCCCCCAATTGAAGCTAAATTACTGATGTGAATGGAGATGCGCTAATGTCATTTGCACCGATAACCTATTTGTAGTTCTTTTGAAACATAACCTATTATTTTATTACAAATAGATCTTCAGCATCAATTTCATTGGCATTGAGTTATTTACAAATAGATATTTTTTGAATATTTTTTACAAATAGGTCTTCGGCGTCATAACATTATCACCATCTTCTTCCAATTAGTGACTTGACTTCCACGGTAGACAAGAAGGATGACGCCAACATCATTGATACTGTCATGTTAGCTCATGGCGCTAAGGAATTTGACGCCACGAAAAGGATCCATTTCTAAAAGGGCAATATAAGTTTTTCAAAAGAAACCTCTGGCCTATGTGGGTCAATTTGTCGTGTCCTCCCTCCCTCCCTCCCTCCCAGAAAACTTATTTTGGAAATTGTTATCTTCTTCAGCTATGCTGGCCGCAGCAAAAAAAAAAAAATTGATCCAATCATCAAGTAATACTGTGTCTTCCCTGGATTGAGATCGAATGAGCTGATGGCAGACGCTACGTCTTGAGTTCCCAGAATAACAATGACATGCAAGCAATGCTGTTTACACAATGTCATTGGGCAGGAGAAAATCAATCCAATTTACGCTTATTAACCGCGAGGAAAAAAAATCATCCCTCAATATGCTGAAACGAGAGGTGATACAGCTATGGATTCGCAATGACAAAATTTCTCCAACCCCAAATATTTCAGTATCCATCTAAATCTCATTTTCCATCTAACAAAATGGAGGTACATGCAGTTAGCGATGACAACTCTTCCTGCGTCGCAGATCCGAAACCTTGCCACCTCACTCTTCCGAGGCGATCAACCAGGTATATGTACCTGCAGTAGAAGAGTTTGAACAAAGGGAGAGAACAAAACATATAAACGAAGGGAAGGAGGAAACATCGCCCAGTATGTGGTAACCAGGACCTTTACATCTAAAGTTTGCCAAACGAACAACGGGAAGGAAGAAACATTACCCAGTAAGAAGGTTAAGGATATGAAGCTTCTTCCTGAAATAATAGTGGTCACCAAAGGCATATACAGCATGTCTCTGTGGATTGTTGGATTTTGTCATCACCTTGAGGAATACTTGTCTCACAGGACTTGATGATAACAGCCATGAATCAATAAATGAGACCTGAACCATAGTTTTTTTTTCCCTTTCAGTTGCAGCCATGTGTAATGTACATAAATTTCCTCAGCAATATCAAAAGTTCTAAATTTAAAATTGCCAAGTATTAGCATGGTCGGCTTGTCGTGGTATTCCATCACAAATTACAATATTAGTACAGGGTTCCTTTTGTGTTGACAGTTAACACGAATTAATTGTAAAGTGTAAACATGGGCATAGATTGAATATTTGAATTGCATAAAAAATGAACTCGTAATACTCCCTCCGCCTCAAACTACTGGTTAGTTTGTCCTAAGTCAAACATTTATATCTTTGGCCATCAATTTCTAGAAATTCATATAGTATAATATCATAGGATTTCTATTTTTAGATTCATCATGAGAAATACTTTCTAATATATAATTCACATGCTAAACTATACGAATTTCTAGAAATTTGATGGTCAAAGATAGAAATGTTTGACTTAGGATAAAGCTAGAATGACAAGTAATCTGAAACAGAGGGAGTAACAAAAACTACACATTATGGCACTATAGTATATTTGCAACCCGAGATCATCCAAGTGAAATGGAGAGGAGAGCTAAACATAGAAGCAGATACAATCTGTTCTGTTTATTTCTCTAATCTATAACTATCAGGTTTATGTACTTATGTAATATTGTAGGACATGTCAAACATCATTTAACTAATTATGTTCCTCCTTTTCTCAGTGGTGATTCGCATGGACTTATGGCATAAGGCAGTTCACAGCTGATAACCCAAATTATGTTCAAATACCTCATACACTTGAATATTCCCAGCAGAACTAAATGCATCAAGAAAAGGTAGGCTCCACGTTTCTGCCATTTTCTGTTGAACAGGAGGAATCTAGTTAGCCATAGAACAACTGAGTGTATAAAAAATCAAACAAAAGATCAACAAGAATGGAATTGGCATGTATGAAAATAGCATAAAACCCAGTTGGTTGAACATGCGTAGTTGTAGTTATCCATTGGAATGCTTGATGCATTTGTCCTTTTAGAACCAGATAGTAATAGTTAATTTAATTCCATAAACTATTTCGCTGGAGTAATTAATCCCCTGATTATTTTTCATCCACTTTGCTCAACGAACTATTATACCAGGTCACTACTTTGCTAATGAATTTTGTCTTCTTTTCTAATTATCAGGTTTTCACTTTAATCAAAATGTTGTGGGATGACGGACGGCGTCACAGCGCATGTTACAAAAATAATTTCAGAGTTTTTCATGTCTGTTTTAGAGGAGTCCTTTTTTTTCCTTTTTTTTTTGGGGGGGGGGGATGAACCTTATGCAGAAGAGAGAAAAAAACTGAGCATAGACAACAAGAGAAACGGAAACATTATAGCTTGATCTAGTTTGCCAATTTAAGTGGGTAAGAGAACCAGAAATGACATCATTTTTGTTATAGCAAGGCTTGGCTCAAGTTAGCGAAGCTATTGTGAAAGAGATAATCCAAGAAATGCCATTGACAAGCGTCCAAGTCCCAGAAATGCCATCGACAAGTGTGAGTTCCAAGAAATGCCATCGTACAAACGACTTTGTCCCAAAAATGCCATCGCCGTTAGGGTTCCGTCCATTTTACACCGTTAAATACACTGTTCATCCTATAGAACTTAACGGCGCAAAATGGATGGAACCCTAACGGCGATAGCATTTTTGGGACAAAGTCGTTTGTACGATGGCATTTCTTGGAACTCACACTTGTCGATGGCATTTCTGGGATTTGGACGCTTATCAATGGCATTTCTTGGATTATCTCATTGTGAGATGTTAACTACAGGTTGATCTTAAATTTGCTAAGAGAAAATATGCATTTAACAAACCCAACCAAGTGTTGCTCTTTTCTTTTTAAAATCTAGAGGCTGCTCTAACAGCAGCTGTGCAATATTCAAAATTTTTTTTTTGAGGAACACTATTAAAATTACGAAATACAACCATCTAAACCAGGAGCTTTAAATTTCAGTAGGTAAAATGTTCATGAGAAATGACAAACATTAAGAGGCAAAACAAAGATTATTTCTGTACAAACCCATTGGTACACATTCAAGACATACACTAGTCCAAGTGCTTACAAAAATGGAAAGACAATTAAACAAGCTATTCATTAACTCCTGACTTTAGTAAAGATATAAGTACATCTCGTTGAATCATAATGTGGGTGTCTAGCAAGTACTGTATGACTGAAAAGCACAACCTCGTAAGCCATGAAGCGTGTATCAAAAAGTGCAAGCAAGCCATATACGACAACGATGGGAACAGATATCTGATATACAGATGGGAAATCCGTAAATGAAGATATAATTCACCATACCTGGGAGCTTGCGCGAAAGGAAAGGCACACCAATGAAGCATCAGGAACCACCATATCACCAGCCTTACAATCATCATTTTGTGTGTCCACTGTATTGCCAGTCTGGGGATCATCGTTTCGCGGAGGTGCGACAAGCGGCAAATTCACTGTCCTGCCATCAGGGGACTTCACAGAAAGATCAGGGAACTTCACGGCTGCGATTTCCGGAATGATGATCTTATTCGCTGTCGCAAGCTGCACAATCCACGCCACAACGAAGAGTTGATTAAACCTCATCAGCAGCTAAAGATGACGGACATCTCTACCCAGCATTGCAACATAAACACAGTGAAACAGAATAATCTTTACGACAACATATGCACACCTTGCCGCCGTTCTTGCGTATCTCTGCGATGTCGGCGAAGTACCCCCTGCTCATTTCATCCATACTGCACTAGAACAACAGTTAAGAGAGATCTTAAACATCACAATTCACACATTTGCTCCAAAAATTCCATGCAGTACTAGCCCCGATTGCCAAAGGTAGTGGAAGTAGCCTTACAGCCTGGCCTTATCCTTCTCCTTCTTCTCGATGGTCTCCTTACTCGCCTTCTACCCACCACCAAAAAAAAAAAACACAACCACCCCAACCCATCAGCCGCCGCTGCAGAGAGAAGCAAGTAGAGGATGAGACACCAGAGAGGCCATACGAACCATGTTGAGGCCGAGGAAGCCGCGCGCGAAGACCGCGCGCGCGGCGAGCGAAGCCTCGCCAGAGCTAGCGCGGCGCAGCATCCCCGCCGCCCACCGTGCCCTCATCATCGCCGCCGCCGCCGCCGATCTAACCGGTGAAGAGGAGGACGGAGTAGTAGTAGTAGTTTACATGGGCCGCCGGCTAATCTCGTTATGGGCCGAACAAACAAAAAAAAAATTCAACTTTACGCTATCGCAGTTAGAAGACGTAAAATAACTTTACGTATTCGCTTCTGTTATTGTGCCCGTGGTGATAGAAACCGCCGATCCGGATTCCAAAACCGGCGGCGCAAATCACAAGCGAAGCAAAGCAAAACACGCCTTCGCCTTCGATTCGATTCTTCTCCACTCCGGCCATGGCGTCCGCCGCGTCCTCCTCCTCGTCGTCGACTCAATTCGAGTAAGCCCCCCTCCCCAATCTCATCCTGCTCAAAGATCTCTCGCATCTCACGCGTCGGTGCGCTTGATGCAGCGATGCGGCGGCGAGGCGTCAGCAGCAGCTGCAGCAGCAGCGGAAGCCGCCGTTGCTGATGCTGCTCCCGCTCATCTACGCCCCGGTGCTCCCCCTCAGTACGGAATCGCGAACCCCTGTGAAATTCGTGGTTTGTTTGCTCGGATGATCGTGCTGCTGATTTAGGGTTTGCGGGGTTTTTTTTTTTTTCGTTGTGAACAGTTAGGATTGGGTTGCGGCACAACCCGGTGTGGAGGGATCGCCTCTTCTACGGCGTCCTCGCCGGCGCGTTCGCCCACGGCACCTACCTCATGTAAGTGTTTGCTACATTGCGCACCCGAGCTCCTGTATGCAGCTATGCACCGTGTATTTGCTTGTGATGGTTCATGTTCATGTATGATTCGTCATTCATGTACAATGCCAGGTTATTGTGATTGATATCTCCCTGGTTTTATTAGCTGTCTGATATGCACGAGGTAAAGCGATGTATTGTTCTGATTACTTCGAAGGGGATGTGTATGTGTTTGTGCCTAGTTGTTATCGGTGAGGCTTCTCAGAAAGGGTGTAATTCCGTTAGAATACGATATGGCAGCTGTTGAGTTTTTCAGCACGTGTAGTATGTATATATGGCTAATATATCTGTTTGTTAAGTAGTAGTATATATGATAGCTATGCAATGACCTGTTCTCTGTTTTCTCTAATACAAATGCTTCACGCGGACTGTTGTACCATAAATGATTTCAATGTCTGCCGCTTGCCAAAAATCTGTAGTTGTGATCACTGCAAAGGAACTATTTTTAGTTCTTCTCCCATGCTCACAGAAAACCTTGGGGGAAGATTTTTGGAACTCAGTACACAACAACAGTTTTATATTGCTTTGAGTATAACCAAAATTGATGTGATTGGGTGACTTGGCGAGTCAGCCATTACTGATTAAGCACATGAAGCATGGATTCTTTAGTAGAATTTAATCTCAGCAATCTTGACAATCAACTATGGTGGTATAATCTTCTTTACAGTTTTTTCCCCCGATTACTGCAAAGGGAAGACTTGATGTATTTGCGCCTACTGCCTAGTTTTCACTTAGGATGTTACTAGTAAGGGTTGTGATATTTTGGCAATGAATTGACTTGTATCACAACACTTGAGTGCTTGTACCTTCATAATGTGAGTTTGAGCATGAGGAAAGGTAGATGCATCCAATCGTAGCAGTATTTTGTTTTCTGCTTCAACCGAGTTGCTGCACATGGTTTCTGCCATTATATGGTTCCAGACTTTTTGGGGCTTACTAATGTAATACTGCTGTGGAAGTGTGGAGTTGAGGTCACTGCAGAGAAATTTTAGTCTAGTGTATATCCACTTTAGATATGAATTTAGTAATTGAGTATTGACAGATTTTATATAAAAGAAGGAAGTTTGGGCCTAAATAACTACTCCCGCCGTTATTAAATGTTTGCTGCTGTTGACTTTTGGGCATGATGTTTGACCGTTCATCGTAAATGTGCAAAAATATAAGGCATGCTTAAAGTACTTTTAGTGATAAAACAAGTCACAACAAAATAAGTGATAGTTTTTTGAATAAGACAGATGATCAAACGTCATGTCCAAAGATCAACATCACTCATACATTTGAAAATGGAGGTAGTAGGCCATAATTTTGGGCATGTTACTGCTTGATTGTGGTGATCATTTGATCTCTGCACAAATCTATTCTTCATATCATGCTAGAGGTTGGGTTATTGAAGCCATAAATATTCAACAATATGTCATTATGGTGAGCCTGTCATGTTTGATGGTGAGGCAAAGAATTTTGTTGTTGACTTGTTTGATGCCCTTCCAATGTTTTTAAAACTTGTTCTATCCCTATCATTGAAGTAAGCAGATATACCTTCTTCGCAAGGATAAGCATAGGTTACTCTAACGCCATAACAGAGGGATCTATTGGGATGTTAATTAACGTAATTCACAATAGATGTGCTTATCTTCTTATCTTTGATGTACTTTCAGATCGGAGCTATATGACGTAGAGAGCAAGTGAATCATATCTCTCCAAGTATAAAGTCAAGGGTATCCATCGGCAGATTTTGACTTGATTGTAAGTCATCAACTGTTAATGAGAGCTGTCCGGTTTTTCAGGTTGATAAAATGGACCATGTATCTATCATTTTTGTTAATCCATTTAGGCTTTTATGGTTGCTGTAATGATAGAATATTGGAGCACACATAATAATTCTGACTCTGGAGCAACATGTCCGGCATTTTTTTCCAATTTGATGCACTTGTGTTTTCCTGCTTATATTGATTTGTCATAGCCACCCTATTTCTATTCTATCCAACAAAAAATATTTTTCTTTTCCCCTTTTATTTATATGTAGCTATATTTCAAAGGAGAGCAGTTTCAACATGTACGAGTAATATGAGATCGCTCTTATCAGGCCATGTTTAGTTGGCCTGTGTGATGTGCCATTTTGTCCAGCTGATCACGTTGTGCTGTGTTGCTCTTAACTCCTTGGTCTTGACGGTACCAAAAATTAATCCTAGATGCAGATTATTAATATCTGTCTATACTGATGAAAGAAACGGGAACTTTGCCAAGCAGCAGCTGTTATATATGCATGCACTGGATGGATATTTCCTTGAGCTCCCGTTGGACAAGAAATGGTTTGAGCTCCCGTTGTTTCCTTGCTACCCATGAGGCCATGACATATCGACATGCCCTTCCTTGCAAGTTCCTAACAATTTCTACAAAAAGGAACAATGATTAAACAGAAGGATTCCAAGCCTTCCTGTTCACTCCTGTCTGAAGCTTTTCGAGGTGTTTAGCAAGAGAGAAGAAAGTCACTGATATAAAAGCAATTGATCATTTTTATCACCCTAATTTTATCCAAACTAACAAGCGTATCATTATGCTATAAGCACATTGTCGTAGGCAATGAACACAAGAATGATTCCATGTTGGCTATAGCTGAAGCATGGTCACATTAGTTGAGGCAGGCTTTGCAGGCTGCTAATAAAATACGATTTGGCCAAAGCTAAACAAAGCTGCCGCACGCGATGGCCGGCCGGCCACTTGCCAACCAGTTGAACATTTTTTTCATTCTGCAATCAGGATTATATACTGAACATGGAGTAGATTACTCACGGGCATCACTATAAACGAGTGATTAAATTAATCAAGGCAAAGTACGGCGATGGCTATTACAAACAGATGGAGGTCAGATTTGATGCGATGCGATGCTTCACGGGAGGCTTCGTGTGTCTGCCTTTTGAGTATAGATCTGAAATCTTGGGTGTAGGATTGAGAGCAACGGGTTTTTTGAAGGAATTTTGTAGAACTTGAACTAAATTTGTGTAGAACTTCTGTAAATCTAAATCTAACGTGTTCGTTTTCAATCCTTGGTGTTGGGATTGAGAGCGACCAAGTTTTTGGAGGAATTTTATAGAACTTTGAAGTAAATTTATGTCAAAATTCTGCAAATCGAAGTCTAGTGTGTGCTCGGAAAGATCAGTAAAGCGTAACGAGGAGATGGTTTGGATTGCAGCTTCACGATGGGGACAATAAACAGATAATATAATCAGTGTAGCAGCATTATTATTCCGTTTGTTCGGGATTAGTTTGTACTATTATTGTTGCTGATGCCTGAAAGGGACATGTAATTGATAAGCCTTACAAAATGAACCTAACAATACATCTCAGAATGGTGTGGTAGATATCACAAGTTCACAACCTAATAATAATCAAAATGAACCTAACAATACATCTCAGATTGGTGTGATAGATATCAAAACCTAATAACAATCAAAATGAACCTAACAATACATCTCAGATCTATTTAAGATCATCATCGGAGAGCACCTTTAATCCGTAATTAATCAAAATCACACCACACTAAATCCGCAATTAATCAAAATCACAACACAAACTACAATACTCATAGTGAAATTGCTGAGACATGGATTGGAGATCAGAATTGGATCCAATCGATTGGAAATGAGCAGTACAACAAACCTAATGGATCTGATGCATCATACTTCGCCACAAGCGAGTAGATCTATCTCAGATCCAGATTACATTTCATCTCGAGATTACAATTCGGGAGAAAACGCAAGAAAAAAAAAAGCAGAGATGGATGGAAGCAAGGGATCAATCCTAAAAACCAGATCCCTTCTAAATTCTTCTAAATTTCCTCCGCAACGAGACGAATCCCACCCCGGATTTTATATACACGCCATCGCGGCGACGTCGCGAGCTGTGGGCTCCATCTCCCTCCTCCGGTGGCGGCGGCAGCGGCGCGCCTAGGCGGAGCGGGCGAGGCGGGAGGCGATGGCGGAGTGGTACATGGCGTCGTGGAAGCTCTCCGTCTCCACCATCCTTGCGCGCAGCTCCCGCGCCTTCTCCTCCGTCAACCCGCCCACGAACGGCCGCCTCCGCGCCTCGCTCTCCTCCGCCGCCGCCACCACCGCCGGCGCCGGGGCCTCGATGTAGTCGGCCTTCCCCGACCACCCCAGCAGCGGCGCCCACCACTTGCCGCTCTCCCCCGCCGCCGCCCGCGCCCTCGCCCTCCCCGCGGCGGCGCACGGCCGGACCGCGCTCGCGGCGGACGGGCGGGCGGAGAAGGAGACGGTGGATGCGGAGGACGTCGCCATGGCCATCTTCTTCCGGATGGTTGCTTCTCTTGTAAGCCTTTTGGATTGATTTGTGAAATGTTGAGATGATTAGGGTTTGGGGGGGTGGTGGGGGAATTTATAGGGGGCGGGAGGAAGGGGAAAGTGGGGGAGGAGTGGATAAGACCGCCGCGTGGACACGTGGCGGTCGGTGTGGGTTTGCCGTTGCGCGTGACGGTGAAGCGGTGGGGGTGGCGGTTGGGGTGGTTGCTTCCGCGGTTTGCTGCGCGTATAGTACTGTACTACCGTTGGGTTGGGTGTGGCCGGTCGAGTTATGTTTTTTCTCTTTTTTTTTTAGGAAATTGGAACCATGCCATTATAATTTTGTAAAATTTAAGATATGTCATTCTGACCCACATGTCATTGACTAATGTGGGTCCTACATGTCATTGAGATACCGATGACATATCTTAAACTTTATAAAATTATAATGGCATGGTTCCAAATTACCTTTTTTTAAGGGTTGTGTATGAATGGATGACAGGTGGGGTCCCGAATGTGCGTGTTTTTATTAGTGTGACGTAGTGGTGGCACCGTTGTTACTAAGGCCCTGTTTACTTTTCACGCAAAAACTTTTCACCTCGTTACATCGAATATTTGAACACATGCATAGAATATATTAAATATAGATAAAAAAATTAATTACACTGATTGCGTGTAAAAAAGGCTTCGTATGAGTGTCTCTATGATTTAGTTGTTATCACAATATGAAAACAGTTTTTCATATTTTTTTTCTTTATGTCAATCACAAGTTCTCTATGATTTAGTAAAATTTATAGCGCGATATGGGTTTTTTTTTCCATTTTTTGTGTGTCCATCATGAGGTCACAACCGTTTCTCATCTCAACCTTAATTTATGCTAAAACCTCCAAAATGTTTATATTTTAGAACATAGCGAGTAATTTTGAAAACATTGCTTTCAATGTATTATCTTCTTTAAAAACTGAAAACACATCTACATAATGTTAAAAATGTAAATAGTTTTGCCTGAGTTCGCAAAATTCAAATGCGACAGTTCAAACATTTTCACTTAATGAAATGGAGTCTTCAAATAGGTGGGGATAGATCCCGTATAGTGAGTCCGTGTGAAAATTTTCTTGTAGTAAAAAAGAAAGTTTTATGTCTCCTCTAAATGAGTTGAAATGTCATATTAATATGTGTGGTACTAACATTAGAAAACTTTTTTTCTCAGAAATGTGGACATTGTTGCAAAGCATAGCACAACCTAATGGTATTTAGGAAAAAGATCTTCGCTTATTTATAGTTCTACGATTTTTATTGTTCATGAGTGGTAAGTCAGGCACTATGTTACCCACAACCTCCGCTTCATCCTTTACAGACCTCAAGGGGCACAAAAGGGTTATCTTTTTTTTTTCAAGGACAAAAGAGACGTCTTGACTCTTGAGAGTAGAAAAATGCGAAGTCAAACTTAACAAAAAAAATAAAAGAATGAAAAGATAACAAAGTGTTGATAGACACAATTTATTGATATGTTTCATGCTTAATCAATCATTATCACTTTGTAATGGATGGCATGTTGTATTTATCAAAATTAATAGTCACTTTCTATTAGAAGAACTGGCAAGGCAATTCAGTTGTCCAATCTGGTTCTTCCAACGTTTAGACATGGCGTATAGCAACCCTTAATCACCAAGATAAGGAGTCACCCAGCCTTCTAGATGGTAGTGATTCTAGAAGCCCACTGATGTAAATCAGAATTCGGTTTGAGGATTAGTTAAGGGAGTGGATGAAATTGAAGTTTATGCTAAAGAACACAACCCTTCTATGAAGGGCCTGTTCACTTTGATGAAAAAAAAAAAACATTACCAAATTTTGGCAATGTCAAAATTTTAGCATAGTTACCAAAATTTTGGCAACTTTACCAAAATTTTGGCAGGATTTCTTATATAGTTACCAAAATTTGGCAACAAATTAAATGTAGCCACTTTTTTTTATAACTTTACCAAAATTTGGTAATGTTGAAAATGACATCAAAGTGAACAGGCCCTAAGTCGTCTAAAATGCTACTACTATTTTATTCTCTCTCTTTCATATAAGTCTTTTTTTTTCTTTTTTAATCAATATTTCTTTAGGAATTTCTTAGGTTGTATTCTAATGTGCTAATAAAGGAAGCTACTTCCTTATTTACCGTGAGTACGTATTTTGTGAGAACTTTCTATATCTATTTTTTAAAAATTCAAATAAATCCAATTTTTGAGTTTATAATAATCAAAACTCAATTAATCACACCCTAGTTACTCACTTCGTTTTGTGTGTGCTAAAAACCTTAAGCCGATTGCTTTTTCGAACACAGACTTAGTTAACATTAATTAGTTGCATTACAAAGCCTTTTAAAAATAAAAAGGTTACAATATCAATATTAATATAAAGAAATAGCATTCATTTGTTATTTTTGCCCCTTTTGAAAATTAAGTCCCATTGTTAACGGAGCGAAAATGGAGTGCTGTAACATGGAAACATTGCTATACGTACGATTTGGTGTTTACGATATTCGTACGATGAAATATTTCTGTGTTTAATAACGGTTCCAAGGCTGCTAGTGCTGGTCCCATACAGCCGTCGACCCCTGTATCGCCTGCTCGTCTGTGTTTGATCATACTATGATCGTAAGTTAAAATTATATGCACAACATTTTCATGTAAGATGCGATAAGGAAGGAAGATGGTGAGGACTGTTTGGACTTTGGGTCATGTAAGGCTTGATGACATGGATAAGAAAAAAATATTTCATCCCAAAAAAATATTTTGGATAAGAAAACTCAACCTAGCACACTATATCACTGGCTTTCTTTTGTTACCGTTAACCCTGAAATACTCCCTCTATTTTTTAATATATGACGCTATTAATTTTTGTTATAACCTTTAACCATTTGTCTTATTTAAAAAATTTATACAAATCTTAAAGATATAAGTATTGCTTAAAAATCTTTTAGTGATAAATCAAACCAAAAAAATATATTTACTTAATTTTTTGAATAAGATAAATAATCAAATATAACGTAAAAAGCCAACGACATCATATATTAAAAACGGAAATAATGGGATATAAAGCGGTCCGATAGCTTAACGCTTAGTGACGGAAACAAAGCAAACAAAATCCTTCAGTTAATCTAAAATCAGGTTGTAAAATTCAAAACACCTAGTAAGAAACAGTCTAATAAACATAGGATGATTTTGTGGCTGTGCTTAGAAGGGAAGAACACCTGGAGAGGGCTTGCATACATGATCCATCGTACTCCTACGGTCCCGGGAGTGCTGACTCGGACGTGACTCGGTTGGTCGCGCGGGGACAACACCACGCTCTCCGAGTCACCGGCACCTACGTACGCGGAGGCGGAGACGCGGGGAGTACTTGCTCCGTGCTTAAAAACAACCTTTATTTTGGTGGGATAATATACATCTTATAGTTTCGTAGTACCAAAATATATTTCATTCAATTAAAATTCTTTTATATTTTAGAATGGAGAAAGTAGAATAAGATAGGTATTACAACGAATTTGAATAAATGTATACACATTTATTGTACTAAATCGTATGTTCTATGTTATTTTAGATTGGTTTTTTTTGTATAAATTTGTAGGGATGAATTTCAGAAGTTGTTTTTATTTTCTTATATGAGACGGAGAGCGTAGATCATTTGGCTAGTTCTTTTTTTTTTGGCAGGATCGGAGGGGGGGCCACTGTCGCGTGGGGTCGGCAATGCCTCCCACAGCCACACGCTCGACGGCACACGCATGGTGACTCGGACGTGACTGGGTCTGGGAATTAGTCGTACGGTGGTAGTAGACCAGACCAACTGCGCTGACTCAGCGTGTGCGTGTGGGCGTGGGTAGCCGTACCCGCGTCCTGGTCCATGGGTTCATTGTTTTATTTCTAGTACTCCTACTACTCCACCAATTTCATAATATAAGGGATTTTATTTTTTTTCATTATTTGACCACTTGTCCTATTAAAAAAATTTGTGCAAATATAAAAAAAATAAAAAGTTGTACTTAAAGTATTTTAGATAATAAAGTAAGTAAAAAAATAAATAATAATTTCAAAATTTTTTGAATAAAACGAGTGGTCAAACAGTGTAAAGCAAAAACTCAAAATCCCTTATATTATGGGACGGAGGGAGTAGTATATAATATCACGTGTCTAATTTCATAATATAAGGGATTTTATTTTTTTTTCATTATTTGACCACTTGTCCTATTAAAAAAATTTGTGCAAATATAAAAAAAATAAAAAGTTGTACTTAAAGTATTTTAGATAATAAAGTAAGTAAAAAAAATAAATAATAATTTCAAAATTTTTTGAATAAAACGAGTGGTCAAACAGTGCAAAGCAAAAACTCAAAATCCCTTATATTATGGGACGGAGGGAGTAGTATATAATATCACGTGTCTATTCATGTGGTTTCTAACATTTCTGCTCCTTGCATTATTGCTACTCCCTTTTCTCGTTGAAACCTTTCATCTTTTAGGAAAAAAGAAAGACATAATACAAACACAAAAAGCTTTTTTATATAAACACACGCACTTATATGAATACACCGTATGAGCACATCCTTTGGAACTTTGATCACTAAAAATTCTCCATGTTTAAGTGAATAATAAAGAAAATACTAATGCTTTTATATTTTTAAGGATATAATGCACTTCGATAATACAATGTTGTTATAATTACTTACTATTTTTATTTTTGCAAAAAATATTAAAATTAAAATATGAACGGTGCCAATCAATGACGGACCCAAACCTTGGTCCACCTGGGCATGGCCCAAAGCCCGGTGGTTAAAGGCCATGGTACCGCATATAAATTCACCATGTATTCGATATATCATATATGGGCTACCCTGGGACCTACCCAAATTCTAGGTCCGTCCCTCATGCAAGTGCCAAATGGAGTATATAGGCCTGGTTTAGTTGGCAAAAATTTTTAGTTTGGGTGTTACATTAGATATACTATCACACTTTTGAAGTATTAAGGATTCCGAGTATTAAACGTTGTCTAATAACAAAACAAATTACAGATTCCGCCTGGAGACTGCGAGACGAATTTATTAAGCCTAATTAATCCGCCATTAGCAAATATTTACTGTAGCACCACATTGTCAAATCATGTCGCAATTAGGCTTAAAAGATTCGTCTCGCAATTTACACGCAAATTGTGTAATTGGTATTTTTTTATCCACATTTAATATTTCATGCATGTGTCCAAACATTCGATGTGATAGGTGAAACGTTTTTGTTTTGGGAGCTAAACATGGCCTTAGAAGGAACGTAGCAAGAGGCCCCCTCCCCTCAAATCCCAAACCAATTCAAAAATTAGGTCTGTAAAAATGTAAAAGAAAATATACAACATCTGATGCACTTTTTAAAAAATATTTGTGTGTATAGACTTTATAGGTAAAGATATATATTATGAACTTTGTACGTATAATCTTTATGTATAGAAACATCAATAATAGAAAGTTATTTGAATTAGAATTTGAATAAGCTAAATCAACTTTCGACTAAAGACAACCAATCAACCATGCAATTTGAGATCTTTGGTCTTATTAGGGGCAACTACCACTATTTGGCTTTGCAGAAATGATGTGGTTTTTGAAAGGAAAAATATATCTTCTCCTTTTCAGGTTATTTTTTTTATTACACATTGGCTCCGTCCATGGGTTATCCTCCAGAAGGTCAATTTGCGGAGTACTATCATTGCGGCTTGTCAATATTTGAAACTAGTGACCATGGAGTTTTCTACTCCGGCACATGGGTAGCGTTCTAGGCTATGGATAGAGGGCTCCTGAAGTTCTTTTTGTTCCTACTATTTTGGATGATGAGTTTATCTTTTGTTTCTTTCTTATTGGTTGTGTGCACTCTTTAGGTGCAGAAGCCGAAGGTGCTCTTAGAATAATTGTCTTGGTGAAATTTACTGAGATTAATAAATCTTTCATTATCTAAAAATCAACTTTCGACCTATAAACTTTGAGTATATAAACTTTAGGGTTATAATTAGTAAATGTATAAACTTTAGATATATAAACTTATCCGGAAAAAGAAAAACCATATTGTGCCAGAAAGGGTAAACTGTGAAAAAGAAAAAGAAAACAATCCCATGGAGTGACTGACAGCTCATTAACACTTTTGGGAAGTACGAGGTTGTTGCGTTGATGTCTAAATCAACATTATTTAATTTTGGTAGTACCAAATTTTAGCATTGCAATATTCAATATGGTTAAGATGTGTAAGATATATTTAGTTTGTCACTTTTACTAGGTTTTTGTTAGAGTAATATTCTAAAATTACTAGAGTAGAGTAATAAAAGTAATTTTGAATGTTTATATCATTACCTTGTCAAAATTTGATAGGGTTAATTTTGCCAAAGTGAACATCCCATACATAACAGAAAATCCATAAACTATGGAGACACATTGACATCATGAATGAATATCAATAAACCACGACGGTCCATCATACATGACCCATAAAAAAAATTTCTGCTCTTTATTCTTTGACTAGTGAATAACTGAATACTCCTATATACCTTTGCTCTTCGCTACAGGCTACACGCAGCACCGGCGCTCTGACATCACCATGCTGTTTACTTTTAACATCGATCGTGTTGTAATCCGTTGGTACCAATAACATTGCTCATTACACAACAAAAACACACCCTTAATCCTACCTTTTAATTGTATCCCCCCTACCGTTCTGGTTACATATAATACAGGTTTAATTTGCTTTTCGCAAGCAGCAATGGGAACTACTTTAGATGTCCAAAACTGCCACAGTTCCTCCCTGCTTCGCCATCTATTGGTACCAGTTTTTACTACCTCGAATGCAATTACTCTCACTGTAATAAAAAAATGACTTAATGAACCGTGAGATAGCAATACCTCTCACTTTGCACCGAAGCATCTTCCTTTGGTGCTTGGTGTTAGAAAGAACGAAAGAAAGTTCTTCCTTGGCCATATCCTTCTGAAATTTAGGATCGTGGAGGAGTAAAAGTCGGAATCCGAGAAAGTTCTCTGGTCATCTTCACCGAATTAAGCTGTCAACAAAAAGAAGAAGATATTAGCTTCCAACTCGGGTTATAGTTGAAATTAGGATCAGTAGACGTTGATTCTGTAATAAGCATACTTAGTTAGATACCCCTATATTCATAAATATAAGGGATTTTGAATACTGTGAAGTACTGCTTTCCCAATCTAGTATCTAACCACTGTATTTATTGCTTATTGATAGTTAGTCCTGCTCTATAATATACTTTTAAAATATACGGGATTTTATGATCCCTTGATAATATTTTATTTACTTTTATACTAGTTTACTCTTTATCAGTTTATTCTCCTAACTACTGCGCAGTTTACTTTCGAAAATGCTCACACCCGGGCGACCGGCAGGGGTGGAGAAAAATCGGACGCTGCTTTTGTACCTACCACTATATGTCTGCATGCAAAGAATCTTTTCCCCCGTACTCCCATCTTTCATTCCTTCAAAAGATTTTTTCTCTTAAACTATTAATCTAATCTACGATATGATTGCACCACTAAATTCGTTACAATTAATCTTTACAACAAGACCATACATGATTATATTTCGATAAAAAATATTTTAGTTTTTTTATTGATTTTTTTAATGTTGCATATGGTCTCTTTTGATGTTTCAACTGGTAGTTTTACAATGTTTCAGCTAGTGTACTCATGATGTTTCACTATATACGGATCAAATGTTGCAGTGGATTTTGATATTATGGAACACACCGTTGCAACAAATCACCCACATATTTTAGAAACTCTCTATTAAGGGAATTTAGTTTATTTTTTGTTTCACTATGTATAGATCTAATGTTGCAGTGAACGAAACACTCCATTGCAACAAAAAACCCACATATTTTCGAAACCCCCTATTAAGAGAATTTGGTTTATTTTTTGTTCCACCGAAAAATATTTCACCTAGTGTACTACCAATGTTTCACTGTGTACAGATCTAATGTTGTAGTGAACTGAAACATTCTTTCGCTATTTACTGAAACATTGTTTTTATATAAGGTGAAACAACATCCGATTTAAACTAGTGAAACATTTTCGATCTACTTAGTGAAACAATTCCGATATACTTGGTGGAACATCATACAACATTTAAAAATAATTCAATAATAAGCTATTTTTTTTCGTCGGAATATATCCATGTGCGGTCTTGTTTTGAAGATTTAATTGCAACGAATTTAATGGTGCAATTGGATCATGATTTGGATAAGTAATTTAGGAGAAAAATCAGTTTAAAATAGTTTTGCACGTAAATCGGGCGCTGACGCCATGCTGACATCAGCACCTGATTTTGCTCCCAAGCCCATCGGCCTGATGGGCGTCCGAGCCGTAGGTTCGTCCGTTTACTTTTATACATGATTTTTTTTTTAAAATTCCTTAACTTTTTATAAAAAGATGTCATAATCTCTTCTATTATGGGATAATGAAGAGAGTATATGCTGACGTCAGCGCCCGATTTTGCTCCCAGCCCATCGGGCTAATGGGCGCCCGAGCCGTAGGTTCGTCCGTTTACTTTTATACATGATTTTTTTTTAAAATTCCTTAACTTTTTATAAAAAGATGTCATAATCTCTTGTATTATGGGATGATGAAGAGAGTATATTGCTAAACGTGATCTTTTCTAAGCAAATAAATTCCTACGGGTATCAAGGCAACTTTACCGTGATTTTAAAATTCTGCTAAACAATCTCAAGGTTTGTTTGGGGAGCTTAAGATTCTAAAAAACAGCTGGTTGGTAGCCAGCTTCTGAGAATCCGGAAAAACTGACTTTTGTAGCTTCTGGCTTCTAGTTCATTTTCTGGATTTTACGACTATAACTTCTTAGAATCTGGATCAAAGTTAGATTGTTTGAGGAAGCTTCTGATTCCTAGGAAAATCTGCAGCAGCTACAAGCTCTCCAAAATAGGCCTCAATCTAAATGGCTTTTTTTTTTTTGGGGGGGGGGGGGGGGGAGGGGGGTGGGGGGGGGGGGCAGGGGAAATAACCCCATCGCTGGATATGAGTCGGTACCTGTATCAGCCTCTCGTCACGGAAACTCTTGGTCCTGTGCTTCAGTTCACCACGATTAGTCGTGAATTCATCCAATATCTCAGAAGCATATTCAGGGCTGGCATCGCTGCAGCGCGAAACGGAAGCATCTTCGTCCTGTGTAAAGAGCCAAAGCCAGAAGATTCAGATCATCTTAGAAAGCAGTTAAGACTTTAAGAGTGATGGCTAAAGCCTACTAGAGGTAGGAAAATTGCCAAACTACACATGCGTAAGGCTATACTGTTCGTCTATTCCAATAATTTAACATTTTGGTTGCATTAAACTAAAATACTCAATATGGTCCAAAAGAAAAAAAAAAGGCTATGTATTAGAAAGACGTGCAAAGAACCTAGCAGACCAAAAGGCATTCTAAATTCAGTCAAAGATGTAGGAAAATTGCCAAACCACACATATGCATAAGGCTATACTGTTCGAGTAATTTAATATTTTGACTGCATTAAACTATAATACTCGATTTGGTCAAAAAAAAGGAATGGTATGTATTAGAAAGACGTGAAAAGAACCTAGCAGACCAAAAAGGATTTTAAATTTCAGTCAAATATATGAGCTACTAGAGTTTAAGTGCTCCGCAGTCAAATATATGTGGGAAAAATAATGTGCAAAAAGAAAAAAAAAAGAAAGAGGACAAAGAATTCATACCGTAGACGGATCACGCCGCACTCCCTCAAGTTCTTCGTACTCAGCTGCATCCAATTCCCACAGGTGGCGTGGATCGAAGAATTTCGGGAGGATATACTGTCTAATGACAATGAGAAAGAAGAACAGCAGTGGGAAGAGGATTCCAGCTACTGGTATCCATGTCATCCCCCAGACGATCAAGAGATAAACCAGCTGGAAAATAGTGAAGGCAGATATTTTCTTGATAGGTACTGACTCCATGAAGGATGCATGAGCGCCTTCCAGAAGCCTGTCCAATTTATCAAGAACAAATAATAATTAGTACTGAAACTTATGTTCCTGCACTCAAAACTGGCTTAGCAAGAACTAAACACACATAGCAAGAACTAAACACGCATAGCATGCTGACAAGAAATGAATAGACAAGTTCTACGATCCTTGGGAGGTTTTAGAGGCACCATTAAATAATACATTTTGACAGTATTTGGTATCTCCCAAGTTATAGTAACACTCCCCCTCGTATCTTTAAGGGCCTGTTTACTTTGATGCCATTTTCAACCATACTATTTTAAAGTTGTCAAAATTTTGGCTATGTTTAGTTTGTCGCCAAATTTAGTAAATACATAAGAAATCCTATCAATATTTTGACAATATTAACATCTTGCTAAAATTTTGGCATTCGGTAAGATTTATTTTGGCTACAATCTAAACATGCCCTAAAGTTTTTAAAAGGGCTCGTCTGAATAGATACAGAACGCAGCTAGATGAGGGCTTACTTGTAGCGCCGTTGAGGTGAAATGAACAGAAGTTGTGTCCTCTCCCAGAACTGGTTTCCCGGAACGCTGTCAATGGACATATAAGCAAAGTAACCCCAAAGGACTGATGTTGGTATCTTCTGAATGATTGGCATGACTCCAACACAACCAGCGATCAACAGGGACTGCAACAGATTGCTCACTCTCTGCTCATTCACCCGGACAGGCAAGTAAGCTTCTATATGCTTTTCAGGATCAAATACCTCAGACACCCTCCCTGCTCCATTTCCCTCTGGAATAACTGCATCCTTCAATTCCTTCAGCTCTTTGCGTACAGATTTGGCCTGCAGGGTATTAACAGAGATTTTTTTTAGGAAAATATTAACAGAGATTTTTACTGCATGGGGCTAAGTGGTGCATTTATTTTGTCTTGCAGACAGAACGGAATGAATGATTATATTGTTTCTTCGAATAACTTAATAAAATCTAACAGAGATACTATTTTATTAGGACAATAATCTCACTGATGACGCTGGTAGTTACTAATTAAAATGTTCACAAGGGGAAAAGGCCCTCTTTGAAAAAACGAAGCGGATATGATTAATCAAGCAGTATGAAGCAACAGTATAATTAGTATTGTACTGAGGAATGAATATATTCTGGTGTATACTGTATACTTTATACTCACATTGGATTTATCATCCATTTTGATAAAAACTTCTTGCATCTTTCCATAAACTTCTGAACTGCTAGCATTGTTCATCATACCCTCCTTGGCAGTTTGGACCATCTTTTTGCGAAGCAACTAATCAAAAGAAATAGAGATAGCACTTGAGCAAAGGCAAACTGAATAGCATAAACAGAAATACGTAAGGAGTATAAACACGTCAAAATCACTAACCTGCCCCTTGAGGACGGCAAGGCTTCTAGTGTGCATGGGGGACTGGGGAAGTACTCCATTAGATGGAGGGATGCCAATAAGACCACAAATCAAGACCTGCATGGCATTTGTATCCTATTGAGAAAAAAGCCATTTCTATAGCAAAGTTTGTAAGATCGTGTATACATGTCTCAACAACTTCCACTTATCACCAATTATTTTATATTTTTGTGTTCCCATAAGCAGTAGGAATCAAAGGATTGCATCCTTACTGCAAAATAAGAAAATGTATGCTACAGAGGCAACTACAAATGGCAAATCATACCATAAAGCTGAGGACCAAAATGTCATAATGGTAAGCCGATGGGTTTTTCAAATTAAACTCCTTCTGCTGAGCCAGTTGTGAAGCTACACTATGATCAAAGAAATAGAGCCCGGCAACCATTACAGCAGGCACAATAGCCAAAAATATGTATGGTGGAGGGACAGAAAACAAATCCTGCAAAATCAATAGCGAAAAGCACATCAAAATTCCAACATCGAATATATCTACATTTTACATTAGATCCTGGAATCAAAATAAACTGCATCACAACCTTTGCTACTGTCCAATGCTGCAATGACTTTGGTTCCCAAGGAAGTGGGGTGAAGAGCCTCCTAGGAACCCCTGAAGGGATCTTGCTTGGCAATGAATACGACAAAGCTGTCCAGACTACAACCATGAGTGGAACGCCATAGTCAGCAATGAAGCTTCTTTGCCACCCTGCAGGTTATTAGCTGGCGTATGAGTAGTTGATATTTGGAGACTGAGATAAAAAAAAAAAATTAAGGTACTTATGACAAACCAGTGCCGTATAGCGATGATCTTGCACTCCTGCTACGTATTGCTGTGTATAGCAGGCCCATTGAAAAGATAATTCCAAGCAGACCATTAACATAAGCCCATTGGAATTGGTATATCGGTAGACTGTGGTCTTTACCCTCGGGCACACTGAATTCACCCAACATCCCCTGCAGAACAAAGACCATGTAGTAACAGTAAACTAAATTAGAGCACACTTTATATGTTATTAACGGTAAGAAAACAAATGACGAATACCTTGACTGCTTCCTGCATGAACAAAATCGTAATCAACATTCCAAATAGTTCTCCAGCAAACCTTGTAAATCTGTTTATAACGACTGCAGCATTAAACATTGCCATGAGGAATAGCATGAAGGCAGTCCAGATGCAAACCCTATCAGTGGCCAAAGAAAAGTGAGAAATGCAGATAACATTTAGTATAACCAAAAAGAAAACTGAAGGAAGGATTGTTATATTTATCAGCCCTTACCATCCAGCCCATGGCAGAAATAGTCTTTCTCCGAGGTTTGGGTGATTTTTGGCAAAATTGTAGATATAAGTGTACATGATTATAGTTGGCTCCGCAACTCCTACAATCAACAGTGGTTGCCCGCCCAATATTGAATGTATGATGCCGCATATAGCGGTTGATGCTAATGTCTCAACTGTGGTCAGTGCACCATCTGAACATGAACAATTCAGATGTCAGAAACTGCGTATAAACTCTGAAGGAGCCACAGTTATCCGTTTGATTGTTCCTTGACTCCGACCAATAGAGAAAGGAAACTGTTATTACTTTCTATTGTCCCCCCGTTTTGAAAGAAGAGTTAATAACTTGTTTCCCTTTTTCCAACTCAAATATTACGGAGAGCTAAAGTATGTAGAACATCGTGTCAATAACTAGGAATGGCGAAGCTCATAGCTGATGTAAGTACAAGGAAGACAATCCAACCTGTATCATTACTCAATTGTTCCCCAAAGGCAACAACAGGTAGTGCAGATGCAAAGAAGATATACAATGTAGGTGCCAATATCCTGAAATAACATAATCAATACAGCAGCCAGAATTAAGAACAAACATGCAAAAATTAACATTGGAAATGTTCGATTACACAAACCTGAATCCAGTACGGAACCCATCTATCCAATCTTGTTTGTAGCAAGATAATCTTCCTTTGAAATCATTAACCACTCCCTCAAATGGGGCTTTCACAGTTCCCGTCATCTGAAATAACTGAGCTAATAAAAATAAATTTCTCGGTGTTGGAATTGCCGGTGTGGGCAATTAAAGCAATTGAAAAGAAATGCCGCGGTTTCTTGTGAAAGGGGGATGAGGATGCACCGGGTGGATGCAGCCTAGTTGCTTGGGATAAGCTCTGTCTGCCGATCGAAAATGGCGGGTTGGGCATCATCAATCTTGGCAGAATGGGCATTGCCCTTCGGACGCGGTGGCTTTGGCTGCGGCGTGCCCAGCTGGAGCGCCACTGGGTGTCCTTCACGTCGCCGCAAGATAGGAAAGCCGAACATTGTCTAGCGGCCGGATGCAGGATAGTGCTGGGCGACGGGAAGAGTTCCTTCTTCTGGACAGATGACTGGCTCCCAGATGGGGGGTCGATCCTGAACTGAGCCCCAATCCTGTGTTCCTTTGTTAAAAACAGAGGCAGAACGGTTCATTTGGCGCTGCAGGATGATGCCTGGACCGGCGACATCAGGGGAGGTCTCTCGCTGCAAGCGATGTTTGAATACCTCCAAATCTGGGACCTTGTTGCCACCGTTTCCTTGAACCCGACTCAGCCTGATTTGTTTTCTTGGAAGCCTGCCGCAGATGGTGGTTTCTCAGTAAAATCAGCCTATTCACTCCTCTGCGCTGGGAAGACACGCTTGGCGGTTGGGAAGCTGATTTGGAAGTCTCGCGCGCCGGCCCATTGCAAGTTCTTCATGTTCCTTGCCATGCGTGGAGCATGCCTGATGGCGGACAACCTCCAGCGGCGAGGATGGCACTTGGCTCCATACTGTCACCTTTGCGGGAAGGATGCTGAATCATGTGCCCATATCTTCCACGCTTGCGAGTACACGAGGGCAGTTTGGACGAGAATCAGGAGTCGCCTGGGACTCTCCTGTGTTTCCCCCACGGAAGACATGTTGGATTGGTGGTGTGAAGCACGCAAATCAGTTCACAAGACGGATCGGGGGACCTTTGATGCTGGGGTTATCTTGGTAACATGGATAGTCTGGAAGGAAAGGAATGCGCGTGTGTTTGATGGACGAGCTACTTCAGCGGTTCACCTTTGTGCCACAATTGTCGACGAATGGGAAACATGGAAGGCTGCCGGGCTACTGAGCGCAATCGCTGGCGGTTAATTTGCTGAGGTTTTAGCAGCTGTGCTTGTTTGTTGTCTTTATTGTTGTGAAGTTTTTTCTGTAACCTAAGCCTTTTCTGGTTTAGGGGCTGCTGTAAAACTCTCTCCTTCTTAATGCAAAACTTGGCCGGTTATCTTTGCCGGCCCGGCGAAAAAAATAAAAATAAATTTTGTACTCACAAAGACATGCCCCATGCATGGGGTTTACGAATAAGTGCATGTAGGATTTCACAAGCCAACTGTGGGCTAAAAGAATGGATCAGACAGGGGTACTACATAAATTTTAGTTTCACAACATCAGACTTGGTTTATGAAAGAATGAAACAGAACTTTCAAACTTGGGAAGGACGGTCCAGCTGTTTGGTGTTTGCCTATTTTTTATGCTATAAGTAGCAAATTGGACATGAACCATTGCATGCCATCATTTGGCTCTTTCATTTTCCCCTTCCTAACCAGATGCTATTTTTAGCTTTACATTTCTATGCATAGTAGGAGCATAGTTTTCATGAATAAGTTGACAGCTGCAAATACTAAGGCCCAGTTTAGTTCCCAAAAATTTTTGCTTTGGGGTGTCACATCGGATATATGGACACACATTTGAAGTATTAAACGTAGTTTAATAACAAAACAAATTACAGATTCTGCCAGGAAACTGCGAGACGAATTTATTAAGCCTAATTAATCCATCGTTAGCAAATGTTTACTGTAGCACCACATTGTTAAATCATGGCGCAATTAGGTTTAAAAGATTCGTCTCGCAATTTCCGTCAGAACTGTGTAATTGGTTTTTATTTCCGTCCATATTTAATACTTCATGCATGTGTCCAAACATTTGATGTGATGGGTGAAAAGTTTTTGTTTTGGGAACTAAACAAGGCCTAAGAAAGAAGGCTTCAAGAAACAAAATAGGGATCACCAGCAGTCTGGCTCAAACAGGCTGTTATGTTAAATTTGGCAAATAGGCAGTGTCTCATAAACTGATTGTTACTTGGAACCACCCAAGAACAGAGGTGCTTGAGGAAATAGGTACAGGAGGGTCCCATTTGGAAAAAAAATGAGATATGATCTGGATATGTTCTGCATAAAGCAACAAATCAAAGTGTTCTACTTGTTTCGAACACGACACAAATAAAGGACTGCCAACTGTTGGGAATGCAGAAAGTTCCATCAAGAATTTACATTCTTCGTACTATCTTTCTCATTTGTGAGTGAATAAAAACCACTAGTACGTTTTTGAACCAGTTATAAACTTTTGAAATATGGTGCAAAAAGGAGTAACAGAAAAACAGTGATCAAACTTGCTTTCAAAAACATTATATCGCTGTTTGAGAAACAGCTGCACTGGATGTGTAGATGTCATAGTAGTAGTACAAGATTTATGACGCTTTTGAAGTGGGGGAAGAACGCAACTGCGCTCGTCAATGGATCATCACGTACCGATCCTACGGAACAATACAAACTGTAACCAATTAACTAGTCCGTATCTGCAAACACACAGCGAATCAGCTTAACGAAAAATCCTGCATCGATGATCAATCGATCGAATTGACAAGAGCAATCATGATGCACAACACGCAAATCAAGCGCCGCATCTTCCCCCAAACGCGTCCCCCCCGCACATCAAAGGGCTCCGAATCCCTGACGATCGAGAGCCGCACGGATGGCCAGGATCGATGGAGCGAAGCGGCGGCGGACGCTCATGAGCAAAATAACCAAATGCAGCCGGAATCGGAGCGCGCGTACGTACCAGGAGCGGCTAGGACGAGGAGGGAAGGCACAAACAATCAAGCGAAGTCCGCAGTCGGGCGGGCGGTGGATCGACGCGGCGGCGCGCAGCGACAATACCCAGCCTCCACCGCGAGCGACGCGCCGGCGGGCGGGGAAACCCTAGGCGTCGGCGGCCGGAGGGGACGGCGGCGAGCGGGTCGTCGTGGCTCTCTCTCTCTCTCTCCTCTCCGCCGGTGACGCCGGCATTTATAGGCGAGCAAATCGACGAGAGGAGGCGAGCTCAAGAGGGAGGAGGAGAAGAAGGGAGTCGGTGTGAGACTCTTCAGCGTGTGACTGACATGTGGGTCCGGCAGAAGGGGGGTTGGAGTGGGGCCCACTTGGCAGCCTGCGTTGCCGTGCGGACACGTAGCGAGGTGATGGGGGGAGGCGAGGGTGGCGCCGCGCCTCACGTCTCGCTTTCTCGGGCGATTCGAAAATTGAAACCGGGGAGAATCGTGGCCGTCCGTTTGATCGATCGGTCAGGATTCGTCCAGGCCCAATGGGCTACGGCTAGCTTTCTCTCTGGGCCTCCTCCCCTCGCACCTCCTCGAAGCCTCGACTGCTCCACGGCCGCCGCCGCCGCCGCCGCCGATCTCTGCTCCGGTGAGCGATGCCGAGGCTTCTCCTTCGCCGTCTCTGCGTACGCCACCGCCGCCGCCCAAAACCCCAAGCCCTCGCCGCCGCCGTCTCCAACGGGACCACCTCCGGTACGCGCCCTCCTCCATGCCGCCGCCGGTGGTTTTGGTTTCACCTCTCTTTCCTAATCCCTTCGCTTCTCCGTCTCTCTATGCGCAGCCATTGCGGAGGAGCTCACCGACGACCTCCTCGTCGAGATCCTCTCGCGCGTGCCCTACAAGTCGCTCTGCCGCCTCAAGTGCGTCTCCATGCGGTGGCGCCGCGTCATCTCCCACCCCGACCACCGCCGCCAGCTCCCGCGGCATCACCTCCAGCCCCTCGCCGGCTTCCTCTACGCCGACTACCGCGTACTAAACCGTTTCCAGATCGTCCCGGCGCTGGATCCCCCTCCCCTCATCGATCCCTCGTTTTCCTTCCTGCCCAAGTGTGATGATCTCCAGCTGGTGGACAGCTGCAATGGCCTCCTCCTCTGCCGCTGCTGGAATCAGCTCAACGAACACAGGACATTCAACTACGTGGTGTGCAGTCCTACCGCGAAGAAATTTGTCGTCTTCCCGGACTCCACCTGCTCCAAGAAGGTCCGGCCGTTTTTGGGGTTTGATCCGGCTGTCTCGTCTCACTTCCATGTGTTCGAGGTTGTGGAGGATTGGGATTATTATGATTGTGATGACGATGATCTGGAATGTGATGGCGTCGAAGATGTTGTCGGATTGAGGATCTACTCGTCCGAAACTGGAGTGTGGAGTGATGAGATTGATAATGGATGGAGCAACAGAATCAGGATTCGGCGTGATCAAAAGGGTGGTTCCAAGAGTGTTTTCTTCAATGGAATGCTGCATTTGGTCGCCATACAGCCTGTGGTGGCTGTGGTGGATGTGGAGGGGAAGAATTGGAGAACCATCCCTCTGGCACACAAGGATGGTTCTCCTTTGTGTGGTGCTCATCCTCCTTGTGCTTCTGGTCCAGAGGGATTCATTGCTCTGTCCCGGGACCTGCTGCACTTTGCAAGTACTGACAGCTATGGTGACTGGGAAATATCAGTGTGGGTTCTTGATGATTACTACGGCGGACAATGGACCTTGCAACACACGGTCAGCACTATGCGTCCATTTGAGCGGACGATGAGGAGGAGGATGAACCCTGATGACTGCACTCTTGTCTGGATCGAAGGACGTAAGATGTTTTTCATGTTTTATGACTATGTTCATTGTATACTCACGTCATATGAAATGGACAGTGGGGAAGTACGATGTCTAAGTCGTCCTCGGAGTTATTGCGAGCCACCATATCTTCCATATATTCCCTTGTTCTTGGAATCATTAGCAGATGGGCCCTAATAATCTACCGTACTGGATGGCAGCTCTACCTGTGTCAATCTTTTCCGATGATATGGGAACTAGATCACCAATTGCTACGAGGATTGAGCCACTTGGACTGCCACAGCATTGTCTTATCCATCAATAGCATGATATATATGCTTTTCTTTGTTTCTGAGATTGACACATTTCTAATGCTTTGTGAAACAGTACTATGTTCTTAAGTTGGATGGAGTATCAATATCAAAGTTCGGTGTGGTAAAAAAGGTTCTTGCTTCATGTTACTTTTGGTTGTGCTTGATTTCACTCCTGTAACCTGACTTTATGGTGCTAGTTATATGTGTGTACTCAGTGACTGCCATTTTCGGTCTAACTTTATGCCAGTATAGCTGTATGTGTTTATTTCTAGTCACTGTAAGTTTTGTCGTCAGACCTGATACCTGTTTGCACATCACAATGGATGTCTATATTGTTCCTTCCCTTACCTTATTTCTGGTTTTCGAGTTTATTTGAATTTCAACAATGCTAGAAATCTGATTACTTCTGTTTGATCTTTGTGAGATGGGAATTTATGCATCTTTTATCGGTACTGTCAACAAGGAAATGATCTGTTATAGTGAAGAGTGGCCACATTTTATTTTAGTTGGGAGTTTATGCATCCAATCCGAAGCCACTCCTTCAGCATTTTCAGAATCCAGAGAAGTCGTTAGCAAACTTTGAAGCTGAGGTTGGGTGGCATCAAATTCAGCCGTAAAAATTTTTGGCATTGGGATAGAAACCAATTGCGGCTTCTGCGCCACTCGCGCTGATTCGGGACAGAAGTTTCAGACACTGAAAGATCTGAATGACTGCACTAAACTCCACCCACCATTAGCTAATTTTATTCTGGTGAGGTAAATACATTCGTTTACACCTGAATAAAGATCGAAGCTTATCTCTGCTGATTGAACTTTGCATTCTGGATCGATCACCCATGGAAACTTGAGAATTGCACACCAGCGCGGAATAAATCCCCTCCAATCCCTCCCTCACAGGGATTAACCGAACAAGCCCTGAGGCCTTGTTCGTTTAATCCCCAAGAGAGAGGGAATGGAGGGGATTGAGGGGGAATAATTACACACCAGGTGTGGAACAAATCCGCTCCAAATCTCTCCCAATCCCCTCGTGGAAGGGATTAACCGTATATCCAACCTATAAGGAAGGGAGCCAAGGTCGACTTTTTCCAAGGCAAAGTATGCAGAAACGAGACAACTTCGTTCCAGACTTCCAGGCCCATAAAACAAAACCGGACCAAGGCCCAAATTCTACCGCATCGTGGCCCTCTTCGAGCAGCTCGTCGCTCCTTCTTCCTTCCCGCAACCCAGAAACCCTCGCCTCGCCTCGCCGCCGTCGACTCGACTCGAACCGGAGCGCCGGATCCAGCCCGCCGCCGTCCCTAGCTCCGCCGCCGCCGCCGCACTGTGGATTGGTTGAGGCGGATTCCAGGGATGGGCGCAGGGGGTGGATCCCGGCGCCGGCGGAGAAGCTCACCGACGACCTCCTCGTAGAGATCCTCTCGCGCGTGCCCTACAAGTCGCTCTGCCGATCCAAGTGCGTCTCCACGCGGTGGCGCCGCGTCATCTCCCACCCCGACCAACGGCGCCGACTGCCGCGGTATCACCTCGGCAACGACATTGTCGGCTACTTCTACAAGTCCAACACCTTCACCAACGTCACAGGGGAAGGCCGCCCTTTTGTTGACCCCTCGCTCCCCTTCCTGCCCAAGTGCGAGTTTCTCAACGTCGTCGATAGCTGCAATGGCCTCCTCCTGTGTCGCTGCTGGAGGCTCGCAGATCCACGGAGATTTGATTACCTAGTGGTTAATCCTGCCACTGAACATTGGGTCATCCTGCCTGATTCCGGCTGGTCTGACAAGGTGCAGACTGCTCGCTTGGGGTTCGATCCAACGGTCTCCTCCTCGCACTTTCATGTGTTTGAGTTTGTGGAGGACGGCGCTGCGGATGTCGATGGGAATGTTGATCGTGACGACTATGATGGGCATGTCAAAGGGGTGGAAATCTACTCATCTGTAACTGGAGAATGGAGTCACAAGGACAATGGTTGGAACTGGGAAATCAGGTTACGCGATGAATCGAATAGTGTGTTTTTTGATGGCGTGCTGCATTTGATCACTATTGAGGATGTGGTGGCAGCGGTCGATGTGGAGGGGAATACTTGGAGGATCATTCCTATGCCTCAAAGTCTAGTTGAGCCTTTCAATGGTATTGGTGAGGGATTCATTGTCCTGTCTCAGGGTTCTCTGTATTTTGTAAACAGCGATCACGATAAACCATATAAAGTATCAGTATGGGTTCTTGAGGACTACAGCAGTGAACAGTGGATCTGGAAGCACACTGTCAGCCATTTACATCTATTTCAAACCAAGAGACTCCTTTTTGGACATGACTACAAAGTTGTCTCAATTCATCCGGAACGGAATAACATTTTCTTGGTTTGGCCGCATAGCAAAATGCTCATGTCCTATGAATTGGATAGCAGAGAAGTGCATTTTATATGTGGCATCGGAGGTTGTGAGTGGGTGATGTACTATCTTCCTTACGTTCCCTTGTACTTAGAATCACTGGCAGATGGGCATTGATCATCGTACTTGCATAGGCGAACGCTTGGTTTGTTAACCTTAAATTATGACATTGGAGTTAGGACACCGATAAGATCAGCAGGAACTTGGCAGATCTTTCTGATGTTGTGCTACATTGTTGTAGGTGGTTGAGTGCGTTCTGCAACCTCACTTTCTGGGGCCAACTTTTCAGTAACTTGGAACTTAATTCGGATTTTGTAATAGTGATGTTGTATTTGATTGTTTGCGATGTTGAAAACCCTCTAGCACTTATTTATGCCAATATTTGTTGAGATTTCATATTACGTTATTTACTATTTTTTTTCCATTGGATCCCCTCCCCTGGTTATGCATAGTACAACTATTTTGTTCTGCTTTGCATGGGAATTTATATTAGTTCTGCTTTGCATGGGAGTTTATATTAATTCGTCATTGCTGAAATAATATGTACTAGTTGAGGAAGGGTACTCTTTTTATCAGATTGTCTAGAATATGTAGTATCAAAAGTTTGAAAAACTATGTTGGTTCCAATATTTGATGTATTGAATACTGACTCACATGAAAGATATTACCACAATCGTAGAACATGTTGGGAGCATACTTGTCTATAACTAATTATTCTTTTTCGTCACACACAAGTTGGCATTACTGTATTTCCCATATGCATATTTTAGCTTCAATGTAATGTTTCATGTGATAGCTGCTGAAATCATGTCAGTGGCGATGGTGGCGGTCTGAGTTGATATTTTATTTTTCTCGGTGGATCTGAATTTTTTGGCGTTGACCAGAAGCTGATTATGTGGTTTCATTGGTCGAAATCGGTAAGCTCTACGGACTCTTAAACTACTATAAGTTATTTAGATAATCATGAAAATATACATGTCTGGTACAATATATGTAAACAAAATCAGGTAGTCAATTTGCTATTATTTTTTTTAAGGTGATACACTGAAGCACGTCACTTACACATTGAGGCATACTGCTCTCACATTCATTCTCTTGGTACGTTAATAGCTCTACTAAGAAATGCTCGTATTTATCCTGTACATGCATTTATTTATGTAAGCAATCAAGGTTACCATTGTATGTGTTAACTGAAACATTTGGTAGGATTATATCGTATGCCATAGGTTGATGCTCGTTCCATGATTCCATCTTGACCCACAACATGCTTTTGCCATTGCTTTCGGCAAGTGTTTGGCAATCCATATAAGTTTTTTTGACATACTGTTTGCTTCAAAGTACGCGGTTAACATTGACTTCTTAGCACCATCCCGGTCAAGTACTCCTTGAATGCCTGCTGTGCTCTATAAAAAAAAGCACTCCCTGAATGTCTTGTTTGCCTCGATATGCAACATGTATTTTGATGCAGCTCGAACTTATGTTTGTTGATAATTGTCGTTGATGGAGCTGCTCCTGGCAAGGTGGCCTTTTAAGCGACGGAGTATAACTGTGAATTTTTTTTTATCAAACCACAAGAACTGATTTGGTTTCTGTACCAGTTTTGTACATAAAACGTTTTTGGCGGCAGAATAGAACTGTTTAATCACACCACAAGAACGGATTTTGTTTGTGGTACCAATTTTGTATATAAAACATATTTTGGTTGTATATATATAGGATATAATGTATGCAACATTCTTGTGGTGTTCGGATTGGATGTAATATGGGGTGTTCTTGTGGTGTTGTGATTAGGATTTGAGCTGAGTGGGCCTGATCTGAGCGTAGTAGGCCATAACTGATCTAGAAAGGGAATTGGAAATTGTGGAGCGATTTGCGCGATCTGGGAGGAATCGGACCAAAGAAATCGCGCGCACTACACGGGGAGGGAATCGGACTTTTTTTGCCACTTTTTTCCGCCCTTTTTACCATATGGGCTTCTTTTTTCCGCTCTTTTTTTTATTTTAGACAGATGACAGAAACCTTATGAATTTTTTAAGTAGTAGAGATTTAATATTAAAAATAAACCATTCAAAAATTTATTTTCAATGTCTAAAATTTTTGGTCACACCAGTCGAACTGGCGTGACAACTTTATTTGGCTACGCTGGTCTCGCTAGCGTGGCAGTATTATTTAGCTACGCGGTCCTAGATGGCGTGGTAAAATAATACTGTGGCGCCTGCTATAAGTGACGTGTAAGTGTTGTTTTGTTATGTTAGGCATGTTGGTATAGTTAAACGGTTTAGATTTTGAAAATAAATTTTAGAAGGGTTTTTAAAATTAAAAAGTAAAAAGGTTCAAAAAGAATAATAAAAAATTCCCTCGTCCATGTAGACAACCACCCCGATCTCTTGAAATGTGCTGCCCGAAGTCTTCTCCGCCTCCTTCCACAGCTTCGGATCCTGCATATAGTGGTAGGGCGTGGGCGCGTGGCTAATGAGCGATCGATCCCCATGCCCCCTTATACACTCCTCTCTCCCGTCCTTTCCTCCTTCTTCTCTTTCTACTACACCATAAATTTTTTTAAAAAAAAAATAAAGTTGGAAAAATTAATGTATAGAAATACTATATATAAAAAATATTTGAATTCAAAATCAAATTTGAAACGATTATGTAAACTTTTGACTTATAAACTTTGGGTCTATAAATTAATATTTAAATTCAAATTTAAATTTGAATCGGGTATGTAAACTTTTGACTTATAAACTTTAGGTTTATAAACTTTAGGTGTATAGAATACTATATATGGAAAATATTTTAATTCAAATTTAAATCTGAATCAGATATAATTCAAATTCAAATTTGAATCGGGTATGTAAACTTTTGACTTATAAACTTTGGTTATATAAACTTTAGGTGTATAGAAATACTATATATACAAAATATTTGAATTCAAATTCAAATTTGAATCGAATATAATTCAAATTCAAATTTGAATCGGATATCTAAACTTTTGACTTATAAACTTTGAGTCTATATACTTTAGGTGTATAAACTTTAGATGTATAGAAATATTATATATAAAAAATATTTGAATTCAAATTTAAATTTGAATCGGATATATAAACTTTTGATTTATAAACTTTGGGTCTCTAAACTTTAGATGTGTAAACTTGAGGTATATAAATTTTAGATGCATAAATTTACTAAAATAGAAAAGTAATGCGGTGAAAAAAAAAAACCAGGTGGAGGAGAGGGGGGCGACCCGATCGCCCCTAGCGAGCGATCGCCCAGTTTCGTTAGGGGTAGCCAGGTTGGCTGGTACCATCGCTGCATCGGTGATCGGCCAAAACCAGTGAACAACTAGATTGCTTCCCTAGCCAGCACTGCATTTTTCCGATTCGTCTTGATTCTTTTGGTCCTGAGTTTGCCTTTGTCGAGAAGTGAGACTAAGAGAGATATCTCTAACTTCCTCCGTCCCAAAATAAGTGCAATTTTGTACTGTTTACGTCCAACATTTGACCATTCGTTTTATTTAAAAAGGTTTTATGATTAGTATTTTTAAATTTATTAGATGATAAAACATGAATAGTAATACTATTTTTTTCGGGAATGCTAGGGGACGGGATACCGTCCCCCAAACGGGATAGCTCCTCCTCCACAACACGATTCCTGCTCACTCGCTGCCATCGCCGTCCCCCGCCACTGCCGCGCCCGTCCCTGGTCGTCTTCGCCGTCGCCGCCACCGCCGCGCCCATCCCCCACCGCCACCGCGCCCATCCCCCGTCGACGCCGCCGCGCCCATCCCCCACCGCCACCGCGCCCATCCCCCGTCGACGCCGCCGCGCCCATCCCCCACTGCCGCCGTTGCTGTCCCCCGCCGCCGTGTCCGTCACCCGCTACCGCCGCCGTTGCCACGCCCATCCCCTGCCGTCGCCGTCGCCGTCCTCATCTACAAGGGACGGCTGCAGGGGGCCAACCGCGCGTGTCGAGGTGCTCCTCCCCCAACGGGATGCCCAGCTATATCTAGTAGGAATCACCTGATACCTGGTAGGTATCATCCGATACCTCGCAAGTATTACGCGATATATGGTAGAAATCATTTGATACCCGATAAGTATCACATGATACCTCGCGAGTATCACACGAGGTAGTACTTCAAATCCTTGATTTGTTGGGTTGATTTGATCGATTTCTTTGGTTTTTGCGGTGCCCTTGATTTCTTGGGCTGTTATGGTGACGTAGACTTGTACTAGTTGATTATTGATTTTCCATCTCCATTAGATTTTGCTCTCTTTATTAGCTAATCCACCATCGACAGACCTCAGGTCGGCGCTCGCCGGTGGTGGAAACAGGCCTCAGGGTGTCGGTGCCCGCCGTGGCGCACCGGTGCTCTTCATATGTTCTGCTCCCCCGGACCATCGCCATATGGTCCCCGTGTTTTTTTTTCCTATCACTTGCACATGGGTCCCGAAGATATTTCTTTTGTTTTTTCGATATAACTGTCAAGTAGATATCACGTCTGCACATATGAGACTAAGTTAATGTCACGTCAACGAAAACCGTTCTCCAAAAAAGGAAGTAATTTTGTATGGTTATGTTCTCAAAACAATAATGGGAGTACTTAGAGGACTCGGCATATTCGATATTCGGTTTTGCGTTTGCGGTTATGGCTTTCACAGTGCACACACATGGCGTGTGGCAAAGTCTATCCACATAAGCACAATGCCTGCGTTGAGGAGAGGAGGTGGGGCCCACGTTTTCAGCAGGTTCGCATAGCTTGTTTTGGCTCCGAGAACCTCAACGAAATTTGTCAGAGAAAAAAAGCATGCCACACACAGAGCAGGAGAGAGAGAGAGGGAAAAAGCTCGCCGGAGAAGCCACTTCCGCGCCAGAGAGAGACGAGTAGGGGCGCAGCCGCCGCCGCCTCCGTCGTCTGTGGCTCCGTTCCAACGCCCCGCCGTCATCCACAGCGCCGCGGCCATGAGATCCGCCGCGCCGCTCGACACCGACGCCGACGCTGTCGTCCGCAGCGCCGCAGCCATCCGCAGCGCCGCTCGGCGCCACGGCCGTCTTCAGCCGTCGCCGTCGCTAGGCCCCACCACCGTCGCCACTCCGCCCGCTAGGCCCGGCGGCCAGCACCGTCTCCGCCCAAGCTTCTGTGGTGGGGAAAACTGGGAAGGGAATGGAGGAGGGGGAGAGCGAAAAAAGTATATAGGTAATTATATATACGTTACTAGCTGTCTAAAAGACAATAGTACTAAAAAAATAGAATATGATGATAAACCCTAAAATCAACTTCAAAATTAAGTTTCAAAATTCAAATTTGATTGTGATAAGCTAACAAGTAGACGATAAAATATAATTTACACGTGTTTCAGACCAAATATTGATCATAAAAATGCTGCTAAAAAATATGCTTTTCAAAAAAGTCAGTACAAATATGACTTAGAGAATGTACCACTTATCACTTTACGCTGTAAACGTTTCATAGGGACGAGGCTTCCCTAACTTTATGCAGTTTGCAGTCGTGCCACTGACATAAGGGCCATAGTAAAGTAAAGCCCATATATTAGTAACTCAAGTGCAAACTGTTTTAGTCAGAGGATCCACTTCCCTTTCATAGATACGCCACTGAGATTAAGTAAACACATATGCACTCTTTTCTCCCTTCGTAGTACAATCGTACCTCCTGTTCACGTATTTTTGTCATTTTGAGTATGCGCCATTATCAAACTTAACAAATAACATTTCGACTATGATTTTATCCACTATTCAAGCAGAGGTAATTATGCTCCAACAGGTCTATTTTCAATAATTCATGGTCCATGGACTGCAGAAGTTATGGAAGTTAACATGCCTAGAGTCATTGTATATCTTGAATTTGGTGCGAGGTAGCTTTTCCTAAAAAAGGAAGGGTGCTTGTGAAGTTAAGAGAGGGCGGGGGGGGGGGGGGGGGGGGGGGCTACTATAATTTCCATAATTGCAGCACTAGTGCAGTGCAGCATGCAGACATTTATGATCAAAGTGGAAGAAATAAAATAGCAAGAGATCAAACAAAAAAAAAGCAGGTTGATGAAATGATCAATCAATATTTGTTCCATCATTAACCACCAAGTCAAGACGATATACAGCAACTCTAGGCATCTAAAATATCAAAAACTTACAGTAAAACGACTATAATCGAACACAAACAAAACAATTTCAGTAGTCTCCACTGTCCAGAAGACACATTGTTCAACACACCCAGGAGACAAAAGTTAGGCAGTCAGCCATAGCCATTGAGTTCCACTGACATGATTTCAGCAGCTACCACATAAAACATTACATTGAAGCTAAAATATGCTTATGGGAAATACAGTAATGCCAATTTGTGTGTGACGAAAAAGAATAATTAGTTATAGACGAGTATGCTCTCAACATGTTCTACGATTGTGGTAATATCTTTTATACGAGCCAGTATCCGATACATCAAATATTCTAGACAATCTAATAAAAAGAGTACCCTTCCTCAACTAGTACATATCATTTCAGCACTGACGAACTAATATAAACTCCCATGCAAAACAGAACTAATACAAACTCCCATGTAAAGTGAACAAAATAGCTGTACTATGCATGACCAGGGGAGGGGATCCAATGGGAGAAAAACAGTAAACAATGTAATATGAAGTCTCAACAAATATTGACATAAATAAGCATTACCTGATGAGGAAATAATGTAATATGAAATCTCAACAAATATTGAGAGAAATAAGCTTTTCCTGATGAGGAAATAAGCAACAACATAAACTGATATTAGTCATGCATAACTCACCAGAATATATGTTTATAGGATATAGCATCCATTGTTAAATGATAAATGCTAGAGGGTTTTTGACACCGCAAACAATCAAATACAAATCATTATTACAAAATCCGAATAAAGTTCTAAGTTACTGAAAAGTTGGCCCAGAAAGTGCGGTTGCAGAATGCACTCAACAACCTACAACAATGTAGCACAACATCAGAAAGATCTACCAAGTTGCTGCTGATCTTATCAACATCCTAACACCAATGTCATAATTAAGGTTAACAAACCAAGTGTTCACCTATGCAAGTACGATGATCAATGCCCATCTGCCAATGATTCTGAGTACAAGGGAACATATGGAAGATACAGAAGCCAGTCGGAACTACCTCCAATCCCACATATAAAACACACTTCTCTGCTCTCCATTTCATAGGACATGAGTATTTTGCTATGCGGCAAAACCAAGAAAATGATATTCCCTTCCGGATGAATTGAGACAACTTTGTAGTCATGACCAAAAAGGAGTCTCTTGGTTCGAAATAGATGTAAATGGCTGACAGTGTGCTTCCAGATCCACTGTTCACTGCTGTAGTCCTCAAGAACCCATACTGATACTTTATATGGTTCATCGTGATCGGTGTTTACAAAATACAGAGAACCCTGAGACAGGCCAATGAATCCCTCACCAATACCATCGAAAGGCTCAACTAGACTTTGTGGCATAGGAATGGTCCTCCAAGCGTTCCCCTCCACGTCAACCGCTGCCACCACATACTCCAGAGTGATCAAATGCAGCACACCATCAAAAAACACGCTATTCCATTCATCGCGTATCCTGATTTCCCAGTCCCAACCATTGTCCTTGTGACTCCATTCTCCAGTTACGGATGAGTAGATTTCCACCCCTTTGACATGCCCATCAAAGTCGTCGTCATCATCGACATTCCCATCGGCATCCCCAGCACCATCCTCCACGAACTCAAACACATGAAAGTGCGAGGAGGAGACCACTGGATCGAACCCCAAACGAGCAGTCTGCACCTTGTCAGACCAGCCGGAATCAGGCAGGATGACCCATTGTTCAGTGGCAGGATTAACCACAAGGTAATCAAATCTCCGTGGATCTGCGAGCCTCCAGCAGCGGCACAGGAGGAGGCCATTGCAGCTGTCAAGGACGTTGAGAAACTCGCACTTGGGCAGGAAGGGGAGCGAGGGGTCAACAAACGGGCGGCCTTCCCCTGTGACGTTGGTGAAGGTGTCGGAGTAGAAGAAGCCGACAATGGCGTCGCCGAGGTGATACCGCGGCAGCAGGTGACGGTGGTCGGGGTGGGAGATGACGCGGCGCCACCGCCTGGAGACGCACTTGGATCGGCAGAGCGACTTGTAGGGCACGCGCGAGAGGATCTCGACGAGGAGGTCGTCGGTGAGCTTCTCCGCCGGCGGCGGGATCCACCCCCTGCGCCCATCCCTGGAATCCCCCTCCGCCATGGCTGCGCGAGCGACAGAGATAGAGAGATCAGGGATGCAAAAGGATTAGGAAATGGAGGTGAAACCAATCCACAGTGCGGCGGCTTTAGAAATGCGCGTACCGGAGGAGGAGGAGGCGGGCGGAGCTAGGGACGGCAGCGGTCTGGATCCGGCGCTCCGGTACGAGTCGAGTCGACGGCGGCGAGGCGAGGGTTTCTGGTTGCGGCGACGCCGCCGTGCGCTTCGATCACGCGGGGAAGGAAAGAGAGGCGAAGTGGGCCACGATGCGGTAGAATTTGAGCCTTGGGCTGGTTTTGTTTTATGGGCCTGGAATGAAGTTGTCTCGTTTCTGCATTCTTGCCTTGGAAAAAAAGTCTGATTTAGCTCCCTTACTTCATAAGTCGCGTGTTTGGTTTCCCGGCTCGTACCTGGCTCGCATCTCGGATGAGCAGGAACGGCCGAATCTAGCTTCGCTGCTCGTCCTGGCTCCACGCATATGCAACCGCGCTGCAGCCGCGCGTGCAAGCGCCGCACCCGCGCATGCAGGGAGAGGCGATGGGGGTCACCAACGGGGATTTGGATCCTCTACCTTCACGGCTTGAAGGCACGAGCGTGCAGTCGGCACCTCATCCACCGTTCAAATAATCCAATGGCTCACGTCGCCTGTGCACGTATGAATGGATATCTGTCTGTCAAAGCCCACGAAGCACTACTGCTATATTTCAGTCCGAATACCAATGATGTTTGCATTATAAATTTCGTAATTTTTCTTATCAATCCTATGCTCTAATCATAATTTTTCTTTTGCTTTTATGATGTGACTTGACATTGCGTCATACTCCCTCCATTAGTTCCCAAAATAAAAACTTATCATGTGGAAAAAAACTAATTACACAGTGTGCGTGTAAATTGCGAGATGAATCTTTTAAACCTAATTGCACCATGATTTAACAATGTGGTGCTACAGTAAATGTTTACTAATGACGAATTAATTAGGCTTAATAAATTTGTCTTGCAGTTTTCTAGCGAAATCTGTAATTTGTTTTGTTATTAGACTACGTTTAGTATTTCAAATGTGTGTCCGTATATCCGATGTGATAACCAAACCCAAAATTTTTCTCTAACTAAACAAGGCCTAAGTCGCTTGACTTTTTTTTCTAGTCAAACTTCTTTTTTTTTTTACTTTTTAACACAAAACAAATATATTATAAAAATATATTCAACGTTAGATTTAATAAAGCTAATTTGATATTTTATATATTACTATTTTTTATATAAATTAGTCAAACTTAAGGATTTTTGACTAAAAAAAAATCAAATGACTTATAATATAAAAAAAGATGGAGAACTACTTTGTAATGAATTAGTGTTGTTATTTGAAACTTTCGGTTTTCTTGTATTTTTAATTTGGTGATATCATCCATTTTTTTTCATGTGTATTAGCATTAATATAGTTTGTAAGTTTCTTCAGCTCGCGTACACTTCCCAGACCAAAACAACCATCGTGGGATTTTTTTTCGATAGAACCATCGTGGTCTTTCACAGACAAATTTATCCAAATCCCACCAACGGAGGGTGCTGATCGGCGACGCGCGGCCGCGCACGCGTGTGATCAGCGCCCCCCCCCCCTCTAGTCTCTACTCTCTACTCCTATACAGGAGTACTATCTATATACGCATACGTATAAACTTTGTATTTATGTATAAACTTTGTATTTATGTATACAAAGTTTATATGTATGTATATATAGTATATATACACGCGTATATATATACACACTTTATTGTATAAAAAATATACACACGTATATAAAGTTTGTGTGCGTATGTATAAAAAACACAAAAAAATATACGTATACAAACTTTCTATACATCTATACCAAATTTATGTACATACGTATAAAACTAAAAAAAAACACATACAAACCTTATATATGCGAATGCAAACTTTACATACGCGTATACGCGTATGTAAATTCTATATACGTGTATACAAAGTTTGTATTTATACATATAAAACGTATTTGAAAAAAACTAATAATGACGCGGAAAGAAAAAACAGAAAAGCAAAAAAAAAAAGAAGCCGTAAACTACGGAAAGAAAAAACGAAAATCGCAAACTAGTGAACTACATCTACGGAAAAAAAAAACCAGAAAAAAAAGAGAAGGAAATCGCTCAGAAAAAAAATCACGCGCCGTCCGCCGCCCCCTCTCCACGCGCAACAGGCGTCCAGTCATGCGGAGAGGGCGCGCGCGACTGGTCGCGGAGGATTAGCTTTCTCGGTCACGAACACCACCCTGTCTCCCTCCTCATTTCTTCCGTCTTCTCCTCTCTTCGCTATCGCCGGCCACAGCCACCAGTTGTGACCATCTCCATCTCTATCAGCCAGATCTAGCTGCAATATCAATTCTTTATATATTCTGCTTAAATCTGGTACAATATACCGTAAATAAATAGCTTTTAGATGATAAGAATTTTCACTCTCAGGGAAAGAAAGTACTCCTACCTACTTTCCCTACAACCAACCAAACAAAATCTCTCCCAAACTATATTTTTGATGCAAGCAACCAAATAAAATCTCACGCTAACCCGGCTAAACCAATACAACCAACCAAACAGCTGCATATGTATCTACTTAACCATGTCAAACTCAGCCTGAATGAGGGAGATAGGCTAGGCTAAGAAGATGCGAGCAACCAAACACACCCAACGGGACTTACAATGCGTCATCAAGTTTTGGTGGACCTCACATGCCACCTAGACAAAGAACAATATTAGCCACATGTTTTACAGTGCAAGTTGCTTATAGTGGATTCTACAGTACACTTTGCTTCTACTTTTTACTTTCCCTTTTTTTTTCACGGCCATAGCTCCAACAACCTGAATGAGATACAGCCAAATTAATGAAAGAAATGATACTAGTTTGTGATGCCATCGAATCAGGTTGGACACCATCTTGCTGGCTTTTATAGGCTTTCAGTTTCCCCACAAAAACTTTTCACCATGTCACATCAAATGTTTGGACACATATATGAAGTACTAAATATAGAAAAAAAATTATTTACATAGATTGCGTATAAATTGTGAGACGAATATTTTAAACCTTATTGCTTCATGATTTGACAATGTGGCGTTACAGTAAATATTTGCTAATAATGGATTAATTAGGCTTAATAAATTCATCTCGTAGTTTACAGCGAAATCTGTAATTTGTTTTATTATTAGTCTACATTTAATACTTCAAAAGTATGTCCGTATATCCGATGTGACACGCTAAAACTTTTCTCCCATGTAACTAAACATGCCATAGTATGTACGCACACTTGTACATACTGCAGCCACTATCTTAATCACTTTTAAAAGGATTTGCGTAAAATTTGTCTCGAATTTGCGATCTGCAGAAATTTTTTTAAAACAATAACAAAGATCGATTGAATTCTGGAGAGATTTAATGCAGCATTATTATTGCCATTGTCGTCTACTACAGTTAACACTCGCATATGCAACTAAAAATTCAGGCGACTTCTGATGCCACTGATGGCGACACCATCTTGCCATGGCCACCGGCGATGCCCCCCGGCGACGGCGGTGGCGGCGGATCAACCACAACCATGTCCCTCCTCCGCGCGACGTGCCAGACCATGTCGGCGAGGTCGCGCGCCGACGACCCGCCGTCCGCCATCGCCGCCCTGGCCTCCGCCGCGAGCTCCCTCGCCCTCGCGCGCCTCGCCGCCGCCGCCGCCCCGTCGCCCATCAGCTCCTCCACCGCGCTCGCCACCTCGCCGCTCCGCACCTGCACCGGGGAGTTCACGGCGTCGACGTGCGTGACGGGCACCTTCACGCCGGCGCGGACGCCGGCGCCGAGCACGTCGACGGCGAGGCACTCGTTGAGGAACTGGTCGCCAAAGTGCGGCCATGTCAGGAGCGGCACGCCATGGGAGAGCGACTCCACCGTCGAGTTCCAGCCGCAGTGGGTGAGGAAGCCGCCCACCGCCGGGTGCGACAGGATGGTCACCTGCGGCGCCCACCCGCGGATGACGAGTCCACGGTCCGCCACCACCCGCGCGTCGAGGCCGGCGGCGGCGGCGGCGTCGGCGTCGGTGTCCTTGGTCACCCAGATGAACGGCCGGTGCGACGCCTCCAGGCCGGCGGCGAGCTCGGCGGCTTGCGGTGGATTCAGGCGGGCGATGCTGCCGAAGCTGACGTAGAGCACGGACGCCGGTGGGCGCGCGTCGAGCCACGAGACGACGCGCGCGGCGTCGACGGCGGCGCGGTTGCCGCGCGCCGCCGTGGCCTCGGCGTCGGCGTCGAGCAGGCAAAGCGGGCCAACCGCCCACACGTTCCGGGCGCCGCCGCCGAGCACCTCCGCGTAGCGGCGGACGAACGCTTCCTCGAAGGCGGCGCAGGTGTTGAACACCAGCCCGTCGGCGGTGGCCTCGGCGTCGAGCGTGTCTTGCCGGTGGCTCTCCAGCCCGGGCCAGTGGAAGAGCCCCAGCGACGACGCCCTGTTCGTCGTCACGGCGCGCGGCGCCGGCAAGTCCGGCACGTCGAACGGCTCAAGGTCGCCGGCGACGCGGTCGTACACGCCGTGCCTCGCCAGGTTATGCACCGCGAGGATGTACAGCGCCGACGGGCCATGGAACACGAGCCGCGGCACGCCGAGCCGCCGCGCGACGCCGGCCGTCCACGGGCTGCACGAGTCGGCGACGACGCAGTCCGGCCGCCGCGGCAGCGCGCGGAGGAACGCCTCGAGCGGCGCGGCGAGCCGCCACACGGCGTCGGTGAACGTCTTGAACAGGCTCATGTCCGCCACCATGTCGTAGCTCTCGCACCCGGCGGCGAGCCCCAGCGCCGGCCCGGGGAACTCCAGCACGGAGACGTCGACGGCGAGGCCGGAACGCGCGGCGTGCGCGACGGCCGCCCGGTGGCGCGCGGCCATGACGGGCGTAAGCACGACGGTGACTCGCGCGCCGCCGCCGCCATGGCCGGCGATGAGGCGCGCCATGTCCATCATCGGGATGACATGTCCCTGCGCCGGGAGCGGCACGAGCACGAAGTGGAGGGGCGCCGCCGCCATGGCCACGCTGTCCTCAGAGCTCGCTGGCTTCCGCGATTTTATGGGCGGAGAAGACGGGGATGAGAGCGCCATGAATCGCAAGAGGACAGGCGGCGAGATAGGGGATGATCTCACGGCAATGGCGACGGCGACGGCGACGTGGATTCGCCGGCGGAGGCGCGGCCACGGGTGCAAGTGAAATACAAGGTGGCCACGGCTTCCATGGACGCCACAGAAGTACGTAGGTTTGGTCTCTTATATAAAAGAAATGGAAAAAAAAAAAGCACACTCCCTGTATTCGTTTATGGTTGGCACCAGACACTATTCATATTTAAATTTTAACCGCTCGTTGTTTTTGAAAAAAATAAAAGGTTATAAAGACTTGAAATGATGTTATATTATTAAAGTGTGTTATAAATCTTTTATTTGTCATAGGCTAACCATTTAAAATTTATTAGTTTGAATAGTGATGGTAGATTTTTTTTTCTTGAAGAATTAGGTGTCATTTTTTAACCATTAAGAAGAGAACAAAGTTACAAAGGAGAAGAAAAACCTCTCTGCAAGAGCCAATTACAAACGCACAAGCACAAAGGTAGAAACTAAAGAACGAGTACGTTCAACATGCAGGCCATGTAAAAAAATACCATTCTCTAAAAAAAAAAGCACCACACACTATTTAAATTTAATATTTAATCACTCGTTATTTTTAAAAATAAAAGTGTTAACGATAAAATTTTTGGTATGTCCCGATGTCATCATCGGTCTAGAGCTAATATCGGCTTCAGAGTCCTAGATCGGCCGGTGGAATTATCAAGTCGCCAAGATTTGGTTAAGGAAATTAATCAATTAAAGGAAGTTTATCCAGAATAGACCGAGTTTAAGGAGGATACATCATGACAGCTTATTTATTAATTAAGAAGAATCTGTTAATTTCCTTTTTATCTTTAGGAAAGTATGTTTAGTGTCCGATAAGAACTTTACGTTTTTCCTTTTATCTTTAGGAAAGTTTGTGTCATGTCCAATAAGGACTAGTATCTACCCATGGATACAATACAACTACTCTCGGTGCATTGCCATCCTCTTTTCCAACATTTTTATTTATCAACCGGAGGAACTTGGCACTTGACGCGAGGCTGCATCGTTTTTCGATCTCCGGCGAAGGGGTAAGTCCTATGTTCTGTCGGCCCTGGCAATTGTATCGGCTATATTGGTGTTGTTCAAGACTGTATCGCTTCGACCTCTTGGATCGCTCTGATTCAGTTGATATATTTGCCTACCTATTTATTATATATCTTAGTTAATCTAAGTTGATTATTCAATTTACTTGTATCGATCAGATCTTTTATAGGGTTTTGTCGATATCGGCTAAATTATTTTGTTGATTTAGATTAGCTAAAGTATCCAACATCCTGAAAATCAGTCAAACGCTTAATTGTCTATTCTTTTTATACTTAGTGCTGCATCAATTGGGTTTGACCTACTAAGTCGTGCTTAGAACAATAATCTCTAGCCTGCTGTTTGATTTCCAATAATGGTTTCATTGGGGTTTTAGCCAATGAGTTATCAGGACATTGCATCGGTATACAAGAATTACATACAAGTTGGTTTTAGTCGATTGCAACAAATGTTTCACTTATTATATAATATTGTAAATTTAATGACATCGGACCTCTAGCCGATATATGCTTTAACCTTCGAATCAACGCTTATTCTATCATATCATTATTTACCGATTGGTTTCGATTGGATTATATTATTGTTTCATTATATTATCATCAGCTGATTGTCTTTATATCATTATTTACTTAAGTGTCAAAAATCTACATTGGACATATAGCTAATCACTCAAAACCCTATCGACATCGGCTAGTATCGACATCGGTTAGCATCGACATCGGCTGGTATCGCTCCATCGGCTTGTCGGCCGATCGACTCTTTGATCTGCTATTTATATATCTTGTTAGTTGCAAAATCAAACTGACATGCACGCCCACATCTCATTAATATTTAGGACCTGCACTAGAGCTAAGTAGATCTCTCAGATCATTGTGTTCGTCGATTTAGTTCGTGCCAACACAGATCTGGCACCATCGGCCGAGCACGAATTTTTCGTCAACAAAAAGTTATAAAGACTTGAAATGATGCCGTATTATTAAATTGTGTTATAGTACATCGTAAATATAACCAACTTTTATCTGTCATAGGTTAACTATTTAAAAATTATTAGTTTAAATAGTGATGGTCGATTTTTTCTCGAAGAATTAGGTGTCATTTTTTTAACTATTAAGAAGAGAAGAAAGTTACAAAGGAGAAGAAAAACCTATCTGCAAGAGCCAATTACAAATGCACAAGCACAAAGCTAAGAAACTAAGGCCTTATTTAGTTCCCAATAAATTTTGCCCAAAAACATCACATCAAATCTTTGAACACATACATGGATCAGCATTAAATATAGATAAAAAAACAAATTGCACAGTTTGCATGGAAATCACGAGACAAATCTTTTGAGCCTAATTAGTCCATGATTAACCATAAGTGATACAATAATCTACATATGCTAATGATGGATTAATTAGGCTTAATAAATTCGTTTCGCGGTTTCATTCGTGTCCGAAAACCTCTCTCGACATCCGATCAAACGTCCGATATGATATAAAAAAATTCTTTTCGTGAACTAAACACACGTAAAGAAAACAACTGCGATCAAAACCAACTCTACGAGTATAGACTGTGTGCCACAAGGACGCTAGAAAATGCATATTATTGTCCTTTCTAGAACGATGAAAACCCAGTTCCACCCATTCATGTACAAGTTGATCTTTTAAAAAAAAATTATAGTTCTTCTCTCAGATATACGCTACATGGAAGACATTTTTACAGCGGCTTCTTTTGACGAAGGCACCCACTGAAGAAATACAAAATTATCTTAGCGAAGACTTACATTTTTACTTTCAGTGGTCAAAAAACTAGGGCTAAAGAAACATAACACCATGAAACAAAACCCAAAAGGCAATTCTAAGATTGAGATCAAAATTTGGTTGTTCCCACGCGTTACGATCAATGTTCTAAATCTCCGGCTAAGGCTTTTAGTGGTTGTACTCTCCCACAGCTAAGAGTAAGAGCAGCTATAGCTACAGCGAAAGCATTTAGTGGTTTTCTAAAATATAAGAAAATATTAAAAAATTTGACAGAAATTTGAGCTAAAAATTGACATATCACTTATTTCGTTGCACATAGAGTTCATCACCGATTCATACTTCATAGATGGAGTTCATAGTTCCTAACTCATACTTTCATAGTTCATACTAGATCATACAAATACAGGGCACTTGAGTTCATAGTTATAAATTTAACAGTTCATAGTTGGTAAAATATCCTATGCACATAAGCTCTCACGTGTACATACGTGCACACCAACTAACAAATGTCAAAAAAAATATAGAAAAATTACTTTCAATAGTATTATATCTAGGGGTAAAATCTTAACCTCAAATTTATTATATTTTAGCCATGATAGTTTTAAGGTTATAATTCTGTCAGAATTTTATCTTTTTTTACTCTCTGTGTAGAATGAATTTGAAGATACTACTTTGCACATAGATATAATACTATTGGAAGTACATGTATGAATTTTCTAGAATTTTTTATGATAATTTTTAGTTGGTGTACATGGTGTGTATACACGAGGATCTGTGTGCATAGGATATGTCCCCTTCCTAGTTCACTGTAAACATATCACTTGAGTTCTTGACACAAATAATAAATATTTAATCACAAGAAGTCAAGAACATGACCATTAATTAACAAAATAAGAACAACAAGTTCGTAGATTAGAATATTGCATTCCACTATTCAGATTTAGAGGCTGTTCAAATTGATGTTATTTTCAACCATAACCATTTTTTGGTAAAGTTATCAAAAAAAAAGTGTCTACGTTTAGTTTGTTGCCAAATTTTGCTAAATGCATTGTTAAAATTTGTTAAGGTTTATTTTGGCTACAATCTGAACAGGCCCTCAGAGACACAATGAGACTTATCAGAATCGGAGGATCCCACTGAAACGTCTCCAGCGCCATTGCCATCACCATTTTCTGAGTCAGATGATGAAGGTCCAGGCTGCATTGTAGCATCATTCGTCAAAGAGTGCACGCTCTTGATTTTCTTCTTTCTAGGGCGCACATGCCTCTTCCTTTTTCATTGAGCTTGTGATGATTCTCCCTGTGATGCTCCATCTTGTGGATCATGTTCAGCGAGCTCATTAGAAAGAGGTACGATATCACCGCTAAGTGCAGCTAAATTCGACTATTTTAGTGGCTATCTCTGGCTAAATGCAACTATTAGCGTCCGATAAACTATAGCGTCAAAGTTTGTGTATCCTAGCTATTCCCCTCCCCATCTGCTATCTCCAGCTATAGCTCATTGGCTAGTATTGATAACAAATAAATATAATACTCATGAAGATCAATTAGCCACCTAGTAATATGAGCATCGAAGGATCATAAATAAATTTTTAAAAATAATTATCCTCAATTCTGGAAATTATATCCATGATCAAATGGAACCATTTAGGATATGAGTGCAGAACACACAACTACGATCTACGGCACTACCCATAATCCTTTTATCAGAGTATAAATTGGTCAGGGTATGAAAAAAAAGAGTAAAGGGGAGTTCGGGAGGGCAGCTCAAGATAGTTTTTTTTTGGCACGCAAAACAAGACAAGTGGTTAATAAATGACTGATCGAGTATTAATTATTACAAACTTAAAAAAATAAATTTATTTAATTTTTTAAAAAACTTTTGCACAAAACATACCGTTTAACAATTCGAGAGATTTTTCTTTAAGCCCAAACTCACTCTAAGGGCCTATTTGGGGGAGCTTCTAGCAACTGCAGCTTCTCCTAGAATCTCCAGTTGCCAGAAGCTTCCCAAACAGTCCAGCTTTTTACCTAGATTCTAAGAATCTGTAGTTGTAGAATCTAGAAAATAAACTAGAAGCCAGAAGCTGGGTTTCTCACCAGCTAGCTTCTTAGCAGCTCCTTTTCAGAATCTTAACCTCCCCCAAACAGGCCCTAAGGCTAGGTTCGTTAATGCATGTTTACAACTCACTCCCCCTCGTTTTCCGCTCGCACGTTTCCCAAACTGTTAAACGGTGTGTTTTTGCAAAAATTTTCTACATGAAAGTTGCTTTAAAAAATCATATGAATCCATTTTTCAAATTTATTTTAACTAATACTTAATTAATTATGCGCTAAACGTTGCTTCGATTTACGTGCTAAGGAGTGAGGGTCAGCCTAAGTACTCAGCCAAAGAAATTCAAGTCATATATGCTGTGATTTTAAAACTAAAATCTCATTCATCTCATCTCCAAAACTAAGACCCAGGAAACCCTAGGCATAATATGGAGACATAGAGTACTACACCTAACGGAAGTTTTTATCTGTAGTCTTCAGAAGTCGAAGAAGCTTGGTTGTTTCATCCTCCAGTTTCTAGCGAGCGACAAGCTGATCATGAATTCCATCTGCTGATCTGCTTGCTGTTCATCATTCATTGGCCCATAGACCATAGTACGATGCATCCAAGATATGATAATTTGGCTCGGAAAATAGGACTTTGTACCTGTAAAGATTGTAGGATCATCTGTTCTGTTCTGGAGTTGCTGACGTTTCTTGGTTTTGGTTGGTACCAAATTTCACACCCAAACTGGAGGAGCAGAGAAGCCTACCAATTACTACAAGACAATCTCTTTTCTACTACCTTCCACTACATCTTTTTCACTGAATTTGATGTATGTGTTCGATCACTAGTTGATCTCTTTCTGTACAGATTGGTTCCCTACAAGACTTAGAAATCTTGTGGGCAACAATGAAAAGGACAACCATGTTCTGAAAGTTTCATCAGCTTTCTCTATTTGATTGGCATACTCTAGCACAACTCTTCATGAATGTCCAGAAAGACTGGAAGTTGATTTGCGCAAAATAGCGTGTGCATGTGTAACCCACAAATCATTTACTGATTGAGAACCATTTTTGTATTTGAATTGTTCACTGCTTTAACCTGAGCTGTTTGTCTGGATCCTACATGTGTTCAGCAAAGTTCTTAGGGTACAACAGAAGAATAATATGGGCACATTTAAAGGAAGATTTTCAGCATACTTTTGAAAGGAACAAAATCATGTAGCTACACAAAGAAACATCTAATTTAGAATCTTAAGTCCAAGGATCGATTCCCTACCTCAATGATATCCAGAGATTACCATGCTATTTTCAATTAAAGAAAAAGGAGCAGCAGCTGGAACATGCATCAAACTCCGCAAAGTATAACCCACAAAGAAACAAAAAAAAACAGACTTTTTTTTAGAATAATCCAAATTCAAACATTTTATTTCGATAATCTCTGTTATGAAAGAATGCTACTCGCTTCCAAGCATACTCCAAACCGGTTATCTTCTGAAGCTATCCATACTTATTTTCATGATGGAACCAGTAAAATCCTGCCAGGATGACATTGCTTGCATATAGCCATTCAAGTGTCAGTGTAAAACTGTAGAAAACTTTTTCCCTGATAAATTTTTATATCAATCTTGCCCTGATACCTCACATTATGACGAAATGATCAATTGCAACATTGATCTTGTTTGTGGAAATGACACGCACTAGTCTACATAAGTCAGCATTTCCATAAGTTAGCATTTCCAAGTCCTTAGTATTGACTGTTCAGTCAACATATGTCGACGTTTTTCTAAGATACTCCCTCCATCCCAAAATGTTTGACGCTGTTGACTTTTTTAAAAATGTTTAATCGTTCGTCTTATTCAAAAAATTTAAGTAATTATTAATTCTTTTCCTATCATTAGATTTATTGTTAAATATACTTTTATGTATATATATAGTTTTATACATTTCACAAAAGTTTTTGAATAAGACGAACGGTCAAACATGTTTAAAAAAGTCAACGGCGTCAAATATTTAGGGAAGGAGGGAGTAACTTGGTAGAGAAGGTTGCTCACCTGTCGCTATTAGATAAACAAATGCAAAAATGTAGCGCAGGTTCCTCTTCTCATCCAGAACTTCTTTTTTTTTTTAAAAAAAAAAAGAAGATGTACTATGCTATTCCAAAACTGTGAGCTTGCACAGTTGCATGGTACTACACTAATAGCAGGAGAATATTATATTAGCAGTGATCCATAGAGGATTATGTCATAGCCACTCTGCATTAGTCAAGGGGTCAATGTGTTTAAGTAAATTGATCAAGCAAGTTGCATACCCATGGGAGAGCAGAATCCATATGCCCACATAGATTATCCAGACACCAATCTCTTCTTCATCTCTGCATTTGGGTAAAGGTTTAGATAGGTAGCCATGAACAGCTTAGATGATGTTCCAAAGCCACACTTTGTATTGATACCATTCATGGCACAAGGCCACACCATCCCCATGATTGACATGGCACATCTCCTAGCCAAGCATGGCGCCATGGTCAGCTTCATCACCACCCCGGTCAACGCGGCACGGATTCAATCCACCATTGACAGGGCAAGAGAGCTCAACATCCCAATCCGGTTTGTTCCCCTCCGGCTCCCCTGTGCCGAGGTAGGATTGCTCGATGGTTGCGAGAACGTCGACGAGATCTTGGAGAAAGACCAGGTGATGAAGATGACAGACGCCTATGGCATGCTGCACAAGCCTCTGGTGCTGTATCTCCAAGAGCAGAGCGTCCCACCTTCCTGCATAGTTTCAGACCTGTGTCAGCCATGGACAGGAGATGTAGCAAGAGAGCTTGGGATCCCCAGGTTGATGTTCAATGGCTTCTGCGCCTTCGCCTCGCTCTGCAGGTAAAATCAGTGATCTCTCATCAACATCAGCTCCTTTCATCTCAGGCTTACTGAGCAAGCTTGTGTCAATGTTTTTTCTTTTTTTTTTATAGATAATGGAAATGGTTTACATCTCCCGCCTCTGCCGACAGGCACACAACCAATAAGTTTTTGTGTCAATGTTCTAGGTATCTAATTCATCAAGATAAGGTCTTTGAGAATGTGCCTGATGGAGATGAACTCGTTATCCTCCCTGGATTCCCTCATCATCTTGAGGTATCAAAGGCAAGGTCACCAGGGAACTTCAACTCACCAGGTTTTGAGAAATTCCGCACGAAGATCCTGGACGAGGAACGGAGAGCTGACAGTGTTGTTACTAACAGTTTCTATGAGCTAGAGCCATCGTATGTGGATTCATATCAGAAGATGATAGGCAAGAGAGGAATTTTTTTTATTTATAATTTTTTTTATTAAAAGTTTTACAAAAATAATTTTCCATTTTGAAAATTGACGGAAATGGTCGCCTACCGCCCTCTGGGAGGGCGATTTTTAAAAATCGCCCTCCCAGAGGGCGGCGAAAATGACGTGGCAGACGGCCGTTCGCTCTCGGGCGACGGCCGTCAACGAAATTTGCAGGCGGCCCCCTTGCCGCCCTCCGCGAGGGCGATTTTGTACTGTGCGGGGGGCCGCCTGCAAATGGGCGGCGAGGGGGGGCATGGAATTTTGCAGGCGGCCCCCTTGCCGCCCTCCGCTAGGGCGATTTTGCACTGTACCCTATATTTTTTTGTATATAAATATCAATAGTTATCAAATCTTTTTATATTGAAAACTATACAAGATTAAAATCTCCAAGACTGGTAAAATACAATTTTATTATTTTTTAGGGCATATTTAGAATGTTACCGTACAAATATTTTGTTAGTGCCAAAATATAAGCAAGTTTTGGCACTACCAAATATTTGGTAAGGTAAAATTGCATTTGATCATATTTGGTTTGCTGCCAAAATGTAAAATTGTAGTGAAGAATGTTGTACATAATCTCAATTCTAGATTACGTATTACCAATTAATAGGCTTCCATTTTCGTGTGTGGTGTGCTAGTGGGAAAGAAGATATGAAGAGGTTGCCTTCAGATTGTCAATTATATAGCGTCGTTTTCACTGCAATATATGTGAACTCAATGAGATACATTATTCATTAGATGTGACAAGACGATCACGCGTGGGCGTGATTCACTTTATGTCAACAGGCAGCGCCGAAAGTTGATAGTGATAACTCGAGCTGCCGCTTTTCATGTGTGCTGTTGTGGACTGTGCGCGCTACTGGATATGGCACTACCGTGAAGCGCCGAAAGTGTGTTGTTGTGAGCATAAGTTGTTCAAGCACCATATGAATGAAAAGAACTACGTAGACGAGACAAACACAAGTAGTACTGCAGTAGTAATAGCAAAAGTAGTACTGCTTTACAAGTTTGTAAGCCAAAAGAAACGGTCACATAAGGACTGAAGAGGTAGAACACTACTGACGAGGCCTCTTACCCCTGTCCCTCCTACCCTGCGCCCTAATGTGCCCCTGGGAGTACGTGAGTCGGTCCGGGGGTACGGCACGGCCAACCCGTCCTGCCTGTACAGGTGTGACCTCTGGCTGCTCCTGAGTGTGCGCCTCTGGAGCTCCTCCAAGCTGAGAGGAGCCTAGTACGTCCTGGTGGTCTGCACCGTGCAAGTCGTCGTCGTAGAACTGGCTAGTAGGACCAGTCCTACCGGCGTGAGACGAAGAGGCCCCAGTACCGAAGATCCCGGCTGCATATCCTGCTGGACAAGGACCATCAGTTTTGTACAAGTATTTAACAGTAGTAATAAAAAGTAAAGTACCGTGTGGGCGAGGGATCGACGCTCCATGAGAGGAAGAGCTGGCGAACGCGCCCGAAGAGGTGGCGAACGCCCCTGCGGAGCTCGCGGAAGCGCCGGTCGTGCCTGCGAACGCGCTCGAAGGCAAACGAGGTCCTGCGATGAGGAAACGTGCAGTTAAAACATGGTGACACATTCGTGCAAAAGCTGAAACAAAAATGAACTAATATCTGGGCTGAACTGTACCGTGTGAAACCGGTGCTGTAGGTCGCACTGATCCGAAGCTAGGGGCGCTCGAAGGCAAACGAGGTCCTGCTCCGACGGTAGGCGCGCGAGGCCGTGGGTGTACCGGACCAGCTGGAGGTACGACGTCCACGGCGCTGCGACAGGAGAAGACGCGCATGACCGCACGCATCTTCTCCTGCATCCGGTCGAAGGTCGCCCTCTGCTCAACGTCAGTCAAGTGCAAACCTCTGTTCAACCTCACCTGGACTGCGGTGATATCGGCACTGATATCCCGTGCCGCATCAGCCTATGCAAGATGGAAATAAAAAATTCAGTAGTTGTCCTATATTATGCAAGATAAATGACATAATTGTTGGAAGTAATACAAATTGGACGTACCGCCACGAAGTAGTCTCGGTCACGGTGCGTGGGATACGCGTCCGTGACAGCGGCAACGTGCGGCTCTGGGGCGTCTGGAGTGAAGGTCACACGCGCACGAGTGCGAGGAAGGTACCAGCGAAGGTAGTCACGGTAGTTCTCCTCCGTGTGTGGGAAGAGCTCGTTGATCACCTCCTCTGTAGCTAACACCCAGTCGTCAACGTACTGCTGTACACGTGGAGCCCAAAGTGCGCCTGCTAGCTGTCCCCGTCGAGTCAACCTGTGAAGAGAGGTAAATTGTATGGCTCGATGATGTAATTATCATAAAAATTTAGAAATGAACAATCCGAACTCACGAGTGGTCGGCAGGGGGGACGGTCGGCTGCACGTTGCCCGGAAACACCTGCCTAAGTCCGAACTGTCTCATCACACGCTGCGGGCAGTGAGGCTCAACGAAAATGTCGAACACCATCGGCAGGATGGTGAGCCAGTAAGCCTGGTCGCGTGTGCACAAGGACGAAAGTCCTAGCGGTGCTCTCGCAGCGACGGCCTCTTCTGTGTACGGCTCCCAGATGACGTCGCTCGGCTGGAGACGGTCAAACTCGAACACGAAGTCCGGGTAACCACGTCTCACCTGGACGTGAGCGTAACGACGCTGCAATAAAAATGATCGGAATTAGACATGTTATGTGAATGAAAAAAAAAGAAGAGGACTTATAAACTTATAACGCAGCGAAGTTGCACTAACCCCACGTCGACACCAGTAAGTCCCCATCGTGGGACCGTCCTCTGGCCACTGCGCGCTGCGACCAACCCCGTAGGGTGCGCTGTCCACCACTGGTCGCCCTATGGCAAACCTCTCGGCTGCCCAAAGCTGAAGCAACATAGGGCAGCCAGCGATGATCGCTCCCGCGTCAGTCTTCGTGCACGCCTCACAGAGGGCACGGTAGGTGGCTGCTAGCACGGCAGAACCCCAGCTCCACTGCGGCACGTCCTGTGGCTGAGCATCCGCGATGGACCGTGCGTAGTGGACCAGCCGGAAGTCCACAGCGTGCCCGTGGGTGCTAGTGAACATCACCCACCCGAACAACCACAACAGGTACGCCTCAAGGGAGCGTCGGACCGAGTAATCATCAGCGTCAGGGTGCAGAAGGTCCGCCTACAGTTAAGAATGAAATGTTAGTACAAAACACTCATCCGGTCGCAAATAAGCATGTATGATAATGACAACTTACTTACTTACAGTGAACTGTAGCAACCAAGCCTTGCTAGGCCCGACTGTAGAGTACGGAGGAAGGGTGGTGGTCGGTCCTAGGTGTGGAAGGCGCATCACCTGCTCGAAGCGCGCAGTGATATCCTCCTTCCACCCAAAAACACCGTCCACGGGACCAACTGGTGCTCCCGCCAGCGGTAGCCCTAGCAGGTACGACACGTCCTGCAGTGTCGGAGCCATCTCCCCACAGGGAAGGTGGAACGTGTGCGTCTCAGGTCTCCAGCGGTCTACAAGAGCGGCAAGGAGTGACCGGTCTGCATCCCACCGCTTCGCTGGGTCACGGTCGTCCGCCGCCGCCTCAACAAGCCTACAAAGTGGTAGAAGGCCTGCCGCACGCAACCTGTATAGAGCAAACTTCAAACATAAGTACAACACAAAGCAAAGTTGAGTTGAAATGTGAACATACGCGTACCAAGGAACGTGACGGGGGTCGACACGCAACCACTCGCGCGACGTGCGTGGACGGAAGGTGCCGAGCTGTGCAGCCTCGACTGCTGACAGGAACGAGCGGTGGTTCCTGTCAATCCCACGGTTCAACAGCGCCGGTGTGTCGTACACCATACCTGCATCAAATAGGTTGATCAGAAACATATAAATAATTATGTCAACATAAGTAATAAATGTTCATAAGCGAATTACTAACACATATTAAACAAGAGTACAAACAAACAAAAGTGTTTAGTCCGAACACTCATCACGATAACATTATGATACAACACCGAATAGTTCGCAATACTACTAGTACAACAATAGTCGGAGGTACTCATTACAACAACATTGAATTGAAATTACACGATACAAGTATTTAGTCCGAACACTCATTACATCACAACAGCATTTTATTTCCTAAATTGAAAGCATTGTTACACCATGGAATCGCCTGCTGCGCGACGACGCCTTGGCCTTACGCGCCTGCTTGTTGTTCCTTCACCAGGTGGTCGCCTACCATCACTTGCCTGTCCAGATGGACTAGCATCTGCGCCGCTTGGAACTTCTGCATTTTTCGGGCATTTCTTGTAAGTATGGCCGCGCAGATCACACTTGCTGCAGCGTAAAGTCCTCCCACCTGCTTCTGACTCATCCATATCATTTCTGATGCGTCTAGTTTGGCGTCGACCCTTTTTCACCCTTAACTTAGATGGATCTGGAATATAAAAAACTTGGGCACTCAGCGTTGTGTAAGATCCTGAGATCCCGAACCCATATATCTCCTCACTCCATGTATGAAAGATTGCTTCTTTCCTGAAATAATTTGAGACGTACACATTGGGAGATATGCCACAATCACCGGCAGCAGCAAGAACGTGTGAGCAAGGAAGGTGATGAAGCTTCGGCTTCATACAACTGCAGGTACATCCACCATCCGCCTTCAAGACACATTCCTGCACGGCTTGCTTGCGATAGATACCACGCCTGCTCCTATCAACACACATTATTTCATACCGATGCACTTGTGTGCCTTGAGCAACAACTCTATGTCTCCGTGCCTTTTTGATTTTATCTTCCATGTACTTTGTCACTACGTTGCCAAACACTATGTTGTTATCGGCCATGGACGGACCAATTTTCTTGTATCGATCCCTAAAGTAGTCTTGCGTGCCGTGAAGGATGAATTCAACAATAGCAACCAATGGAAGTACCCGAACTCCTCGCATTACCCAGTTGTACACCTCTGCCAAATTGGTTGTCATTATGCCATACCGAGATCCATCGGTGTCGAACAATAGAGACCACTTCTCCTTAGGCTCATTCTCAATCCACTGACTGAAATTTCTGATAGACGACCCTGACCTCCTTCTCATTGTTGGTGGGTCATCATGTAATGCACCAAGAGGTATGGGAGGCTCGTCACCTTCAACTTGTGGTCTGCGAGATTGCTCATCTGTTTGCTTCGTTGTCAACTCATCCAACTTGTCCCACAACTCATTAAATTTCTTCTCTTGGTTCTGTGCACAGAGCCTCTTAAAGAGCTCCATAAGATGCTTGTTCTTGAATTGCTTGTAGAAATTTGCACCCATGTGACGCATGCACCACCGACTCCAAACATCAGGCCACTTAGCTGGAAGTCCCTTCTCATCCCAACCGTTCTGCAAGTAGTCAATAGCCCGCAACATACCCGCATGACGATCATGTATAAGGCAAACGTTGGGCCTCATACGCACCACTGCAATGTGCACTCTCTCTAGGAACCAGTACCAGCTTTCAGTGTTCTCACTCTCTACAAATGCAAAAGCCATAGGTAGAACCTGGTTGTTCCCATCACACCCAATTGCTGTCAATATCTGACCTCGGTATTTACCTGTCATAAACGTTCCATCTATGCATAGAACAGGTCGACAATGCACAAAAGCATTGATGCAAGCACCCAATGAGAAAAAGGCTCTTTGCAGCACACTCTTTGTTCGATCATCAACCGATGTAAATGTATGTAGGTCATAGTAAGTATTATTATTCCTCTGGGCAATTGTGGCTAACAAACGAGGCAAATTATCATAAGATGCTTCAAATGTGCCATACCTCATCTCAATGATCTTTTGTTTGGCTCTCCAGGCCTTTGCATAGCTTATGGTGTACTTGAATTTGTTCTCGATGTGCCTAATAATTGATTTTGGTTCAAAGCCAATGTTACCAACAACACTGCTGTACATCTCACTTGCCACAAAAGCTGAAGTGATGTTTCGGTGATACTTCTCCACCCCTTGTAAGTAGCACTTGTGCTCGGTCACAATGCTAACTTTCCAATAATCATTCCATTTACCCTTATATGCATGGACACGCCACGGACAATCTTCCTTCATGCACCTCACTTCATACACATAATTTGTTGACTTGACCACCCTAAACTCTCTCTGCAATGAAACTGCCCAATGCTTCACCGCCTCCTTCATATCATCCTTATGAGCATACCTTGCACCCTCAATTACCTCGTTCTCCTTATACTCCCAGGGTACATGATCACCCTCTGATATAACAAGTCCAGAGAAGTCCTCATTTGCCCAATCAGTGGCCATTACATCACCTTCTTCATCGGATGATGCGTCGTCCTCCGCTTGCTCATTATCCGAATCTTCCCTCTCCATTTCATCAACAATTATACCGACTCTCTCCCCCTCATCCGCCATGCCCATGGCCTGCTCCTCCCTTGGTTGATTTTCCTCATTTTCCATCGATGGTCCAACAACATCCCCTGCATTGCTAGGACCCTCCACATCTTCGGTTCGCATTGAAACATTTGTATCTTTCTCTTGTACCGACACAAATATAACAAGGGGCCATGACCGTTCAAAAGCCATTTCCACATACCGTCTCCAAGCAGCAGTGCTGTCCATCGGCATTAGTTCCCAAAAATAACCTTCTATTGCACGACTCACTACAACAGATACTGACATTGTGTAGACTTCTTGGTCTATTCTAAATCCTCTCAACAACCAACTATAAATTGACTGAAATGTTCTCTCCGCAGGCCTATCGATGCCCTTAGATGTCATTACAAAATCTGACAGATCAACACCATCTGGACCAAATCTAATATTTCCTTCACCGTGAACTATCTGAAATGTGACCTTACTTGACATTGTGCCTGATGAAAACATTAACTGTGTTAACCTCGCATTTCTGTACTACGCCCTAAGTTACATTCTCTACAATATTGTCCTCTAAATTTCTAAAAGTACGTTACATTCTCCAGATCAAACTAAACTACATCTTACAATTAACACTACTGTCTATGTCTCAATTCATACTATTATATTCTATGCTCTGGATCTACACATATGTGCTGTGTGCTACAGATGTGCTAAAATATATGGAACTAAAACTAAAACGCAACATATATACTCAAACATAACATATTAGTACAAATGCAAAACATGTATGGGAGCATACCTGTGATGAAGTGAGCGAACCAGCAGGGCTTCGCCGCTCCCCTTTTGCTGCCCTCCCCTCTCTCTCTTTCGTTTTTTTTGGATTTTTAGTGAATATAATGAAATTTCACAGAGGAGTGACTGGGTTTTATAGAGGGGGGGGGGGCAAAAATCGCCCTCCCCCAGGGCGGCAAGGGGGCCGCCTGCAAAATTCCATGCCCCCTCGCCGCCCATTTGCAGGCGGCCCCCCGCACAGTGCAAAATCGCCCTAGCGGAGGGCGGCAAGGGGGCCGCCTGCAAAATTCCATGCCCCCCCTCGCCGCCCATTTGCAGGCGGCCCCCCGCACAGTACAAAATCGCCCTCGCGGAGGGCGGCAAGGGGGCCGCCTGCAAATTTCGTTGACGGCCGTCGCCCGAGAGCGAACGGCCGTCTGCCACGTCATTTTCGCCGCCCTCTGGGAGGGCGGTAGGCGACTATTTCCGTCAATTTTCAAAATGGAAAATTATTTTTGTAAAACTTTTAATAAAAAAAATTATAAATAAAAAAAATTCGGCAAGAGAGTATGGACCATTGGACCAATGTTCCTCTGCAATACTGATAGAAGCACAATAGCAGACAGGGGCGCTAAAAGGCATCAGTTAATCAAAAGCACTGTATGGAATGGATCGATTCGATGCAGAATGGATCGGTTCTTTACGTTAGTTTTGGAAGCATGGCGCGTACTGTATTTTTGCAGCTTGAGGAGATTGCACTGGGTTTGGAGGCTTCAAAGAGACCATTTCTTTGGGTGATCAAATCTGACAATATGCCTTCTGAGACTGATAAACTGTTTCTGCCTGAAGGGTTTGAGGAGAGAACAAGAGGCAGAGGTCTCATAATACAAGGTTGGGCACCGCAGGCTTTGATCCTCTCCCATCCATCCGTGGGGGGTTTCGTGACGCACTGCGGGTGGAACTCGAAGATAGAAGGGGTATCAGCCGGGTTGCCGATGATCACATGGCCACATTGTGCAGAGCAATTCCTGAATGAGGAGCTGATAATGAATGCTCTGAAAGTAGGGTTGGCTGTGGGTGTGCAGAGCATAACAAACAGGACAATGAAGGCTCATGAGATTTCTGTAGTGAAGAGGGATCAGATAGAGAGAGCTGTGGTAGAACTAATGGGAGATGAGACAGGTGCAGAGGAGAGAAGAGCAAGAGCTAAGGAACTGAAGGAGAAGGCTAGAAAGGCTATAGATGAAGGATCATCTTACAACAATGTAAGGCAGCTGATTGAATACATCTCGAGCAGGGGAACAAGAACAGATGTTCAGTGATGTGTTCTTTTATATCACCTTTTCTTATGGGTAATATCAGTATTTTGATAAGAATAAATGGTTCACGTCCAAATCAGTTGCTTTCTTGTATGATGACATATCGTTTATTTGCAAAGTTCAACATACCAACCTTACGATTGAATATTACTGTCCTTTCTCTATTATGCTCCGATTTGCATTGAGGTGGAATATGACACTCATTTTGTGCAACTGATCAACTACTTGATAAATTTTAAAGATATAACTTGGGTGCAAACTGAGTTATTATTGCATTAAAATGGAACAGTTATGAGAGAAACAACAATAGGATAACAGAATTTCTTAACCTTAATTTGATTTATAACTACAATAGCTCTGCAGTAGCTCAAAAAAGGGCACAATTTAGCATATTAACCATAAACTGACCCTTATTCTCTTCTTATTTCTAATGCCCACATACTGTAAGCACAAACAATGTTCACCAGAAGTGATTCGAAAAATCCAGCTGCATTATCCAGCGATTTTGCATTCTACTTCCCTAATAAGGACTTGAGTGATAAATTGTAATCAGTTGCAACATATCAGTAAAAATGAAGGAATTCAGTACTTGTTACTTGTTCTACTGAAGCAAACAAGTAGTCGATATGAAACATTTCAGACAAACTATAGTAACGAACACAATGCCACAACATTTTAGAGACTGACAACAAAAATGGACTGCTTCAGATTGTTCTCAAGAACTTCAGGAGATGCATTCTAAGACCATTATCAAAAGAGAAAGTAGGGAAAATAGTAGGAAGAAAAGGAACCTGGAAAGGTAACCAAGGTTGAGGATCAAATAGATTAAAGCTAAAATCTGTCAAAATGTAATTTACCTGGTTTATCTAAGCAGCAGATCACACAATTGTTAACAGCTTTTGCATATCCTTGAGAACACAACACACTGAGCACTTGGCAGTTGGCACCAGTTTACTAGATAAGGCATATTTACTGCTAAAAAGGTTCATTCATCGCAAACTGGAGCACATTAGATTATCAGATAATCATGGGTTTTTCATTATGGTCCAGCATGATTCCTGTACAGCATAGTAAAAAAAAAAATAGTACTACCTAGTAGCTATACAGCAATACAAATTATCAAAAACTTGTTGGTTTTACCACGGATAATTGGTCATTGGTTACTCAAGCAATCTTTATAGACTAATGTACAACAAAATAATTATTCCATTATCTCATAAAAAAACAAAAAAAATATATTCACATGTATGCTAACCTGATAACAATATTGCCTCTCGTTCTGCACTGACGAATACGGAGGTTAGCAAGTTTTCCATTTTATTTAAGAAACAGCATTTCTTCATCCTTCTCCATGATCTTGAGAAATTGTATTTATACGCATGAGGTATATACATTGCAGACCGTAGTTGAAATGCAGTTATCTTCCAGACTTTTACAGGTCTCAGTCGCACACTACGCTTCATTGGACTAAGAAAGAGATCTATCCAGCTACAAGTCCAAGAATATAAAACCATTGCACAAAATGGATCTTCCTTTGGGCTTTGCTCATGTATGGCTGTACCCATTATTGCTTGTCTAAGCAGCAGAGACAAGCATGTACAACCTTTGCACCCACACTACTGGTCAAAACTGATGCACCCCACCTTATCCTCACAATCCAGTTTAAGAAGTCACTCTTCACAATTCACTTATCTCTGTACTACGACGAACAAATCGAACCCCCAACAAGCACATGCCTGAGTCCTGAAGCTAATGCAGTCTTCCAACAAATCACTGTCAGTCTTCCGTTATCAACCAGACCACGGACATAAAGCCATGAGAACACCGACCGAATTTCTCACACAATCTGCAATCTGTGAATCCTAGATCACCACCTTATGTAACATTCCACGCATCACCTGGCATTTAGTCAAATCAAAATCAATGGATTAACCCAGGATCCAGAGAGATTACCCATGCCATCGCAGAGACAACCTTCCTGCCTATGAAATCAGGTTGCACATGCCCCTCTGTTAAGGATGCCAGATTTGCGATCGGCCTATGTGTGTCCACCACGGTGAAGTTGTCTGCCTGACCCACCACCCACGTTGAGACCAGCCTGCTGCCTGCCTGAATGTGGTGTTAACTTTCATCCAAATCCACGGATCACTCGGCTAATTTGCGGGAATGCAGCCAGTGTACCGAATTACCAATCAGCTCAGCACGACGGCCATGTCTCTCCCATCCAGGACACCGTGCTCAGCGCTGCAAGAACGATTGGCCAGATTCTGTCATGCAGTCATGGCGTCCTCGGCACGGCGGGCACGACGGCGGCCGGGGAGGAGATCTCAGCAAGGACGACGCGGCAGCGCCGGCGCCAGCTCTCACGCCGCATCCGCACACCCACACACCGTCGCGGTGGACCCCCCCGGTCCGGTGGGGAATTCCGTCGAACAGGTCGCGGGCACACGCACGGCGACCGCACCATCCTCCTCCTCCACCGCCGTTGTGATCCAAGAAAGAAAGACAATGATTGACCGTCAGCTCCGGATCGCCAACAACAGCTGCAGCTGCAGCTCCAGCAGCAGAAATGGTGGTGGTGCAGGTGCAGCCCTGAACAGTGAAGCAAGCAATCACCATTCACAAGACAACAACAGCAACTCAGCAAGGGGGAAGGAAAGGACCACCGTTCCATTGTAGCTACATGGGGGATGCTGGGCTGCAGCCTTTTGAGCTAGCATGCAAGGGACCTTACCTTACCTGCTTTTGGCCATGGTGGTCAGTTGTAGCTAGGGCTAGGCTAGGCCAAACTGCTGCTGCTGCTGACCTCTAAAAGCCATGGCCATGGACATGGACAACAGAGTTAACAGTCTTATTAGTACTCTCTTCGTTTTCTAATAGGGGTGTGTTTAGTTAACGCTAAAATTGAAAGTTTGGTTGAAATCGAAATGATATGATGCAAAAGTTGGAAGTTTGTGTGTAGGAAAGCTTTGATGTGATAAAAAAGTTAGAAGTTTGAAGAAATAGTTTGGAACTAAACTTGGTCTATATATGACGCCGTTAACTTTTAATATACATTTAACTATACGTTTTATTTAAGAAGTAAAAGTTTATGTAAGTGTATAAGATATAAACAATACTTTAAATTATTTTAATGATAAAACAACTTACAACAAAATAAATGATAATTACGTTTTTTAATAAGACGAATGGTAAAATGTGTGTCCAAAAATCAACGATGGCATCTACTCCCTCCGTCTCTAAATATAAGAGATTTTAGGTGGATGGGGCGTATCCAAACTACGAACCTAGACATGCTCTTGTCTAGATTTGTAGTACTAGACTACGTTATATCAAACCAAAATCCCTTATATTTAGAGACGGAAGGAGTATTAAAAAACGGAGATAGTATCGCAAACGGGCAGCATGCAGCAAAGGTCAAGGTGACCAAGATATCAGATCTCCCATGGATTAATTGATTTCCATGCTTGCGCTCGTATTCTATCATTGTCCCTTGATGGCAGTGACTGACATATAGGCTAGGGTTTGACAATACGTCGGTTACTGCAGTAACTAGGTTTATTACCGTCAGGGTGAAAAATGGTAACATCACGATTGTCCCATCAAATTTAAACAAAATTCAAAAGTATCCTGAATTTTGATGGATTTTATCTGTTTTTTCATGGTTTGCCATGGTAACCACATTTATCGCTAGGGTGTAGTAACCTAGACCAAGATAATAATGTACTCCCTCCGTACTCGTAAAGGAAGTCATTTAGAGTAATGTTTAAGTCAAACATTAGGAATATAAATTATGAATAACTCTCAAGTTGTTGAGTTTGAAAATATAAAAATTATATAAATAGATTTATCTTTAAAAAAAATACTTTCATAAAAGTATATATATATATATATATATATATTACTTTTTAATAAATATTTTTATAGAAACAAGAAGTTAAACTTGTGTTTTAGAGACCGTGTTACTGTCCAAAAGGAAGGAATTTTACATGTGCTTGTAGAAGGGAAAGTTATGCTTTTGCCGTGAGGTTGGATGGCACGAATAAAACGATTTAATTAGCTTCCGTGGGAGTTGAGAAAGCAATCCAGTGATTTACATGAAGTTAAATTTATATGCCAGAATAATAGTTATTGTGGGACTACCACGTGGCAAACAAACATGTATTTGATCGGGCCATCTCGGTGAGATGGCTTAGGCTGTGTTTGGCACATGTATTCCCAACCCCTCTCCCTCGTTTTCCGCTCGTACGCTTTTCAAACTACTAAACGATAGGTTTCTCTTAAAAAAATTCTATAAAAAAGTTGCTTAAAAATCATATTAATCCGTTTTCAAGTTAATTTTAGTTAATACTTAATTAATTATGCGATAGCTGTTTCATTTTTCATGCCGGAGGGATAGACTCCCAACCGGCACAAACGAACGATGCCAAATTAGTTTTATTAAATATAAAATTAAATATATTTTGATATAATATTTGTTTTGTATTGGAAATCTTACTGTATTTTTCTATAAACTTAATTAAACTTTAATAAGTTTGACTAAGAAAAGTCAAACGACTTATAATATAAAACGTAGGGAGTATCCCCTACTTACAGTGAACGAGTTGTAGTATACATTTGACGTAGAATATGAATTGTACTTTTAGTACTAAAAATAATATTGGTGCTTCTTCTACAATAGGGTTTCATGTAAATTAGGTACAGTGAATGTGTACCATGGGGGAAAGAGATTCGCTACTATTTGGGCGTACCTCACCATGAGGACGGCCAACAACACAACCATATGCAATCATGCAACATGGAGTACTCCCTAAGTCTCCAACACACACTAGTGCACGGCGAGAAAGCCAAAATAATGCATCTTTGTTCCGGTAAAACCACTAGTTACGTACATAACCAAGCACAACTTTGTTCCTGTTCAGATTGATGATATTTTCAACCATATTATTATTTGATAAAATTAATAATTATATGTCTACGTTTACTTTGTTATCAAATATTGGTAATGTGTATATAATTTTGATAATATTATTAAGCCAATCCTATCAAAATTTTAGCAATATTATCAACTTAGGTTTATTTTGGCATCAATCTGAACAACTCCAAATTAAGAGTCGTTAGTTGAGATCCGGATAAAACCAATAGTTACGTACTTAACTAAGCACCACTTTATTTTTGTTTATCAAAATATTGGATAGACCTAAGGACAGACCCAGGCCTCGGACCAGAATGAAAAGTCCACTATGAAATATAGATTTTTACCATATAAATTATAGCTTGGCCTAAAGTCCAATGAGTCAACCCGTCCTTGGATAGACCAGTCGTCAGTCGAGACTGGGGAAGGTAGGAGGCTAGAAAATAATTTATTTTGAAATAAAGTTTGAACACTAAAAATGAATGAGTCTGTTCAGCTGCTCTACACAACCGTTGCCATGCCGCAGTCACTGATAGAAAATATTGTATGTGTTAGCTGCACTACAGTAAATATCAGTGCAGCCGAACAGAGCTAATTTATTTTAGAACGAAGAAAATAAGCATAATTGTTATAAGGTTTATTTAAAACACTAGAATTTAACGAAATATTCATACCAAGGGGGCTGCAGCATGTACATATATGAGCAAAACTGGCGAAAGGGTCTGTACCCTAGTGGTTACAAGAGCCTCCGTGGTACCTTAGGTCCTGGGTTCGACTCCCCATTGGAGCGAATTTTCTAGAATTTAACGGCTTTATGCTTTTAATGGTAGGCGACGTACCCGTCGACAGCGAGGCGCCTATGGTGACTTCGTCAATCTTAAGTATTTCCTTGGCCCAGTCTTTGAAGATGCTTATAAGGGTAAGGTTTGCGTGCGTGTGTTTATAGGGGTGAGTATGTGTGCGTTGTGAGTGCCTGCGTTGTACTGTGTAATTAAAAAAAAAGAAAACATATGAGCAAAACTGCAGCCACAGCATCTGCCGTAAAAGGTAAGGAAGCAGGGGAGCCAAGAAAGAGCCAAATGTTGGCTGGGATTGGCGACCAGATTTACCGAAAAGGTTGCTCCACTTTTCGGTCCCTCTCCTTCACCGTGCCTGTCACCATCTTTTTGGCAACGCACATAGGAACAAACTGGCCCAGCTAGAGGCATGCACACACATCTACCTGCCATACGGGCCCACACATACGTATACATTGTACTGCTACATAATATACATTTATGTACAACATTACGAAGTAAAGTGCGAATATTTCTTATTTGTCTACTATGTCAAGATCACGCGATCCTTGTGTAAATGTCCATGATAATAAATGGAGAATAGAGGACAAATAAGAGAATTGATTGCCTTTTAAGGTCGTTCAATTAACGCATCAGAATCTAAACTGTAGTAGTTTTGGTCTAAGTTGTGCTCAAGTGACCAGTACTGGAGGAGCCACCTCTCGGGCAGGTCGGGTGACCTCCGCTATCTCCACTGTCAATAGCCGTCGACACTTATAAAAATTAATCGATCATTAGAAAATACTATTAGTCACCCAGCTGGCTTGACGACGTTGCTAGCTCCACCACTGTAAGTGACAGTCCCAGTTTAGAAAATAAAAACCTAAGACCCCAAATGGAATTGAAGTACTCCTTGATTGCTTCTCCTGCTCGCTCTTCTTTCTTCCTTTTCTTATCTCTCCCAAACTCAAAACAAGTTTATACCTCTCTCACGGGTTATAGCTAGCATGCCCTCTTAAACTGCTGCCCTCCTCTTTGAGCATATGCTCGTCATCTCCTCACGCTCAAACCACTTATTCCCTCCGTTTCAAAATGTTTGACACCGTTGACTTTTTAGCACATGTTTGACCATTCGTCTTATTCAAAAACTTTTGTGAAATATGTAAAATTATATGCCTACATAAAAATATATTTAATAATGAATCAAATGATAGAAAAAGAATTAATAATTACTTAAATTTTTTGAATAAGACGAACGGTCAAACATGTTTAAAAAAATCAATGGCGTTAAATATTTCGAAACGGAGGGAGTACAAGGCTACCCGCTTATCATAGAGAGGCAATAGTCCGAGCACAAGGGATGCAAGGATCCAAGCGCACGAGCAATTAGGCGGAAGAATGGAGAAAAGGCAGTGCGTAGTGAGACGGGAGAAAATTGAACCCTAAAAACCGGTTTAGAGAGAGAGAGGAGGAGATTTTTCTTTTTTTTCCCTTTTGATACACTTATAAAATGGTAATGTAAATAGACTTATTCCATGATTAATAAAACGCCACATATTTCATGACTAATCCGAGTAATAGAGTAACCGATATTAACACCAAAGAGGCGGCGGTTGCGTGATTTTTTTTTGACGGGTTGCATGAATTGGTAGCAAGCTAGAGGACAAGTTGCAACTTTAACCGCGGTAACAAAAGGTCAAGGTGTTCATCATGCATGTACCGCAACACGGGAACAGGGCCAGCGACGACTTTTGTGTGAGTTTTTGTGGTGACCATCCATGCATGCATGATCAGTGCATAGCTTGCTGTTTACACCCGTACATTGTCTGGGTTTAGCTGTCCCTCAATGAAAACGGTGGTAAAAATTCCCGACCAACTAATCATCATTACTGTAAAAATGAAAATGTACTGTTTTTTGATATTTAATATGTTATACTCCCTCCGTTTCACAATGTAAGTCATTCTAACATTTTCCATATTCGTATTGATGTTAATGAAATCAATACGAATGTGGAAAATGCTAGAATGACTTACATTGTGAAACGGGGGAGTAATATTTATCAGTGTCGTAGTGATGTCACTATTTAATAGTTGTATAATAAATACTCCATCCGTCCCATAAATATAAGGGATTTTGAGTTTTTGCTCGACGGAGGAAGTATGTGAAAATTCTCATACCGATCACGTAGACATGATACCATTCTCGACCGTTTTCATCTCGTAGTTGCTTGATTGATCTTCGAACTTTAAACTTAGGCTGTGTTTAGTTTACACTGAAATTTAGAAGTTTGGTTGAAATTGGTACGATGTGATAGAAAGTTGTGTGTATGAAAGATTCGATGTGATGGAAAGTTGAAAGTTTGGAAAAAAAACTTTGGAACTAAATAGGGCCTGTGTGGAGTTAAGTATATTTAAGGTTAGGGGCAGTAGAATTTTAACCCTACTGATCACACGTGTGGTTCTTTTTTCTAACATTACTTAAAAAGCACATACTTATCTATTACCTGAACTTTATTCTAAAATAAAGAATATAGCCTTTTTTTTAGTGATTGTGTTAGTCAAATGCTCAACTTTTGCAAAACAAAAAATAAAATTAGAAAAAAACTCAATCCTGCTACGCCCCTGTCTCTGCGAGACTGGTGACACTGTCCACTCTGTTGCCTACCGTTGCTCCACACGCCCACCTCTACAAGAAGCTTCATCACCACCTCAAACACACAAACCTCTCCTCACTCTCACTCGCCCATGAAGCCGTCGTCGCCGTCGCCGTCGCCGCCGCACGGCGCCGCCGCCGTGAAGCAGCCGGCCTCCTCGCCGGACGCGCGGCTGACGCCTTCCTCGGTTGTCGCCGCCGCCGCTGTTGGCATAGGTGTGACGCCCCCGCGGCGCAGCTGCGACGACGCGGCGTCGTGCGTCGTCAACGACGTCGACGCGTTCGCGCGCACCATTGCCAGCATCAGGTCGAAGCCGGCCTCGGCGGCGGCGGCGGCGGCCTCGTCTTCGTCGGATGGCGGCGGCGACCACCTCGCCACCGTGCTGGCGCACTACGCGGCCAGGTGGCTCCCCGACGTCGCGTCGTCGCCGTCGGGGAGGTTCCTGCTGCCGCCGCAGAGCCCCACGGCGACGTGGATCAGGAAGCGCCTCCTGCTCGAGTCCCTCGTCGCCGCGCTCCCGCCCGACGGCGGCGACGGGGACGACGGCGGCGGCGGCGTCACGTGCGACTTCCTGCTCCGCCTCCTCCGCGCCGGGAGCATGGCCGGGGCCGACGCCGCGCTCCTCGCCGACCTCGAGGCGCGCGCGGCGCGGCGGCTGGACCAGGCCTCGCTCGGCGCCGTCATGATCCCGGCGTTCCGCGCCGCCGCCGGTGACGCGCCCGGCGCGGGCGCGACGCTGCTCGACGTGCCGCTCGTGCTCCGCCTCGTGCGCGGCTTCCTCCGCGAGGGCGGCAAGGCGGGCGCCGGCGGCGGCGGCGGCGCGGCGGCCGCCTGCAGGGTGGCGAGGCTGGTGGACGCGTACCTCGCCGAGGCGGCGCTGGAGGCCGGGCTGCGGCCGGCGGAGTTCGAGGAGCTCGCGCGCGCCGTGCCGGCGCACGCCCGCGCCGCCGACGACGGGCTGTACCGCGCCGTCGACACCTACCTCAAGGTGAGTGTGCATCGATCGCGCGCCATGGACACAATCATTTACAATTATGTCACAATCTCTCTTTGCCTGGTGATGATTATGTTTTCACGATGATTTGATTAGTTAAATACTCCCTCCGTATCAGTTTGTAACAGGATGTAAGACGTTTTAAGTTTAGCTAAAGTCAACTGCTTTAAGTTTGATTAAATTTGTAGAAAAAAGTAGTAACATTTTTAACCTAAGACAAATTTATTATAAAAATATATTCAATTATTTATTTGATAAACTAATGTAGTATTATAAATATTACTATATTTGTCTATATTTATCTAAAAATTTAGTTAAACTTAAAACTGTTTGACTTTGACTAAAATTAAAAACGTCTTACAACCTGGAACAAGTGAGCAGTATTTACAAATAATAATCTTCTGTACATCGTGGCAGTATGTTCTGGTAGGAAGAAATAGGGTCTCGATCTGGCCGTTAAAGATCGGTTAAGAATGCATCGATGGCTTTAATTATCTTGGAACATGATGTCATGATGCATCCATTTAATTAACATGTTATATGATTAGGGTGTTATCAATATCGTAGCATGTTGGTTTTCTTAAAAAAAATGGAACACAAAATCACTATGCTACATTTTGTAGGAAATGCTAGCTTAGCTAAATTTTTCGTCACAAATAACAGTGTGAGTGTGTGACGCTAAATATTTGAGAAAAAAACACATTATAAGTTAATTACATAGGACTAGGAGCAATGTTGCCAACTCTGATCGTTTGAACTATGATTGATAAGATGAGGAAAAAAAATAAAGCAACTAAAACTAATTACTGGGTAATTATTTTTATATTAGTGCTAGTAGTGGTTTAAAGTCAATGAAAATATATTACGATGAAAAATTAAAAAAATATCTCCAACGTATTTTTTTTAAAAAAAACCTAAATTATATGATAAGCTATATCAAGTATTTTATTTGTCCCAAAATATAATAATATATAAAGTTCAAAATTATTCCAAATATAACAATTACCACTTGTAAAAGATATTTTTTTATTACTCCTAAACTACTCATCCTATCCCTTATCTAGTACAGACCTATCGTAAGAAGATAAATAAATCTTTCTACCCCTCTTATTTGTAGCCGTGTAAAAAATTAAAACTTATTATATTTTAACAGAGAGCAAGCTATAGTATATAAAGCAAATGAATGAAAATAATACAGTACATGTGGAGAAAAAAAATTGGGACTGTGGCCCTGTTTAGATCCCAACTCAAAATTAAATTTTTCACCCTATCACCTCGAACATTTTAACATCTATATGAAGTATTAAATATAGACTAAAAACAACTAATTGCACATATTGCGACTAATTTGCGAGACGAATATTTTAAACCTAATTGTTTTATGATTTAACAATATGGTGCTACATTAAACATTTGCTAATGACAGATTAATTAGACTTAATAAATTCATCGCGGTTTACTAACGGATTCTGTAATTAGTTTTTTTATTAGTGTCTAAATACTCTATACGACACTCTATATAGTATCTTAATTGACACGTCAAAACTTTACACCCCTACATCTTAAACATCCCTTTATCTCCAAGATTCCCATTTGCAAACCAGGGTGAGCATGCCAACTTAAGATATGAGATGTGGTGATTAACCCCTTTTCACCTTGGCATTGGCTGTCCATGATGTGATAGGCCAAAAAAGATTTTCCATGCACGTATTTCCATGCATGGTGCTGGAGGCGATGTGACTGTGTTGGAAGCATATGCGACGGTCGAGGTAAAAAAAAAAGAATAACCATGGAAGTAAGAGAGGCCAGTTTCAGGCTCGGTATGTGTTTCTGCGTGTTTGACCGCACGGTAGTTCATGTTGGACCATTCCTAATCATCATTTTGCTCAGGAGTCAGGAGTGTGTTTTTGGTTTTTGTGATTAAGCTCAATTACTTTGCGTTGATACGACGATTATTGTTTAAGCCAATGTTTAAAATTTGAAATTAAATCAGACGTTTCTTTTCCTTTTGTTCACTCGAGTTTGACTCAAGGCCACTTAAGAATAGAGGTATAATTGTATCCATTCGATTCAACTACATATAATTGTGTTTGGGTTTCATCATTTGTTTATTGGTTTTTCGATCATAACTAAAATTTTGAATTGTAAAACTTAATTTTAGAGTTGTTTTTGAAGGTTTTATTTTTTTTATCGTAGTCTATTTTCTAATCTTGTATTTTAAACCGCTAACAACTCGAATATAAATTTATCTATTTCGTGCATTCGTTTCGGTTTATCGGTCATAGCTCAACCGATCATGATCATCTTATAGGCCGCAAAGAAAAAAAAGCTTTCTAAACTGACCACTGTTTTTTTTTAAATAAATGAGAATAAAAATTGTTCCTATTTGAACAAAACTATTTCCACTCCCTTTTATTTTTCTCCCCCTGTGCATGGATCCTTCTTTGCTAGTGCTTCACTGCCACTTATGTCATTGCTTGAATAGAAGAGACCAATGAGAGTATCATTCAGCATCCCAACTCCACACCAACCAATTTGTATCGATCACCAGCAACACACGGTCCAGTCCCATCGGAGGGCAAAAGTCACTTTGTTTTTTGTCCTAGCAATTGCCATGTTTTGGTACACTCTCACCAGCTAAAATCACACATGCAGTGCAGTGCAGTGCAGTGTGATGCTGTTCTGAAGAAAACGGCAGAACACAGATGTGCTCACGTGAGCTACCTAGCATCGCTGCTTCAGCTCGATCAATCCAATCCAACTGCTGCAAGTGCTATGCAACAAGAGAGTTGTTACCCTGCTTGTTGGTTTCATTCTTGTAGCCTCTCACTTTTTTTTAAAAAAAGAAAACCAATTTTTGATATCGTCATTTTTAATATGTTAGCATAGATTTCATATGTGCTTATTAATTGCTTATAAAGATTGGTGTATGTTTTTGTAGGGATGGATGTGTGTGCGTATATATAAGGGTTTGCGTTTGTAATGTGTTTAATAGAGAGGGAGAGAGAGCGTGCATGTTTAAAATAATGTGATAATCAAATTTAATCTAAGTATCTACTTTAAAAGAGCACAAAATGTTTTTAAGTGTTAATGTTAGTGTGAATTTTCATGGATAATTAATTGGCATGTAGAAATTTAACCTTTGATGAAAAGAAAACGTAAGTGCTCCTCTGTAATATATAGTATCTATTTTACAAGATTTTGGTTACGATTTGGTTCAATTCCTCCAAAATCCCTTTGAAATTTCTCCATTTCAAAAAAAAAGAGAAAAAACTAAGTGGTTGATTAATTTGCTGTGTGCAGGCGCACCCGCACGCAGGGAAGGAGGAGAGGCGATCGCTGTGCCGGCTGATCGACGCGCGCAAGCTCACGGCGGAGGCGGCGGCGCACGCCGTCCAGAACGAGCGCCTCCCCGTGCGCTGCGTCGTCCAGGTCCTCTTCTCCGAGCACGGCAGCAAGCTCACCCGCCTCGCCGAGTGGACCACCGGCTCCTTCCGCTCCCTCCAGTCCCGCAGCCCCGCCGACCTCATCGTCACCGGCGGCGGCGCCAATGGCGGCGCGCGGTGCCCCTCCAAGCGCGAGGTCGCCGCGCAGCACCACGAGCTCCGCCGCCTCCGCGAGGACGTGTCCCGCCTCCAGGTGCAGTGCCACGCGCTGCAGGCGCAGGTGGACAGGCTCAGCTCGGAGCGCCGCCGCCGGCCGGGGGGCCTGTTCAAGCTGCTGTTCGGCGGCGGCGGTGGCGCTGGCGCCACCGGGGCCGTCGTCGTGGACGACTCCGACAGCGGGTTGGACAGGACGCCGCTGAGCGGGAAGAAGGGCGTCGTCGTCCGCGCGACCGCCGCGGCGGCGGCGGCGTCGACGCCGGCGTCGGGCACGCCGGCCGTGGCGAGGTGGCGCAGGTCGCACTCGTGAGAGCGCGGCGTCGCGCGCCATGTGTGTCGGTAGAGCTGTAACGACCAAGATCATCATCCAAAGACAAGTGTGGTCTTAATTCTCTGTGTTCGTGAATTCTTCTTCGTTTCATGTGCCTTCGATTGTGAATTTGTGATCGATTCGCTGCTTCTTGGCGCTTGAGGTGATGAAATTGAAATGAACTTGGTTTTCTTTTCTTTCTTTTTTTTTTTGAGAATTATACAGTACAACGTAGACACTCACAACGCACGCGCACTCATCCCTATGAATGCACGCACGTAAACCCTATCCAATGAGCATCTTCGAAGACTGGGCTAGCAAATCCTTGAGATTAACGAAGTCACCGTAGGCGTCTCGCTGTTGGGTACGTCGTCTTCCACTGAAAGCACAACGCCATTAAATCTCTTGTAACCATTAGGCTATAGGCCCTTTCGCGAAATGAACTTGGTTTTTTGTTTGTTTGAGGCATTCGATATATGTGATATATCCTATGAGTATGGAGGCTTCAGCGACCGACGTAAATGGATTCTAAATCTCTTAAAAGTATATCCACTCCTGTATTTTTTTCCCTAAATTCAATGTAAATAGTTATATATATATTTTTTGAAAAAATTGACGATGTAAAGCATAGTGACATCTAACACTCTACACCAAAAGTTAAATTCAAATTCGATCAACACATTAAATAAAAAGACAAATTCTTATATGAATAGTAACAATACTATTAATATCGGATCACGACTGATGAAGTTTGCCTTGGACTTCTGCTAGCGCCTCCGTCAGGGATAAAGTCAGTTTACAATTGAGCAGGGTTCAAAATTCCAGACCGCAAAGACCCCCATACAAAATTATTTCGCTCAATTTTCTTTTTTGGAATTTTCCCAATTTTGAATATAGCAAAATTATTCAAATTTGACCAAATTTTGTTCAGAAAAATCAAATTATTTCGGATCAAGATTTCTGCAATTTCTGAAATTTCGGTCCGTTCAGTAGATAGCGAAAATTGAAATTTTGAACCTTGCAACTAAGTGCATTTATACTCATCTCTTGCATATCGTCCAAATGGACATATATCTTTTTTAAGAAAAAAAATTAATAGCATAGAATACAATGTTACATATAACTTTAAGTTACTATATTAGAAAACGGAGTGGGGACTTGGAAGAAGAGTAGGAGGGCATGGTGAGGAGGAACTCAACCTTAGGCCTTAAGTTGTTTAAAATGCGATGCGCTGGCATTCAGCCCGAGCGCTTCACGTCGGTGGTGTGGGGAGAATCGTTGCCACGAGTGTGTTTGGGCCCACTAGCCTGAAGACCGTGCATCCAAAGAAGGGCACCTGTTTTTCGGCGTCACCGAGGGCGCGTGGCGCAAGTCACACAGCGCTATGGAGCTCGTGGCCTCCTCGCCGGTGTTCGCCTCCAATCCCAAAATCGCCCTACCACTCGCGCGCACGACGGCTAGGTTTTTCCCTTCCCACTCTTGCCCTACTATCTCCTGCACGCACGCCAACTCCATTTTCCCCTTCATGCGCTCGTCCTTCATATCGATGGACATTTTATTTAGAACATATCAAATATATTTGACCCAACATCAAGGGAAGAAAGCCCAAAACAACACACACGGATCAATGGAGTTCAATACCTTAATCCTTGCAGCTGGGGAGGGGGTAGAGGGGCAGGTGTCAGTGGAGCCGCTGCCGCTGGTGGTGGAGCTGGAGGCGACGCATCAATTTGGAGATGGGGAGCAGGGGAGTAAACCCTCCCTCTCAGATGGAGCTTCATGGTCGCGACACTGAGGGTGGAAGGTGATGCAGCGATGCGAAGAAAGGCGATGAAGAGGCTCGATGATAATAAAGAGAGAGTCGGATGTCGGGGTAGTTGGGGAATATATTTCCTTTTGCTATTGGGTCACTTTACCTGGGACACAAGTACTGTAGGCTAAGTTTCTATCATATGTCTTTGATTTGTTTGGACTCTATTGAATTTCGTATCACGGATGTTGGTTCATGCTTTATGGCATTTCAACGAGCAAACTAATCCAATCCCGCAAAGGATTGTTCATGGAACTACTATCGAAATTATGCAGACCATTTTCCTAGTGTCATTCTTTTGTTCATTGCTATACCATCATTTGCTCTGTTATACTCAATGGACGGGGTATTAGTAGATCCAGCCATTACTATCAAAGCTATTGGACATCAATGATATTAGAGTGCGCCTCTTAGCGAGGGTGATTTAAGTGCAACGGAATGTACCGGTGGTTCGCGAAGCATATGGCCTACCGGTCAACTCCCATTCCCGTCGTCGAGAGACTTAAAAAAAACTATAGCATGCCAGAAACGGGGAGGAGTCCACATGCATTGTGGAGGCCGTTTCCCACATCGTTCTTAGGCCTAGCTGGGGACCAGGGCTTCTCAAGTGTAGTAGCTGCACTGCTCTTGCCCTTAGATAGAGGGCTTATGAAATACACTTCGGCCAAGGAAGAGTAGAATGGAGTGTTGACACGCGTGCATGAGTTGCTTGAATCTAATATCAATCTAAATTAGCCATCCAAAACTGACCAAATCATAGGAGAAAAAATATGCAGCAAAAAAATAGAAAACTCTTTTTTTTTTTCAATTTAGCATTGTTCAGGTTGCCTCAACTTATTCCTTATTCCTTGTCCTGGTTCTACAGTGAAACTCTCATCAGGTCAGTATTCACCTTTCCAATTTATGAAAGCTGTTAAGAAAAAAAGTTTATTCAAGGGAAAACTACCTATACTTGCTTATAATTAAAATTTGCCTTCCTTATTTTAGCACAACAAATCATATCCCTAATTTTTTTTTTCTGGCATGGATAATTGCAATCATACCATAGTTCTAACTCTCCTTGTCCTCTTCCTTCGCTACTCGAATCATGCTCAACGCCGATATATTTGTCCCGAACAACTTATCCCTTACAGCCATGTACTCCGGCCATGTCACGGCCTGATACACGGCCTTGCTCTCCGGCGACCCCGCCGCCACGAGAGGTGTCACCTTCATGTCGGCCGGCGGACCGAGGAAGTAGGGCATGGAGATCCGGTCTCTCTCCCGGTTCACGACGGCGCGGTGGAACACGCTGTGGAAGCGCCCGTTGGTGAGCACATGGAAGAGATCGCCGACGACGACGATGAGCGCCCCCGGCGTCCCCGGAACCGTCACCCACCGGTCCGGCCGGTGGCGGAGCAGCTGCAACCCCGGCACGGGGCTCTGCAGGATGAAGGTGAAGAAGCCTGAGTCCGTGTGCGCCGCCAGCCCGACCACCCGGTCTGGATCTGGACACCTAGGGAACCTGCGTGTGGCCATGTCAGAGTGACACGTGTCGATCAGCTCCAAACACCATTGCATGTGAAGATATATTTGTATGGAAAAGTATTTTCTAATTGTGTATCATACATGTAGTTTAAATAGTTATAAAAAATCATAGAATTTGATAAGATAGATTACAATAATAGTATAAAACACTATATAAATATGTAAAATTAAATTCGATCTACACACGAAGTAAAAATAACAAATTTTACTAGTATTTATTGCCTGATTTTATTATTTTTGTTTTTTTAGTTGTAGATTAAATATAGCTTGTTTATAAACTTATATTTTCTCAAAATCGTATGTAAATGATGGGTGCAGTGCTATGGCATCTATGCATAGAAAATCCACATCCATATGAGTTTACATACATGTTGAGGTGAATCGTCGACGTCAACGTTTCGCGGATCTTCCGCTCGGTCTCGCCGCCGGGGGCATCGTTGCCGGCGAGCCCGAGCGCCTTGAAGAACATGGCGAGGAGCCTCTCGCCCAGAGCTCTCATCGACGAGTCGTACTCCTCCATGGCGGAGCTGGCCGGGCCGGATCGGACGAACACGCGCGGAAGCTAGCTAGGTTAGTTGCATGCAAGCAATGGCGGATCGATCGATCGATCGGCGGTAAACGCGTACCAGAAGCGGTGGTAGTCGTCGCCGGCGTCGGGCCAGACGCGGCGGAACTCGTCGCGGATGGCAGGGGGAGGGAAGGTGTAGCCCTCGGCCCACATCTGCTTCGGGTACCGGAGGAGGTACGGCGGCACGCCGTAGCCGGTGTTCCCGCCGCCGGGCCGCCGCGCCCCGCGCGCCTTGTCGTCCGCCGGCAGCGCGAACAGCCGCGCCGCCTGCGCCTCGACGCGCGCCAGGGCCTCCGCGGTCACGCCGTGCCCGACGAGCAGGAACCCGCCCCACTCCTCCGCCGCGCGCGCCACCGCCGCCACCGCGGCGTCGTCGCCGCCGCTCATGTCCACCACCGGCACCGCGTCGCCGCCGTCCGCGTCCGCCGCCGCCACCGGCGCGGTGTCCTTCTCGTGCATCCCCTTCCACACGTGCGACTCCGGCACGCGCTCCGCCCCGCGGAAGTTGAAGTAGGCGGCGGCGACGCCATTGTCGGCGGCGGCGGCCAGCGGCGAGGTCGGCGAGGTCGGCGAGGTCGACGACGATGTCATGATCTGCATGAACTCGTTGGCTAACGCACAAAAGCCTGTGACTAGTGATGTACGATAAATTAATTTGTTGGCATGACCATTTCTTTCGCGTGATTAATAACGAGATAGCATGGCTAAATTTGGGCTTGCATTATCTACAAAAAAACTAACTTCTCTCCGCATCGTTCGGCACAAAATCAGAAATGGATAGGATCGGATCAAGCTTTGTTCTAATTTAGTTCATTGTCAGAACTAAACATTTGTCATAGTTTTTTGTGCTCCCTTAATTTTGGTTTCGATCTCCTTCAGTTTGTGCTTTAATTATATACTCCCTCCGTTTCAATATGTTTGACGCCGTTGACTTTTTTAAACATGTTTGACTGTTCGTCTTATTCAAAAAATTTAAGTAATTATTAATTTTTTTTCCTATCATTTGATTCATTATTAAATATATTTTTATGTAGGCATATAATTTTATATATTTTACAAAAGTTTTTGAATAAGACGAACGGTCAAACATGTGCTAAAAAGTCAACGGTGTTAAATATTTCGAAACGGAGGGAGTACTAAAATTAGCTTATAGCATGTGAAATATTACCAATTAAACATAAAGTTCATTAAACTGCAAGCATTGAAATATTAAATTGTTGTTGTGTCAAAATTCAAAATTGTGAAAGAACTCGTTATGGGCCAACAAATGTAATTATATATGGGCCCAATTTTAGAGCTGTTAGTGGCCCGGCCTTTTTCATATGGGCCACTTTACTTGGTTGAGTTTAAACTTTCAAGGCATTAAACTTCAGTGGTCGTATGTTTATTTATATGGAGTAAGTTCATCACACGTCCCTCAAATTTGTCACCAAGTTTAAATTTCGTCCCTGAAAGGCAACACCAGATATGATATGTCCCTCAACTTCCAAAACTAACGGTTTTGACGGTGGTTTCGACTAACGTAGCGCCTACCATTGGCATGGCATGAAAACCCGTGAAACCCACATGTCAACGAGTGTCCGGTTAAAAATAAAAAAAAATGTTACAATGGGTTCCACCTTCCTTTTGTTTTCTTTCCTTGTATTGTTCTTTCTCTTTTCTCCTTTCTTGCTTCCTTTACTTCCCAGTGACGAAGCACGGTGCGTCGGAGAGGAGGGGAGGAGCTGCATCCTCTACTTCGCGCCGACGAAGAAGGCCGTGTCCACACGTGGCGCTCGCTCTGGCGTTGTCAACTTCGCCATCCACATCCATTAACTTCTTCCTCCACGACGCATTTGTCCACTTCCCGAAGGTGGCGCTTGCCACAGCGGCTTCACGAGGCTCACCTTGCACGTGGAGCGGAAGAGCCATATACTACGGCAACAACCTCATGTTCGATGTGTTCCTGCGTACTGTGACCTGACCGAATGGCAGAGGAAGTACGACGTGGTCTCCCACCCGGTGGCGCGCCGAATCAAGGAGCTCCATGTTCGACAGTGAGTTCTGCCTCTCCCTCGGTCCCCAGCCATTAGAGACACTGGATCGCTTCTGGTGCGGCACTCCAGCAGCTGAGCGTGCGGAGCTCGCCACTGTGCACCTCGAGTCCGTCTTCCTCACTGGGACGGAAGATGGTTGCGCCCGCCTCCACTTCCTGGCATCAACCTGAGCAGGCTCCTCCTCGCGCATGCCACCGTCGGGAGCCGCTGCAGCGCCGCCCACCGCAGCACCTCCTGCTTGTTCTCCTCCTCCCTCCATGACCCTGACCCGCTGGTCGCCCTTCTTCTCGCCGCCCACGGCTGGTTGCCGGATGCCATCCATGAAAAGAAGCAAGACAAGACAAAAAAAAAAAGGAAAGGGAAAAAGTGGGACCCACTAAAATTTTCTTATTTTTAACCGAACACTTACTGACACGTGGGTCCCACCTTTTTTTAATTTTTAAGTACCACCTCAAACGCCATGTAGGCGTCACGTCAACCGCAATCGCCATGCAAACTGCCTTGGACCTTATTTGTACCGATTTCAAAAGTTGAGAGACATACCGGTTTATGGACGAATTTCATACTTTGTGGCAAATTAAGGGACCTAAGTGAACCTCCTATGTTTTTTTTTGGTCATGCGAGTAAGGTGTTATTTGGTGAGTCCAATGTGACCATCATTGACATAAAATAACTCTAAGAGAATATTTAAATAAAACAAAAATCTATTTTAATTTCTATCAATAAGAATATAGGAGCTGCATCGAGCTAATATTGAGTGAGGAATCATCATCGAATCCGGACCATGTTAGAAATTATCCTAGAATGAATCCGGATCATGTTTTTTTTAAAAAAAACAAATACGAAACAAAATAGCTCACTATTTCTTGAGCTTTTCTGTCGGCCCTTGTTACGTGTTCTATCTCACTTTACATGATATAGAACGCCTATATAAAAAACCTACTCCTTTCGTCCCAAAAAAAAAGACAAACCCTGGTTTCCGTGTCCAACGTTTGACCGTCCGTCTTATTTGAAAAAATTATGAAAGAAATTAAAAAGACAAGTCACGCATAAAATATTAATCATGTTTTATCATCTAACAACAATGAAAATACGAATTATAAAAAAATTTCATATAAGACGGACAGTTAAAGTTGGACACGGAAATATAGGGTTTGACTTTTTTTTTTTTGAGACGGAGGGAATATGTTGTTGTCAGGTGTGTACGCGTGTATGGTATGCATATTACGCGTGTTCCATGTAGTCCTAAAAGAAAAAAAGGTGCTCGTCACGTCAGGTAATTAGTTTACCAAGGACTAAAGTCGCCAAATTTCACAACAAAATTCAGTCGAAGTTACAAAATTAGCCCAAACCCTCGACAAACATTTTGTTCAAGCCAAAACACTGCATAGAGTACTTATTTGATGAACATACAAATACACCAGGTTTCCATCCATTGCAGAGAAAAGAAAAGGTAATTAAACACATCAACACAACGCATTGCAGATTTACAGCACTCAAATAATTAATTAAGTACATAGATACATTTTTTATTCAGACAAAGCAGATGGACAACGATGAGTGTCCCAGTGGACGTCACAGTCCGCATATCACTTCGTCATGACGACGTCAGCAGCAGCAGCAGAGTGTCTCGAGGCAGCACTCGCAGGTCTCGTAGCAGCAGAAGCAGCAGCACAGTGTAAACAGGCTGAAAAGAAGCAAAATCATTTCTGAAACTGACAAAAAATAAATTTAACTGAAACAAACGAAAGATTAAGTGCTGTCAGGAACACTTCAGCTTGTAAGCTATAGCCAAAATTTGAATTTTAATTTTTAGAGGGTTTTCAATAGTAGTTTATTTCTCAGCATTTGCCTTTAAATTTCTAACAACACATATATGCAATTTTTGTTCATAAAATATATTTTTTTGGCGGATTAAGGTGTTGCGGCTTATAATCAGCACAAGCGAGACAATGACTATGTCACTGGCTCATAAATTTGAGAGTTTGAAATGAAATGGATTTATTGAAACAAAATCATATAGTACAATTTGATAGTAAATACTTCATCCGTATCAGAATATAAGAAGTTTTAGTGTTGGACGCGGTTATTAAAAAAGTATGTAGAAGTGGAGTGGTGGAGAGTTGTGATTGGATAAGTAGTGAAGGTAGGTGAGAAAAATGAATGGCGAAGGGTTGTGATTGGTTGGGAAGAGAATATTGGTGGAGAAATTATTATATTTTGGAACAAATTTTGAGAGCTAAAAGTTGTTATATTTTGGAACGGAGGGAGCTACTTCCATCCTGGATTGCAGCTCAGGTTTACTGTTCTTAGTACAGGAGTGAAAGCCAATCCTAACTGCATGAATTAGATATAGAAAAAAAATACACTACATGATAATGATTGGCAACTACCACACTGTTCATCAGATGGTGTATTCCATTTTATCAAACAAGACAAAGCTAGCTTGGTAGAAGCACTGTTTGGAGTGTTCAGTGTTGGGTGATGATTTATGAGTTGGATATCTCTGTCAGGAAAGTAGGCACCATATCGCTCTCTGCATTTTTGGATACTAATCTCTAGAGTCTAGACTTATCACAATATGAGCCATGATAATGATATATGTTTCAGCCTTTGGATGTTATGTATATCTTGATAGACTAGAGCAACTAGACCAAATACTAAAAAAAAAGTGAAATCAGTAAGAGAGAATTTAGGGCAATTCAAAGAAGGCAGATTCTTTTAAGACAGTTTGTGAGCACTATATTGCACATAGGATTTGTGTGGTTGGCTATCTCTGTCATATTCATGAAATTTGACACCATATCGCTTTTTTATCCCAGACAAAGACCCATAGTTTTTTTAGACAAGGGTATTTTTTACTCGGCCTCTACATCTAACCAGTTATATGCAGCCTTTTTAAATCAGGAACTTAGCCTATCGAATAGGGAAACCTAATCTGAAATTCGCTACTATAGAGATTTGAACTTAGGATATTGGGGTGCTACTCAGGTTACTGCAACCACTAGACTAAAAAATAAAATAAAATAAAATAAAATAAAAACCAAAGGCCGAGAGTGTTCTCCGTGCAGTTGTAACCTTTATGTAATTGGCTTCCAGTATCTAAACATATCACTTGTTCAGACTTTAGAGATCAGTCTCTAACCTTGGGGGCTTGATAGTTGATGATCATAGATCCTGGAGCCCTTTTAAGTTATGAATCTTGATAGCCTAGCCTAAATGCTCACAGAAATATCTAAGGAAATCCAGCTTGAACATAGCGACCACCTAACTGATTGCAGATGTCAGTATGATATGATCTTGTAATGTTCGATATTATGATCTTGTGAGTTGTAGCACAGAAATCTTGCCTATTTTGCGTAAGACAAACTAGTGATAAAAAGTGGTTACATCGATGTGAAATGTTTTAATTGAAACTTGAATGTTTATATCACAGTACATCCAACAAACTAGGCAAAAAAGAGTGTGGTTTGTGAATGTGTTTACTTTAAATTCCACAGGAAACTCATCAAGGATATCATTATCATTTAGAACTCCAGTAGAAAACACATTAAAGAGGTTTCGAGCAACCGAAAAGAACTTCTCTCTTCTCAATGAAATGAAATGCAATTCTTCTGCGTTTTCGAGAAGAAAAATAAAAAGAAGAGAACGTGACAGGAAGTTTTACCATGCATATAAGCAGCCTTTTTCCTCATGGCGCCTCTGAACATGATCTTTGTATGTCATCTCCTGGGCACTTGGAGGGTTATACATCTTGTTTTTTCTTCTCACTGATTCAAGTATTCCAGACCCTGAATTTGTACCAAAAGAGAAGAAACAAAAAAGGCTATGACAAAAGCTGGAAGATATGCAGTGGCTAAGTAGCTATCTTTGCGGATGTGAAGCCTTCTTGGCTTCTTTTATAGAGAGCAGCTCAGCTCAGCTCAAACTTCCAATGTGCCAGTTCCAAGCACACAAACCAGTAATAAAGACTTGACAATTGGAACAATAATTGTGGCTGTTGGTTGTGTGCTGTTTGTTGGAGTAGCTATCTATGTAGGCCGAGTTTAGTTCCAAACTTTTTTTTCAAACTTTCAACTTTTCCATTACATCAAAACTTTCCTACACACACAAACTTCCAACTTTTCCATTACAGCGTTCCAATTTCAACCAAACTTCCAATTTTAGCGTGAACTAAACACACCCTACAGAACAGTTATGTACTTATGTTCACTATATCGAAATTTACTTGTAAAGAGAATATCCTAAGCGCGTAGAATAGTAAATTTATCCAACTTTTTATTCAGTATATGTACTATTTCAGACCATTCAAAAATCAGTTCCCAAATTAATTTAATAACTTCTAGGTCTAGTTTCTAACTATCAACCCTACTACTACATGCTGCATTTTTTAAAAAAAAAAAACTTTGGAGAACTGGACAGATCACATCAGAATTGGATCAGACCAGATCCATAATGATTCTATGGGCAGATATATTTCTTACGAGTATGATATATCATATATATCTAGCATTCTAAAATGAAAAAGAGAGATGGGCTCCTCATAGCTGGATGAAAATGACTAGCATTGAATATATTTAGGTGAAATGAGGTCCCTCTAGCATTCATCGACAGATGGTTACACCATCAATCCATCATCATGTACCAGACTTTATTTTCTGAAACTATATAGTCCATCTGTCATTATTCAGGAATGGCGACATCCATCTATCTGTTCATCATTACAAACTAAGCATGGAAAAAATGCTGACAAGGAGGGAGGAAAGGTATATAATTAAGTTCTTGTCATATAAACAAGACTTGTGTAAAATTTTGGAACAGCTTTTCTAGAGGAATTTTACAGGTAGAATTCATAATATCAACCCCAGAGGTTAAAGTATAAGAAATATATTCATAATATCAACCCTTATACCACAAACATCCAGTCATACTTTTTAGTGTGAAGTCCAAATTTCCTATGCTTTTCAGCTTGTCAAGCAGACAAGAGGAGAACAAAATGCGGTTGAGTTATCAATTCATGAAAAGCACTGGGGACTTGCCTCACTTTTGTTCATACATCAAGTCAGGTGATATTGAATATATCCATTAGAATCGGTGAAATGAAGAAAGAAGCATTGACATTCGCATAAAAAACAGGTACACCTGGAAATTTTCCAAGAAAATCAATCTCAGTATCCTCAGTTGTTCACAGAGCAGTCGGGTTTAATTGGACATTATCTTCTCAAACAGAGAAATGTCCATCACTAGAGAGTACACCATTAAAGAATCACAAGTTCATCCTCAAACCAATAACTATTAATTACAGACTTGAGCACAAGGGGCTTACAAATATAACAAAATGCCCTGCACATAACCCATACAAGCTAACAATGAAATGAACCGAAGTACATTCGAAATTCCGAACGCATGTCATATTATGTCATGGTGGGTGCTACCAAGGGAGCAGATGCAGGAAGAACAGAGAAACCAATGTCTCCGGTGACTGGACGGAATGACGCGTTTCTCTCTAGGTTCTCCCATATAAGCTTTCTCCGCTCCTCAGATGCAGCTCGCTTTTCTTCCTCCTCTTGGAAATTCCTCTGACAAGTTAACAACAGTCCCTCATCCATTTCAAGGAACATTTTCCGGACGTTCATTGTTACATTTAGAACTGATTGGTTCCAGTGCCAACGAGTGTTCCTTTCCAGCGCTGGATATATGATCGGCATAATAGTTTGGCGATTTTGGGAGATCAAATCAAACAAGTGCTCATTGTTCCACAGGAATAGTGCCCTCTCAGCAACCTGTTAACAAGGATGAAAAATTGCTCTTGAGTTTCCATGCTACTCAACACCGTGTGCAAATTATAAAAAATTGCATATGACAAACAACTAATAAGATTTTCCATTCATCCTTTGCCCATATCGTTGGATGGCGCATACAAGTACTAGGTTGATCTAAGGCCTCGTATAGCCATAAAAACTCACACCAGTGTTACCTGGCATGAATATGAACAGGGCTACACTTATCTCTACTTCTCAAGCCTCATATAGTCCAACAACAAACTTCTCCAATGAAGAGAAAAAGGAGACAAGTATTGTATCCATTAAGCTTTCTAAAATATCCTTCTGCTATATCCAGCATATGTGTTATTTGTGAACTACACGGCAAAATTTTCATCACAGAAAATGAGTAGAACAGTTTCAGAACCTGGGATTTAACAATATTATATGAAATGCTCAGCTGACAAGTTCAATCATCTATACCCTTTTTTCCAGTTAAGTTTCTTGTTTCTTCCCTCTAGCTAGCAACCGTGACCAAAAACAAAAAAACGTTTATATTGTTGATTGGTTGATTCATATTATAGAGTTCATTGTCAGTTATGTAGTTTGGATGTTCCAACTCAGGTACTCTACATTATGCTATGTCTTCCTTACAAACCAGTCACTAGTGTTTTTTTTACACCATATTACCCTGTGCTACCACAGAAAAAAAATGGAGCCAGCTTGGAAGTTTCACAGATGCAAAGGGCAGGATGTTTGAGGTGATGTATTAATTTTGATAAGCTTCTAATTATTCAAATACAACATGGAGTGTTTGCTGCTTATTACCAAGATAACATGAACTCCCACCTCCACAAGTCATGCAAAGAGATGGTGGAAAACTAAGCAAAAAGAAGTAGGTTGTTTCTAATCTTGTAAGACCATGTGAAGGGCCTTACAAAGGGAACTCTTTGTGCATACAACACAAACTGTCAAAATAATTGACATAAAATGCAGTGCTTGTTTAGGAATACCAATGCTACAGGGAAAAAAATCCTGATCCTGAAATGAATTAACTCCCCAAATTATAAAACATGTGCATGACGACTTCTCAGCCTTTTTTATCACCTAAGCTAGATACTTGTTGCAGTGATGCGTCAGAACAATATTGAGTAGGCTCTAAAACAGTGAGCACTGGTTGACTAATGGATGTTTCAAACTGGAAGTCCAGGAACAGATTTTACCTGAAAGTGTGAGCTATTTAGACAGTGTGCAATCCTTCGAAACAGCGGAACCATGCACTTCTGGAACTCAGCCATTTCTGTCAATTCCAGCACCTCCTCCAACTCCCCAAGGAACATCATCTCCTTCTGACTGTTCGTCACTGGCCAGTACTTCAGTAGGCCTCTGATTACAGTCCCCGCGAGCTTTGGTTCCTTCTCGATGAATTGTATAATACAATACGTCAATTGCGGGAGATACACGCCCACCGTTTTCGGTTTGTGAAGAGGAACTAACGCCTTCCACAGGAACAACTTATGCTCCTCCTTCAATGGCTTCGCGAACCCACTAATCACACTCCCAAACACCTCCAACAGCTCAGCAATCCCATTGTGGCGATCGGTCTCGAACACGAACCTATAGAAGATATTGCTCACCGCCTTGCGGATGAAAGGCCGGTTGCCCATGAATTTGCCGTATATCCTATGCAAGACTGTCTTCAAGCATTCCCTTTCTCTCGGATCATCGGAATCGAACAAGTCGAGCAACCTAGACACAAAAGAATTGTCCATGTACTTGCGAGCAATCTTGACGTCGACGACCGGGGACATGACGAAGCGGAGGAGCAGCTCATAAACGGCCTGCAGGTGGTACCATGAGGGATCGAAGAAGGGCTCGTCTTCGTCGGCCTCCGCCGCCCCGGCGGCGCCGGACCGGACCTTGGGCGGGAACACCCTGAAGAGGTTGATGGCGAACATGCGGACGCAGCCGGAGATCATCGCCTCGGTGAGGGGCTCCTCGGCGGCGCCGACGCAGTCGACGAGGGACACGAGCACCTGCCGCTTCCTCTCCCTCTCCGGCGAGTCCCTCCCGCGCTCTGCGGCGGCAGCGGCGGCGGCGGAGGAGAAGTCGAACACGACGCAGCAGACGTTCAGCTTCCGGAGGAACACGTCCTCCCTGGTCTCCCCCTCCGCTCCTCCTCCTCCTCCTGCGGCGGCCGCGGGCGGCGCGGGAGGCTCCCCATTCCCGGCGCCCTTCGACAGCGGCGACTTGGCCGTCGGCGAGCCGCCGCCGCCGCCGCCGGATTTCGGCGCCTTCCACGAGATCTTGCCGAGAAACTGCTTCCACATGGCTCCCAACCCACTCCAATCAAACACCCATCCCTCTCAAAAAAAAAAAATCCACAACCACCAAGAAACCAAAAGCCCAAATCTTGCAAAGTTGCAAAGGCAAAGAACCCGTCTTGCCACCCACGCACGCGCTGTGTTGTGCCCGCCGCAGCGGCTCAGATCCGGGGGCGGGATGTTGGGGAGGGCGAGGGCGCCATGGATGGGGATCTCGAGGTGGGGAGGAGGAGGAGAGGGGGGGCAAAAAGCTGAGAGCTTTTTGGCGTTTAGGGCGGATTGGGAGTGAAGAGGAGGGAGTTTACAGCTGTGTTTTGCTTGGCCATCTCACCTGAGGAAGAGGATGAAGGATTGAAGAGAGAGAGAGAGAGGAGAGAGAGAGAGAGAGGGGATCATCTGGGCCGTCCATTTTTGAAGGAGGATGATGCATCGGCCGTTGAAACGATTTCTTTTTTGGAGGTTTTATTTATGTATAATTGTGGATGGATTGTGGGAATGGGTTTTCTCAGTTGGAAAAATGCATTTGCTTGCTACATTTTGTGTAAAGAATTATAATACATGGCATGGCTAGATTAGAGGGTTTAAAACGAAAATTTGTTGGTATCATAATAGATGCTAATTGCTACTCTCATGTCCTAGAATATAAGAACCTACGATCGGGTAGGCATTAAATGTTTCATCCGTTACCTAGGTTCTTATATTTTGAGATGGGGGAAATAGTAATTGACATTGCAATTGTAATTACAAATGCCAAGCAACACATTTTAGAGAAAAATGTTTTGTTCCAAAGAAAAAAAGAGAAAGCCATGAGGAGGTAGCAAGATATGATTATATCAATAATTGTTAGTGTTAGTGATATGCCCTAGAGGCAATCATAGAGATGATTGTATCATATACTATGTTTACATACTTATCCGACATTGTTCCTTGAAATAGATAACTCCTTATTGGTTAATGAATATGTGATTCTTTCATGAGACTCTTTATGTTGTTTGTTACTATTTCTAAAGGATCCCTGATCAAACATCATATGTGGAACAAATATGTTTATATGATCAGCACATGTATTAATTGATGATCATGTCTTATGGATCATGGTATAGAGATACCAAATTAATAATGTGAACACATGTTGGTGAACATGTTGTTGGATAGACCTAACATGAGACACTGCAAGAGCCATATGTGTTGTATCATCAGTGATCTCATTTAGTGTTGGTGTTGAATCCTTAGACCTGAGATTATCATGGTTCCCAACATGCGTAGTAGCTTACTTAGGGACTGCTAAACGCTACTCCGTAATTGGGTAGTATAAAAGTAGTTTTCGGGTATGCTATGAAACATGTAGTGGGATATGAATAATTAAGATGGGATTTGCCCGTCCTATGGAGAGATATCTCTGGGCCCCTCGATATTGTAGATTATGGAAGTGCATGGCCATGCCAAAGGTGATTGAGGAATCAATCACAAGTTGTCGGAGAATGAACTCCTCCACCAGGGAACCGTGAGGCCCCCCTTTGTGAGTTCGGCCGGGGGCAGCGGGTGAGATTCGAGGGCTTGGTGAGCGGAGCTGTGTGATCTTGAGAGGGTTAGGCCCTCCCAAGACGATGAGAAAAAAAAGGTTTATAAAGGTTCGGGCCACTGAGAAGCGTAATACCCTACTCCTGTGCATGATTGATTGAATGTAGAACACAAATGATTGGGGTTGCGAGACCCAAGCGCCAGTTCGCTCTGAAGTCCCCCTCCACCACTAAGCATGGATCTCCTTTTATACTTCAAAGGGATTACCACATGGGCCCAACAACCTAACCTAGCTCTGGTGGAGAAGTATTATAATCTTTGCATTAAATACATATCTTGTCTCTTGACTTGGGAAGCCAAGCACACGTCGTCTTGATGATGGGGCATGTCAAATCTTGCCGCCTGACACGAGGGATGCCCCTGTCAGTCACCATTTAATGGGTGAAGACTTCTGGGCTCCTATTACACCGGAAAACGGGAGCCTTGCTTTGACCAGAGCGGGAGGACCGACTCCGGCTAGGATAAGAGGATGAGAACCTCTCACCATCACTATTTGATGGGACATGTCAGGCTGCATGCCGCCTGACACACGAGCAGCGCACAGGCGCACTAGCTAGTCCCATCGGTCATTCGACCGGTCACAGACCGATTGAGTGCACTGCATGCCGCATTAAATGCGGCGTGGCGCGACCGCTCGGGACGCCATAAATGCGGGTAGGTGGGCACCTGGAGGCGGACACCTAACCCACTGTACATGGTGACCTAGAGAGGGGGTCGGGGGAGCTCGACCCCTAGTCACGGGAGGGGGCGGCCGCCGCCCGACCTCGGGCCCGATCCCCCCTCGGGGGGGGAGCCATGTGGTGCCTAGGGCGGCCTTCTCCCTCTAGTCTCGGCCAGGGAGTGGCCGCCGCCCTACCTCGGGCCCAACCCCCCTCGGGGGAGGGCCACGTGGCACTGGAGGGTAGCCTCCTCCATCCAGTCTCTGGGAAGGAATGGCCGCCGTCCTACCTCGGGCCTGACTCCCCTCGGGGGAGGGCCACGTGGCATCGGGGGGCAGCCTCCTCCGACTAGTCTTTGGGGAAGGAGTGGCCGCCACCCCACCTCGGACCTGACTCCCCTCGGGGGAGGGCCACGTGGCATCGGGGGGCAGCCTCCTCCCTCTAAACCTGATACCCCCGGGCCTATATCACCGACACAAGTTATGTAATCTATCAACAAGTTCGAGTGAATGATTGAGCTATTAGAGGATGGCACATATCTAGCCTTGAGCTTAATTGATATCGTGAGGCAAAGGGGTTCATACAAGTACACACTAGAGGTTCAGCCGATATGATCTTTATGTATGCCCGGTGGGTCAATACGTTCTGCTAGGGGCCGCTGTTGACACGTGGACCGAAAATGAGTTTTCGGGTTACAGCCGAGTATATATGAACCTATAGGGTCGCACGCTTAATGGGCCGGAATAAGGGGATTGGATAGAGATCCAATATGAGCTTAATGCGGATAAGGATCCGAATAGGAGTCCTACGGGCCTTGGAGGCCCGAGTGATGGATCCTATATATTCGTGAGGGGTGTGACCGGCGGAAGTATTACATCACGTGAGAAACCCTAGCAGTCACTTCCCTCCCCAAGCAAAACCCTAGCCGCGCGCGGGTGCTAGCACATCTGCGCGTGGCGTTCCGTCCCTGTACGTGTGGATACCGGTAGAGGCGCCGCTGGTTTGCGGTGCTGATCGGCGTGGGAATACGGCGAGGAGAACGCACAAGGAGGAGAAGGTCGAGCCGGTGCGATCGACTACTTCCTCTACATCGACGCGCGCTACTTCGCGAGAGTTACTTCGACTTCTCAGCGTCCTCTTTCGCTGCGCAGCGTGTCGAGTGGTAACGATCTATGATCTAATACTTGCATGGTTCCTGGTTTACGCGATAGAAAATTTTGATTTATGCTATTGTAGCCTACGCATATCCCAACAATAATATCGTTTGTTAATGAGATATCCATTATTAAAAAAACAATAGCATTGTTTCATGTACCTTTGCTACGAGTCGTCCTCCTCCTCTTCAACCATCGATTTTTTCCACGTAAAACAATACTACCAAAAAAAACCACCCCACTTGAAAATTTTGATCTTCTCACGCAAAATTGATGTTTCTGTAAAGCTGGATAGAAAAAAATTGAATCCCTTAAAATCATTATTCCACCTTCCTTTAATCTTATAAGTGTAATAGTGTCATAGAAAAGAACAGATAATTCAATGCGACATAGGCGGGAAACTTGGTGGTTTCAAGTCTTTTTTGGCTTAGAATTTATTTGTGTTGTGTAAGTTGTGTTTTTTTAATTTGACAAAAGAAAAACTTTACGACCAAAGTGACAATGCCAACTTTTTTTTCTCAGGTTGCTCTATATGATTGCCTAATTTAGGGACAACAGCTTGTTGGTGATAAGTGCGTGTGATCCTTTTTTTCAAAGGAAAGTAATGCCACATGATTAATTCATTTGTGATAAATTAATTAGCATGGTACGAAAAGCACATCTAGAGTGGGATGCATTTATGGGTGGATGTCCGTGATTTCTTGTTGATGTGGTTTATCAAAGAATGTATTAGGTAAATTAAAGAAGAATGTTGTGTTAGGTACATCATTGCAGTGTTTTCTTTGTCTGATGCACCTGTTGAGGACAAAAGAAGTCCATTATAACACATATTTGTAATTAGATCATCCAAAATATCTTTTCTATAATACATATTCTTATTGTTCAGAGGGAGTGCTCAACTTTTATAAATATATAAACACCTTTTCCTTTTTTTTTCTTTTTTCAAAGGTAAAAACAATACAGATGCCGTTGCTGATTTTGCTGATAATGTCTGACTTTTTTTTAATATCGTCTACTACTCCCTATGTTTCACTAAGACATTTTGGTCTTTCATTTTCATCATTAGTCTAAATTCACGTTAGCACTATTCCGTGCTCTACAGCGCGAATATTAGTTCGAGCGCCGCACAACGCCCTCTCCTTCCGTTTTCCCCCTTTCTACCACCCCACCTTTCCTCGCATCCCACCTTTTATCGGTTCGTTTTTTTTTGTTTTTTACCACTCCACCTTCCGTGTTTTTTTTCTCTTTTCCATCTCATCCGTGCTTCATAAATAGACCCGGTAAAATATTAACCATCCAGATTTTTCTGTTTTTCGTTCCTTCTCTGTAGTTTTCCTGTTTCTGCTTTTTAGTAAAATATTTACCGTCTATTTTTTCTTTCTGAGTTTTTCGTTTTTCTAGTATCTCCGCACGTTTCAAAAGTAATGAATTTACTCCATGGAGTTTTTCATTTACTCCCAGCCTCCCACATATGCTCGTTCAAAAGTAAACAAATTTACTCGCACATATGACGCCATACCTAGATAGTCGTAAAAGAATTACTACTAGCTTACAATGCTAGTAATTATTTTACCAATATTATAAATATTCTTTAGATTTTGTGGTCTATGAGTAAAACAATTACTACCTTCCTCTCGATATAGCCTATGATCTCGTAGCTACCATGTAGTAAAATATTTACTGATGTGTTCAATACACATTATAAGAGTAAAAACTGAGATTTCGTGGTCTGCGAGTAAAACAATTACTACATTCCTCTCGATATAGCCATGATCTTGTAGCCACCGTGTAGTAATATGTTTACTGATGTGTTCAATATACATCATAAGAGTAAAAACTGATACTAAGAGTATTGTTGATCTGTATCACAAAATAGTCGTATGAATGAAAAAATTACAGGTTCAATCACACACAAGCGATAAAATTACTCACAGGTGAATCAAACTAGAAAAGAAAAAAATGATTCAGCCAAAAAGCCAAAAATCCATCTAGTGGCTTTGCTGGATCTTGCTATAAGGATGAAGAGCACGATCTGTGTCTTGTGACTGGTAGTGGAGAGGGCAACCGGGTGGCGAGCAATAGTCAACGATGGAATCATGGAAGGATGTAGCGGTGTGGTATATATAGAGATGAGCAAAAAAAGAAAAAATAGCAAACAACCTCCATCACCGGTGGACTCCACCCTATCCTCTGCAGCCAGCCGCATGGAGCACGATGTGCAAATGTAGGACCTATGCAGCCCATCAATTGAGATTTGGCAAAATTGGAGATTGCACGTTAATTTGATTTGAAAAAAAAAAATTGGGGCTTCAAGCGTGAAGTTGAAGGAGAGTATGCAAAAGCAAATCAGAGTGTCATTTCCTTACTTGCTTGTTCTATCAATGTCGCCGGCGTGGAGCAGCCGCTGATTGTTGCTATTGGCCTAGGCGAACACCTCCTTGCTGGTTAAGGTGATGCTCAGTGTCCGGCAGCGAGGCCCAAAGCAGTGCCTTAGCCTCAACCGCTGCCGGCCACCGCCATCAACCGCCACGGTGTCATCGTCCTCCTCCATGGTGTGTCGCCGATCTGTGGGCTGGGATGGTGGATCGATTCAGATCCGAAAAAAATGGGAAAAATGAAGTGGGGGCGAGAGTGGTTGATTGGGTACAGGAAAATAGAATATATACCGGAAGCAGAGAAGTTGTTTTTATCGAAGTAAATCATTTACTCTGATAATGGTGGGAGCACGATGCGGGACGTGGGGTGGGATCGGAAGCAGGGGAATTGTTTTTATTATCGAAGTAAATCGTTTACTCGAATAAAGGTGGGTGGTTGAGGCGCACGACAAGAGTAAATTGTTTACTCCGACAACGGTAGGAGTGGGATGATGGGACGTGGGGTGGGGTGGGCCTGAGCTGATGCATGTTTGGCGCTTGAAATATTAGGAGCTGCTAAATTCATTAACATACGTATGGATTTGTACACATATACAAAGCACATATATGAATCCATGGATAAATGATCTATTTAAAATTTGAAACGTCTTGTAATATAAAACATATAAAACAGAGATAGTAATAAGTTATTGAAAATATTAATGACATTTATATTATATCTTGCACCTGTCATCAATGTCAGAACTTCAGTAGTAGTATTAAAGTGAAAGTTATTTTGTAAATCCTAGTAATAAATGTATATATGCTTCTGTTTATATACACAAATCATTTATGTTCGCCGTTGTTGCTTAATCGCCACTGTTAAAATAAAAAAAATATTGCTTATTCTTTTAACAGTTTTTCTTTTTGAATTGGTAAAATTTTTAGACCAACTGCTAGAAAACAATCCAAAGGATCTCCATGGTGTCAGCTTATAACAAAAGTGTTTTGTATTATTTGACAGAAAATTCTTAGGCCCTTATAGCTAATTTCGAAAATCCAATGATTATAGCAATCTTTCCTAAACGACAAGTCATCATGGAAAAGGGCAGAAATAGGTGCATCATGGAACAAGAAATAGGAAACCCCAATTAATTGAATTGTGGTTGATCCATCGTTGCCACCCTCCCTGACGGACCACGTGTAGTGTAATAGTGGGGATGGTGTTTGCTTTAGCCTACTGATGAAAATTCAGTCTCAAAGAATACCAATAAGCCTCATTTAAACATATTACATGCATGTGTATATTCAATTGGAAAACATGTAGTAGTACCATAATCACCTTTTGAATGGTGTTGAAATGGAGTAGCACAATAATATACACATGTGTGCCTCTTAGACAGGCCCTTTTAAGCTAAAGGGTGACGGATTATCACGTGCACATTTTCCAAGCTCATTATAATTAAAAAAAAAACAATTTCATCAGTGTTACCTATAAATTTTTTTAAAAATCAAGTTTTCAACTATTAATATTTAATTCATTCTCTTGTGCCTGCGAATGATTGTCATAAGATTAGTTTCACTCATCATCAATTGGCACTTTAGAGGATAAATTATCCAAATATATGGTAGAAAACCCAACTTAGATGAAAACTTGTATAAACTCCGATAAAAAAAATTGCCAAAAAAGGAAACATATGTAGATAAGATGAAGTTACATAGCCGTGCATCTTGTGTAAACTTGATTCCTTTTGAGATATGAAAAAAAAATTCTGAACAAATTGTGAGGATATTATTTTGTTTTGAAATTATTTTTTTTATATTACAAATGAAGTCATGTTTGGACTTTCACATATTTGTGTAACATCATTCATCTACATGTGGGAGTTTTGTACTGAATTTAGGGTTTACATGATTTTTTATCTAAGTTAGGGTTTTCACTTTATATTTTCCCTTTGGAGTCTATCGATCCCATCGATTGGCTGATTTTTAGCATAAGCGAAACGGCATATTTACAAACGAAAAATAATTTGGGAATAAAACCTTTATATACGTGTTCTTAGTGATATAAAAGCAAATTCTGAAAAATAAACTTTGATGAAAAAAATCTCAAAATCAACTCAAAATTTAAGATTGAAAATTTAAATTTTAGCTGATAAGCATAATCATAAGCGAAAATATGAGGCCATATATTGTGTATGATGGTGTGTGCATATATGCGTCTCCAATTTAATTGGGAAAAAAGAAATAATTTACTAATTTACATCTGTGTGATTGCTGCGTTGGCTTGTGATATCTGTCTTCTTAAGAAAAAGAAAGAAATAGATCGAACACATCAATAAACACAGGTGGATGTATTGGTCCAACCATCATTCTTGTCCCGTGCGTCAGAAGCCAATAAATAATGTCGTACCAATTCTACCTACTAGGCAGGACAATTTTTCTTAGGGCAAGTTTAATAATATAGCCAACTACTGGCTCTAATTCATCTATAACCAATCTAATAGTTTATTCGTACAATAATTACATATTACACTATTAATACCTGGTCTCACCTGTCATACAAACACTGCGCCTTGGAGTCTGTGCTATAGCTGGCTACAAGTCTGTAGCTCGCTGCTTTTCTCTCTCCTCATTTATCTTCCTAAAATATGTTTGCAACTGACTAATAGCTGTATCTGATCTTATCTTAAAGACATACTACTAGTAATTAGTAGGCCTCCGCAAAAAAAAAGTAATTAGTAGGCCTATAACCTATTCAAGATGTGTTAAAGGTAGTAAGTTGTTCTGACATTCTCTCTTGTGCTTTTTGGCACTACAAATAAAATGCTTAGAGCAAGTTTAATAGTATAGCCAACTACTAGCTCCAATTCATCTATAGCTAATATAATAGCTCATTCATACAATAGTTACATACTACACTATTAATATATGGTCCCACCTGTCATGCACATCCTGCGTCTTGTAGTCCGTGCTACAGCTGGCTATAAATCTATAGCCCGCTGCTTTTCTCTCTCCTTATTTATCTCCTTAAAATATATTTGCAGCTGGCTTATAGCCTACTATTGTACCTGCTCTTATGCTTATGTCCCTGTCCATCAATGCAGTGGCAAAAGGGATTAGGTAAAAATACCAGCTTAATTTAAAGCCATTGACAATTCACAATAGGAACCCAAAAGCATGGAATCACTAGGAGGCTACCATAAATACTGTCACGATTTGCCAACGAGATTATTCATGAATGACAGGCAGATGAGAGAACAGAGAATCGATGCAACCAAATTAGTACCAACAAGCACACACCAAAGAAACAGAAAAATAATTAGCCTGCCTTGGCGCTTACTGCAAACATCTTCCACGCAAAGGCAAATCACAAGGATACAAAGGCAACATATTGCAAGGAACAATTTATGTTGCTTTCTTTTCACTCATACTTAAGTCATGTCAAGAAACAGTGCTTTTGAATTCCTCTTATATGATATGAAGATGTGCAGAGAAATGCAGCATATATTGCACTCAGCATTCAAACCCTACATAATCTTACGTGAAGATGATTAATAGATGAACTCTGGCAGTGAAATGATTATATGAACACTTCAACAGAATCCACCAATAACTGAAAATAAGCTGAACATAGCAGCACGAGCAAGAAGAGTAAACTTTAAATAGCTTATAACACCATGCAGTAAACATAATCTTACAACAAAATAGTTATTAACATGACAAGTTATATGATTCTTGCACCATCACAGGCCTCACATGCACATCACATTATCGAACAAACTAGTGGTAGAAAGCATGTCGAAGAACAGGGGCTCAGTGAGTGAGACCAATTTTATTTATCGAGAAAACAATCTATGGGTGTATTTTAAAGCATCACCGCTTCGCTCATCTATATGGAGAGACTACTGACTGGTAACAAAGCTACAAGCTAAAAACCATTTCTTTTCTGAAACTCAATAGCACGATGGAACCAAAAGTCGAAGTCGATGACTGTACACATTTCTCTCACAGACATGGAAAAACCTCAGCAAGCAAAGATGGCTTCCTCTCATGCTTCTCAAAGACAGGAGCAGAGATTTGCGACTCATCAAGCAGATCTTGGTGCTGCATGTGAGAAGGGGGAAAATTTAGGATTTTGCCCGAAAATACGTTGTTGAACCATACAGAAAGTCACGGTGGCAACTATGAAAAACAACATACAAGACCAAGAGGACACTGTACCTAAATTGACTGCTTCAGAGCTTTTCATGAGACGAAGACGTTGGCAGGTCTCCACAAACATTCTGCAGGAAAAAATAGCACATTAGAACTTTTTATAGACTAAACTTTTTGGAGAAAATATCATCCCTCTAAACCATTTCAGTTTTCATGTAAAGCACAGTAACTCAGTTGGCTGTGATCTGACAAATAAAAGAAAAAGGAAAAGTAACATCCCATCATGGCTAAGAATTCAGATGTGTCCCTAGATAGGAATCAGATCTCCTATAGGTCTATGTAAATAATAGTGTGACAGGAATTTAACTTTAGTGAAAAGATGTTATGCAAAGCAAAAGGAGAAACATAAAACTAAAATGATACAGTTGACCACAATGAAAAAGAAATGTTTGTTGATCAGTGTTAAACCAAAAGGTAGACAAGAACAAGCAAGCTGGAAATACAACCTTATCAAAAGCACGCTATCATAACCAAATCAATTCTTTAATGTTCAGGCCATTATTTATCTATGTGGAGAAACAAATACATCAAAGTTGTTTAGCTTGTTCTCTCAAAAAAAAGGGGGTTGTTTACCTTGTCGGTTCTCAAGAAAAGAAAAGGTTTGTTCAACCTACTAATGATTAATGCAAAGATACAGCAAAATGAACCAAAGTGACAACTCCCAGGGATACTATTGATTTCTAAAAACTTAGAATATCTGGATGGAATGAGATAAGACAAAACTTTGAGGTCAGTATAATTCCACATTTCAATTCAATATTTTCACCCTTCAGAGTTTCTCAGTTTCACATGAAAGGAGAGTAAGTAGTTCCATTTTCACAATCACACCGTGGCTTGTACATTTGGTGCATTTATAAGTTATACAACACAAAGAAAGCAGGTTATTGTCAGAAAAAAGAAACTAGTATATGTATATGAGTTTAGGAGCTCTGCCTAATGCATCATAGGAGTAAAAAGGGGTAAATGCCTTCAAGCACTTCGTTCCAGTTGTTCTATTTGGATCCTAGGTTCATGGATGTAGCCGCTGCATACACTCCGTCTCCCATCAAATGGAATATCTCATCATCATTTGCAGCAAATAATTTCTTAGCTAAATTTATTACGTTAGCTTGCTGCTAAACTCCTACTTAAAGAACCTAACATGATCCACAACCCATAAGTAAAGGGCCATTTGCGCAATATCCCACAAATAACAAATGGTACCCAACCAGAAAATCAAAATTTTTATGTCAGAATTGAAAAAAAAAAAGAACTACCCCCATGACTCATGTTCCATATAGGAAAACGTTAGCCTTGAATCATAACATACTAACACAGTAAGCATGAAAATCCCAATTTCCTATGTTGCTGGTACCAGATCCATCATGAGTTGTACTGGAACTGAAATTAACTACTACACCCAATCGAACAGAGAAACTGACATACTACTGCACCCAATCGAACAGAGAAACCGATAACTGATCCATCGACCACTGTCTAGATGAACATAAACATCATACGCTAGCTTCTGCATCTGCAGATTAAAATTTAATCCAATTCCAAGCATAACAGAGAAGCTACTAGTAGGGAATCAAACCAAAATTAACTAACTCACTTCCAGGGGACGTCTCCGACGAGCATCCAGTCGCCGTCCTTGTCCTCGTACGTCGGCACGTACTCGTTGCCGCTCACCGCGTCGACGAGCTTCATCTCCTCGTTCCCGAGCTTGCCTGCGGCCATGGACGAACGCATCCAGAGCTCTCAACAACGTACGGCATCGCGCAAGAACAGCGGAAAGGCACAGAGGCGCACGAGCATGTCGACTCACGGATGGTGAAGTGGGAGAAGAACTTGTCCTGGAGGGCGGCGAGCAGCTGGTCGTAGCCCCGGTACGCCTCGAGGTCCACCTTGCGCAGGTACGGCGCGCCGTCGACGGCCACCTTCACGAACTTGGCCTTGCTGGAGGACGCCGCCGCCAACGCCGCGAGCGCGTTCTTCCGGAACGCGCGCACCGGCGGCCACCCGACCACCCGCGCCCTGCGCCCGCCGCGACGCGCCATGTCAGGCTGCAACCTCAAATGGGCCAAAATCAAGTCAGAGAGAGAGAGAGAGAGAGAGCGCGTACTTGGGGGAAGGGGGGGACTCGGTGGCGGTGGAGCCGAGGCGGTTGTCGGGGTCGTCGTCGGTGGCGGAGGCGCGCTTGCGGTCGGGCTCCGACGGCGACGAGGAGGAGGAGGATGACGAGGAGGAGGAGGAGGAGGAGGAGGAGCCCGGGAGGCGGAGGGTGAGGGCGGTGTCCTCGAAGTCGAGCCCGGACGCCGCCGATGACTCCGTCGAGCTCCGCTCCGTCTCCACCGACATGGTCGCCGGCAGCGGCGGCGAAGCCGTGGGCGTTGCTCTTCTCTCTCTTTCTCTCCGGTCGCCGGCGGCGGCGACGGCGGCGGCGTCTCTCTCTCTGCGAGGTGCGGCGGCGGAGGAGATTATAGTAGGCGGTCTACCGGTCGCCGGGGATTTAATCCCCGGGTGCTGACCAATGATACGCTGACACGTGTCTCCTCTTCTCGAAACAGATCTCTGTTGCATTTTTCATACAGGCCCAAATATTTTTGTAATTTAGGAAAAGCCCAATATGTTTATTTAGCAAAATTTAAGATTTACAAAAGATAATTATAATACTCTATCAAATTATGTATGGTTGGTAGTTGGGTAAAATGGAGAAAATTTTAAGGGCTCATTCGGAATGGAGGAAATGTGAAGGAAAAATGGAGGATTGATGATTCCTTTGAACTGGGTACTGTAGATGTATTCATTTGAAAGGGTTAGCTATCTTGAATTCCATAGGAATACTATTCCCTACCCATGTTTTCACAGGAAAAAAGAATCCACTCTAGCCACTTTGTTGTAAGAATCCTGTGCATGGAGAACAAAAAATTCCTATGTTTTTTAATCCTCTGTTTTACACATACAATCCTATCATATTTCTATATTTTCCCTATTCCTTCGTTTTTCCTATCCTATATTCCGAATAAGCCCTAAATTGGAGATGATTGATGTGACAAAATAAACTTTCATGTATTATTGTGTTTCCTCCACCCAAAATAAATTTATTTCTTTTTACCTATCCTATATATAGCAATACAAAGATAAAAAGATTAAAATGCTCTTAACTTTTACAAATCTCAATGTAATTGTCTCCCCCTTTCTTCTGTCCCAACGCATTTGCCCATTCACAAACTACAACATAATAATTATTTGAAAGATATATTTATTTTAGAATAAATAAAAGGAGGCAAAGAAGAACTTATTTTAAGACGAAAGAAATACTCGTCTGTTTGGGACGGAGGGAGTGATGACCACAATGCCGATACCTGTCAGTAATATCTGTGAAAGGGAAGGACCTATCGCGAAAAGTGTTAGGGGGTTGTGCAGCATTAACGCGGGTGCCGGTTAGTATGAATGGGGTGGGCCCGGGCTGCCGGCTGGCGAGCCCATCCGCGCCGCTCGCCCTCGCGATCCGACGGCGGGGAGAGGCGGTAATAAAGGCGTAAACGGGAGAGGAAAGCGTACTTGGGAGGGGGGAGGAGGGGACAAGCGGGAAAGGAAAGCGATTGGGCACGTGGGGCTTGTCGGGTCGTCGGCTACGTGTCGGGGGATCCGACCCGTACCTAACTCGCTGTGGGGGGATCGAATCGCTTTCCGCCCCCGCACGCTTTGCACGAGAGCGACGCACCGCCGTGCCGTTCTACTCACGGCTCGTGCCTGTGTTTTTTTACCGGAAAGAAATACTCCCCCGTCTCGTTTGAAGTGCAGCCCATGATTTTTCGTATCTAATTTTTAATCCTTCGTCTTATTTAATTTTTTTAAAAAAACTTAAAACATAAGTCACGTACAAAATATTATTCATATTTTATCATTTTATAATAATAAAAAATACTAGTTATAAAAAAATTTCAAATAAAACGGACGATCAAAGTTAGACATAAAAATTTATGGTTACACTTAAAATAGGACGGAGAGAGTACACAACAAGACTTAAACCTATTATATATTTAGGGCCCCTTTGATTTGGAGAAAAAACATAGAAATTTTGGAGGATTTTAATCCTATAGAAAAATTTCCTATGAAGCCCTTTGAAATTCCTATGGAATGGACAATCTCCCTTTGAAATTCCTATGGAATGGACAATCCTATAGAGATTTTGGAGAAAATTTAGCAAGAGCTTCAATCTCTTGGTAACTTTCCTTTGAGTCTATCTCTCTCATCCAATTCCTGTGTTTTTCCTGCGGTTCAATCAAACGGTAATTTCTATGTTTTTCCTACGTTTTGTAATCATCTGTTTTACACTTATATTCCTATAAAAATCCTACGTTTTTCCTATTCCTACATTTTCTCAATCCTACGATTCAAAAGGGCTCTTAAATTTTTCCAAATAAGTTATTCATTCTCTATATTAAAACTTGAGTTAAATGAAGAGATAAATTAAATATTTAATCAGAACCTAAAAGACAATCTTAATACTTATTGGTTGCATACGTTCGTACTCATCTCTATTTATCTTTAAGATCAAAGAGAAAAACTGCTACAACTTGCCCACTGAACAGTACTTTTATTGGACAAACACATGGTGATTACGTCTACTTATTTTTTTAAAAAAACTGGATGTATGGTTCTCCTTCTTATTTTAGTCGGAGCAATGTTAGGGCGGCCAATAAAAACTATAGCCACAAAAAGAAGATGTTATTTAGGATAAAAACCACACATTTGATATTCTCCACACAATACAAGTCACGCATACATGGTATATTTGCTTTTTTAGCCCATGTCAAACGGTTACTTTTCTATCTCAATCCTCTTTTCACATCTAAATCGAACATTTTACAGTATGGACTTTGAAAATCAGAAACATATATATATATATATATATATATATATATATATATATATATATATATATATATATATATATATATAATAACCAACCGTTCCCTTTTCCTCTAACTCTCCCTCACTTCTCCACGATTTTACGGTTTATATAATAAACAACCCCTTCCTTTCTCTCCAACTCTCCCTCTACCTCTTTCTCACTTCTCCCTGTCAACATGGTCTCTCCCCACACCAACGCAGCCTCTTCCCTTTCCAACACGCCTATCCTCTCTCTCCTCGGCAATGCCGCTAAGTAGATTGAGCCCGTGGGGCGGAGGTCGGAGTGGCACAGTGTGGATCGGGACGAAGAAGGTGTGGGATTAAGACATGGATCGAGGCGTCGGTGGCCGGCCGGCGGAGCTTTCCAACCATATCAAATTTTGATAATCAAAATGGAAGGCAACAAACTGAAATGTCTGCGAAACTGTAAACAAAACTGCCCAAGAGTATTTTGGAAATTGGAACAGAGGGAGGAGGAGGATTCCAATCCAGTTCATTTAATTTGAGGCGCCGTCACAAAGGTGCACGCACCTGCATCTGCATCTACTGAGATGTGCACGTACGTACTGCGTGGAGTATGAATGGGTGCATGCATCTCACGCTGTCTGGTTCAACGGCGACATACATAAACAGGAGTAGGATCAAAGTAAAGGCCACTTGTACTACTACTCCCAACACATGCATATATACATGCTTTGCAAGGCAGGCAGGCGTAAATTTACGAAAAGAATAAATCCACAATAATAATATGATGGATTAGTTAAAAAATATATCTTAGGGCTATACACATATTCTTGTTTTCTTTTGCTGGTCATACATACTCTCTAAAAGGCCATTTGTAGTGAAGAGTTTCATTTCACGGTTATTATCATTTAAAGAGTTTTGAATCGATAAAAGAAATAAGATCGATCTTCAATATACAATTTTATTAGCACACACATCATTAGTTTAGTACTTCCTAATTCCCAAAATACAAGACACAATTATTTTTTCTCCATATCTCAAAATATAAAGTCTACATGCATGCATACATTAACCAACACATCTTTCTTCTCTAAATTCACTTTGTTTTAAATCCTCTGCCATCAAAAACCAAATTATATTACCTTTATGCATAGAGTGATCGAACCAAGATGATTAAATGTTTTCTTGGTTTTTGTGTTAATGGTGGTCGTGCATTAGTGCTTCCGCCATTCCAAAATATAAGGCTCAACTACCATTAACTCAAAAACCAAGAAATAATTATTATCACCTTATAATTTGGATCACCCAAATAAATATAATGCATGCACCCAATAGAATTGAAAATCTTGAGGATGGAGGATTTAAAATAATAATAATTTAGCTGGAAAGAATCGCTAGTTATATTATGGATTGGAGGGAGTATTTTGGTATGGAGAAAATATTAATTATTACTAACTTAAATATTACTATTTAATTTTTAAGATACTTTTATATAGAAAATTTTTGTACAAAACACACCATTTAGTAGTTTGGAAGTGTACTTATGGAGAACGAGTAAGTAGCCACTTCGGGTTACCGTCTTACCGAAGTACTTATAAGGACATGTTCACTGTGTAGTAGTGGAGTATGTTTTTATCATGAGAAAATTCCCTGTGTGCCCCTAAAAGTTTACTCAATCCCTTTTATACTCCTGAGATTTGCTCATTCCTTTCCATACCCTCAAATTTCAGTTTGGATCCTTCTATATCCCCTTTCGTTATAGTTGACCGTTAGTGGACCGTTAAATCCCTAAGTTAAAGTTCATTTTGTCCTTTGGTATCAAGAAAATATAAATTTATGAAGTATATTGATAGAGTGTATAACTTTGAGTTTATTTTATGAGATATTATTTAACAAAAATAATATTTTAGTTTCGCCTCCGCGAAGGCAAAACAAAAATAATTTTTATCTATGACAAAATTTATTTTTAGATATAACAAAAAATTAATATTCTTTACCATTAAAAACTGTAGTACAACATTTTTATAAGATAAATCTATTTATGTGCTAAATAAGTAATTTTTAATAAATAATAAATAAATTTTATTTTTATGTCATATCTGAAAATAAATTATCGTAAATATTATTTATGACTTTGTTATGCAAGATATTATTTATGATAATTTATTTTTGTTATGCGAGATAAAAATTATTTTTGTTAAATAGTATCTCACAAAATAAACTCATAGATATAATAGTCGCATACAATAAATTTATATACTCGATCAATATACTTCATAAATTTATATTTTCTTCATACCAAAGGGTAAAATAGACTTTATGGTAGGAATTTAACGGTCAACTAACGAAAGGGGTATAGAAGGGATTCAAACTGAAATTCAGAGGTATGGAAGGAAATAAACAAATTTCAGGGGTATAGAAGGGATTGTGTGAACTTTCAAGGGTACACAGGGAATTTCTCTTTTATGATCTATTCGTTGACTTATTAATTGTGACCAAAATTTAAATTTGAAACTCTTTAGATTCTTTTAATCATAGTTTAACTTTTAAACCATTGATAATATTTCAAAGTTTTACTTATAAATTATTTTATTCATCGTTTATTTTTCAACCAATCAGAGTCATTAATATATGATTGATTATAAACTTAAAAAATAAATTTATCTAATAATTTTTTTTTCATAAAACACGTCCTATAATAGTTTAGAGAGCGTGTAGCACTACTACGAAAACTATTTTTCGTGGCGGCCATTTTGGATTTTTGCTGGCGGAATTTGCAGCCGCCACAAAGCAAAGACCAGTGAAGATCAAGATCTTCGCTAGCGGTCATTGACCACCAGCGAAAATGGATTTTTGCTGGCGGTCGTCTTAAGCCAACCACCAGCAAAAATCCATTTTCGCTGGCGTTGGCTTAAGACGGCCACCAGCAAAAATTGGCTGTGTTATATCGGCCGCCAGTGAAAATCTATTTAGGGGAAAAAAAACAGGCATGCAGCTGCCTAGCCGCTAGCTAAAATACCCATGCAGCGCCCATTGACTCATTAATTTCAAATTTCAAATCCACATCTAGATTCCTCATTTCCAAATTCAAACACGAAATACAAAATCATCATCAGCACAGATCAAACATCATTTGCACAGATCAAAACGTGTGCATCATCTAGAACAACATGAAAAAAAAAGAAAAAAAAATCAAATCTAGCCGCGGGAGCACGGTCGACGGCGTCGAGGTCGGTGCCGCCCTCCCCGTG